TTTCGGAATCCTGCGGATAGCCCGGATGTGTTTCGTACAGTTTTGGAGCTTTACTATTAATGTTTCTTTAGAGTGAGATGGAATAATTGGTGCGTTGGCATTTGAGTAACGCATTTTTTTTTTAATTTTGGATCAAATAGGACAGGAATTATCGTCGATTGTTTCCAAGGCATTATAGAAACAAAAACAATTTTCAGACAGAGCTGGGTAGAATACTTTCAAAGAGCATTTGAATACTAAATAGTAAATACGTTACACAAATCAAAGGTATTTGAATACTAAATACTTTTACGTCCAGCACAAGCGAATACTAGAAACAGATACATTGAAAAGTATTCAAATACTTAAAAAAATAAGTATTCAAATACTTTAGAATGTATTCGAATACTTTCAAAGGTATTCGAATACAGTAAAAAGTATTCAAATACTTGTCACTCAAATACATTAAAAATTTAAAATAGTATACTAGATAAAAGGCTTAATACTACTTAAAAATCAAGTTATACTTTGTATGGGGTTAGCTTTTTTTATATTTCTATTGTTATATACAAATTTAAGGGGAGTAAAAGCGTATTATTATTATTATTATTATATTAGTATATAGGAGGTACCTACCAGGACCTTTCTTATACCAGTTATATCCTTAAGAATACGTGTACCAGTTTTCAAAGCGATCGTACGTCGTGCACATGATAAGTACGCCTTTCTGAAATTAATCCTAGCGATTTTGGAACAGATCCATTTTTGACCATCCGTTTGTCCGTGTGCATGATAACTTGTTTAGAAACGTGCGATCGCTTTGAAAATTGGTACACATGGTCTTAAAGATATAAGAAAGGTCCCTATTGTTTTTTAAGTTACGTAGACTATCGAGTTCGGTATTCAGATGTATCGGATTTTTATATTTGATTTTGTGACAATGGAAACTTTCCCTAAACATTTCTAAATTGTTCTCAAACATTTGAATAACTTAAAAGTACTGCCTTTTTTTGAGGCCGGAAAAAAAATTGTCTGAGATCGACCGGGAAAAAACATTTTCTTATAGAATTTGGCCCGTACAATCCATAATTTCAAACAGTTTGAAGATTGGGCTACTAGATCAAAAGTTACAGCCCTTTGAATTTTTTTTCGAAATTAGTTTTTTGTCCGTAACTTTTTATTGAGAGGTCTAATCGAAAACGTACGAATTGTTTTTGATTCTACGCACCAAAATTAATAAGAAAAAGTGTTTTCCCGAGAAATTTTGGTGTAGTCGATTTTTGGTAAAAAAGGAAGGTTATACACTGCCTTTTTTTGAGGCCCGAAAAAGAAATTGTCTCAGATCGACCCGGAAAAAAATTTTCTTATAGAATGTGGCCTGTAGAATCCATAATTTCAAACAGTTCCAAGATTGGGCCACTAGTTCAAAAGTTACAGCCCTTTGAATTTTCTTTCGAAATTGGTTTCTAGTCTATAACTTTTGATTGAGAAATCTGATCGAAAAAGTACGAATTGTTTTGGATTCTACGCACCAAAATTAATAAGAAAAAGTGTTTTCCCGAGAAATTTTGGTTTAGTCGATTTTTGGTAAAAAAGGAAGGTTATACACTGCCTTTTTTTGAGCCCCGAAAAAAAAATTGTCTCAGATCGACCCGGAAAAAATTTTCTTATAGAATGTGGCCTGTAGAATCCATAATTTCAAACAGTTCCAAGATTGGGCTACTAGTTCAAAAGTTACAGCCCTTTGAATTTTTTTTTCGAAATTTGTTTTTTGTCCATAACTTTTTATTGAGAGGTCTAATCGAAAAAGTACGAATTGTTTTGGATTCTACGCACCAAAATTAATAAGAAAAAGTGTTTTCCCGAGAAATTATGGTGTAGTCGATTTTTGGTAAAAAAGGAAGGTTATACACTGCCTTTTTTTGAGGCCCGAAAAAGAATTGTCTTAGATCGACCCGTAAAATAATTTTCTTATAGAATGTGGCCTGTAGAATCCATAATTTCAAACAGTTCCAAGATTGGGCTACTAGTTCAAAAGTTACAGCCCTTTGAATTTTCTTTCGAATTGGTTTCTAGTCTATAACTTTTGATTGAGAAGTCTGATCGAAAAAGTACGAATTGTTTTGGATTCTACGCACAAAAATTAATAAGAAAAAGTGTTTTCCCGAGAAATTTTGGTGTAGTCGATTTTTGGTAAAAAAAAGGAAGGTTATACACTGCCTTTTTTTGAGCCCCGAAAAAAAAATTGTCTCAGATCGACCCGGAAAAAAAAATTTTCTTATAGAATGTGGCCTGTAGAATCCATAATTTCAAACAGTTCCAAGATTGGGCTACTAGTTCAAAAGTTACAGCCCTTTGAAGTTTTTTTCGAAATTGGTTTCTAGTCCATAACTTTTGATTGAGAAGTCTGATCGAAAAAGTACGAATTGTTTTGGATTCTACGCACCAAAATTAATAAGAAAAAGTGTTTTCCCGAGAAATTTTGGTGCAGTCGATTTTTGGTAAAAAAGGAAGGTTATACACTGCCTTTTTTTGAGCCCCGAAAAAAATTGTCTCAGATCGACCCGGAAAAAAATTTTCTTATAGAATGTGGCCTGTAGAATCCATAATTTCAAACAGTTCCAAGATTGGGCTACTAGTTCAAAAGTTACAGCCCTTTGAATTTTCTTTCGAAATTGGTTTCTAGTCTATAACTTTTGATTGAGAAGTCTGATCGAAAAAGTACGAATTGTTTTGGATTCTACGCACCAAAATTAATAAGAAAAAGTGTTTTCCCGAGAAATTTTGGTGTAGTCGATTTTTGGTAAAAAAGGAAGGTTATATCGAGAAGGGGAGAGATCGACGCGACACGTGGCGGAGAAATATATAACTAACCTAAACGGGATAAGTAATAAGCATTATGGCTGAATGTACGTTAAATTCGTCCTCTTTAAAAAAAAATAAGAGCAAGAATTATTGTTGTGTGCCTCAGTGTTTCACTGGATATGATACGATACATACAAAACACAATTTAACCCCGTTTACACCGCCCATTTTGTTTTGTGGTAGCGCCATCTGTTATCACTTCCCTTCTCGAATACACTGCCTTTTTTTTAGGCCCGAAAAAAAATTGTCTCAGATCGACCCGGAAAAAAATTTTCTTATAGAATGTGGCCTGTAGAATCCATAATTTCAAACAGTTCCTAGATTGGGCTACTAGTTCAAAAGTTACAGCCCTTTGAATTTTCTTTCGAAATTGGTTTCTAGTCTATAACTTTTGATTGAGAAGTCTGATCGAAAAAGTACGAATTGTTTTGGATTCTACGCACCAAAATTAATAAGAAAAAGTGTTTTCCCGAGAAATTTTGGTGCAGTCGATTTTTGGTAAAAAAGGAAGGTTATACACTGCTTTTTTTGAGGCCCGAAAAAAAAATGTCTCAGATCGACCCGGAAAAAAAATTTTCTTATAGAATGTGGCCTGTAGAATCCATAATTTCAAACAGTTCCAAGATTGGGCTACTAGTTCCAAAGTTACAGCCCTTTGAATTTTCTTTCGAAATTGGTTTCTAGTCTATAACTTTTGATTGAGAAGTCTAATCGAAAAAGTACGAATTGTTTTGGATTCTAAATTAATCAGAAAGTGTTTTCCCGAGAAATTTTGGTGCAGTCGATTTTTGGTAAAAAAGGAAGGTTATACACTGCCTTTTTTTGAGGCCCGAAAAAAATTGTCTTAGATCACCCGGAAAAAAATTGTCTTATAGAATGTGGCCTGTAGAATCCATAATTTCAAACAGTTCCAAGATTGGGCTACTAGTTCAAAAGTTACAGCCCTTTGAATTTTCTTTCGAAATTGGTTTCTAGTCTATAACTTTTGATTGAGAAGTCTGATCGAAAAAGTACGAATTGTTTTGGATTCTACGCACCAAAATAATAAGAAAAAGTGTTTTCCCGAGAAATTTTGGTGTAGTCGATTTTTGGTAAAAAAGGAAGGTTATACACTGCCTTTTTTTGAGGCCCGAAAAAAAATTGTCTCAGATCGACCCGGAAAAAAATTTTCTTATAGAATGTGGCCTGTAGAATCCATAATTTCAAACAGTTCCAAGATTGGGCTACTAGTTCAAAAGTTACAGCCCTTTGAGTTTTCTTTCGAAATTGGTCTATAACTTTTGATTGACAGCAGACGAGCAGATAAAGGGAGATTTGTAGACGCTGTAGACAAAATCAAACGAAGAAACCAAAACAGTACCATGAAAATGCCTGTCCCCAGAATGGACCAATTACCTACATAATAGGGGCTTTTTATGTAAAAAAAAGTAATTATTAAAACAGAGAGGAACTATATCTTTATGTGAACTTAAAGGGCGGTTTGTAGATCCTGCAAGCAAGATCAATCGAGGAAACAACAATATTGAGTGTGCTGCAAAAATTATATAACCCTCACTCACAACGAAAAGATTGTTATGCAAGAATGAGTTTCTAAAAAATTGTAATTTTTCAATAGAAAGGCACTATGTCTTTATATGCATTTAAACTGCGACTAGTGGACCCTGTAAACAAAATCCGGCATGGACACAAAAATATTTGAAGTGCTATAAAATGACACCACAGTAGGCGAATCGTGATGAAACAAGTTGTAAATCAGCATATGCATGATGAAAGCGCATTTTTGGTAATAGGACTAGTGCACATCTGCACTATAGCAGAAAGCTTTTAGTAAAAATTTGAATTGTATTTGCTGAGATCTCCGTGATTTTGTTTATTTTTTTAATCCCTTTGTGGAATCTTAAAATGAACACTGTCCCAAATTTTGTGTTCATTTTCATAGCTTTTGAGTAAAGTTTAACTAAATTTGTTAGCAAAATCTATTTAAAAAAAATAAGTTTATTAAATTTGCAACTTCATTATCATACACACCTTAAAACAATTTTTTTTCGCTCCTCTACTACCCATTTCCAAATGAAAAGTTACTGGGTCACATATGTCATCTTTAAATTGGTGTTAGGAAATATAACTAAGTATAGGTACCATATCATACAAAGAAGTAATATTCACATTTTTATTTGAGAACTTTTCCATGAGTCATTAGCAGTAACCGTATAAATAAATGGAAATCATAACAGTAAGTAAAAGTAACAAAATTACATGGACTTAATTAATTAAATAGAATAAATAAAATCGATATATACCTAGTGCAAGTTATAGAATTATACATGTACAAATATATACAGACGGATAAGTGACTTATTTAGGATCACACGAATAATGTTTCTATGATAGACTTATGTATTTACAAATTTTGTTTGTCTATAGAACGCTTATCTTTTTTATTTATTACGTTAGGAATATTAAGGCATGGTTTTCCAAAAAAACGGCATCACATTGTGACAATCGACGATAACTATTACAAGGGTTTAATAAAAAATGTGTAACAGTGTAAAATCAAACCAAGTATAAATAAAATTTTCTTATAAATAGGAAGAAATATAACTGTGAATCACAGTGTCCACTGCTAAAAATCACTCAAGGCACAATTAAAAAAGATAATGTTGTAAAAAAAATAATAATTTTAATACAGATCGCATATTCTGGAATACACCAGTAGCGTTTGACTAGAAAACCATAGCCACAGTAGCATATTGGTGTTTCGACCTACTTATTTGAAGTATCTCTCCAGTAAGTAATGTCGGTAGTTTTTCAATTTCTTTTTCACTGTCGAGGCCTAGAGCAATCGCTGGTACATTGCATTTTATTCGTTCTAAAGTAACCACACATTTTCTTGAGCGTAAGCAACTATTAGCAGCGAGATACCTTAGTCCTGTAACTTTATACTAATACAGAAGCTTTTACGTCTAAATAAATTAAAATCAATCAGTCCTAGTGAGTAGCATGTCTCTTTGGGAAAATATTTTCAGAGATCTCTAATTCGTAAAGGATGACGTTTGCATTGTAAACAAAAAATTGGCAAATATCACATTTGAGTTTTACAAAAGCTGCTTTATGTACGAGCAAGCGCAGATCATTTGCTTCAAATCGCTGCTTTTATCTACCGACGTACGTTTGAATGTACCGGATTTGAGATTGTTTTTTAATATGCTTTGTTTCGTACTATTAGAATTCAATTGCAAAACAGCTTTATTGGACACAGATATCTTTAACTGTTTATGCTGGTTAATGACCGCTTGTAAATCCATTCTTTGGCGATCTAAACGAGTCGAATTTTGTAATACGATGCTACTCCCAACGCGTCTTAGGGAGCCAGTTAGCATAGTCATCGGCTTAGGATGTAAGCTGTAAATCGTCGGCGTTAGGGGAGTCGCCGACTCCGATAACTTTGGCAAAGGTAAGGTGGTGCTGCTTTGGACTAATCTCAATTTGATCAGTTTTCCGTTTCCAGTCTTTAATTTAGCCGAAACCTGTATAATTGAACAAAAGTATAGATACACTGCATACGTAGTCAAATTTTAGAATTATAAGCCACAACCAAAAGTCAAAAATCATGCCACAAAAGCCATCTTACAAGTAAGTTAGTAAAGGAGCGATACAATACCTTAGTTCACATTTGCAAGTGTACAGGGGCCGTTGCTCGATGTGGTTTGAGTGGTTGGAGTTCCTCACCCAAACCCAAACTATAACAGACGCAAGTGAGCGCTCCAACTAAAGGCATTTGTACAGTGAAAGATAGTCTGTAATGGTGGAAAGAAATACACATAACAGGGAAGCGGACTATGTCAAATCAGACCAACGAATGGGCGAGTTCCTGGAGAGCTAGTAATAAAAAAGTGACCCTCTTAGTAGTTTCTGCATTCTAGAGGTCCACTTTGGAACTTTATTTCTTCCAACATGGAGCATAACCTCTTTGCATATTTCCTCAATCCTAATTGCAGGCCACTAAGCCTCAACACAACCCCAAAAAAAGGAAAGCGCATTTCGGACGCTGAATCACTGCATTTGCAGGTGCGATATCGGAAAAGTAGGTCTTTGCATTGTGTGTGTGTATCTGGTGGTTTAAAAGTTTAAATTTAAAACTCTCAGAATTTTTTCTGCCCACGGTTGGCAGCCATGTCTTATTCCCTAAGTCGCTCACTGACTGATCATGGGAAGAGACTGCGATTCGCGCAGTAGATATTGGAACGCCAAGTTGAGGAATATTTGTTTCGGATTAAGCACACGTTTATCTAAGCGAATACGTTAATAAGCAGAATTGCAGAATTCGTAGAACGTGCAATGCATCCACAACGCGCAACTGTGTGGTGTGGTTTCTCCCAGTTGTGGTGAAGGCAGAGCGGAGAGCAATGGGCTAGTCTCCAGTTGAGTGTATGAGTCTAGCTTTGGTGGATTGTTTTCTAGTAGGCTCTTCTGAGTCAAGACATGAATGGGAGTACTACTCCAGACGACCTGGAAGTTTCTCCATGGAAATTTTTCTTTTACCACTGTCAGTAAAGCATCCCTCCTAATTTCATTAAATGCGTTTTTGAAATTAATTTTCCAAAAAAATTTGGGAGTCGAATGCTCAGATGAAAAGTATCTGAAAGCCGTGTAAGCCCCTGCCTCTGCTCCACCCCTAACGCTTACACCCAATGATGAGGGAAAAAATCAGAAATTCAGATAACCATTTTTGACACAAGGCGTCTCCACAAATTCTCAAGTGCAATGGCCAGATTCCTCCTGATTTTGTGTTTTCGGAGCTGTCAGAGACCCCCTGAACATCTGGACGAATTTCTTTCGAAACTTGGCCAGATAACATGATATTTGGAAATATATGAAGGGCATCTGTGTTAGCAGAAATAAGGTCCTTAAAGATTTGTGGGCCAAGCCACCTAGCAGATCCAGGAGGAAATGTCACGGCTCCGGTTAATTCTTTGGCCTCAAAATGAATCACAGCCTGTGGGGGTAATTAGTTAGATTAGGATGAGTGGAATGCTTTTCAAGCAGAGACGCAATTGTATCGCCAGAAGTCACCAATCATAGCCGTCTGAAAGCTTCGCTTCAATTTTGTTTCCCAGATTTGTGTTACCCCCAGTTTGAAACTCATCTTTAGCCTCGTCTTCAGCTGCGAGATCACCTGATAATTGAACAATATCGAGCGAATCCTTTCAACCAGCCATCTACATAATCTTTAACTCATTGGGATAAATTCTTGATTCGATCTGATTTTCCTTCGAATAGCAGTCGAAAATTTCAGATTTCTTAATTGAGTACTTGAGTGAAATTCTAAGATTCTTAGAAATCCTTATTCAACGTGCTCTTCCAAAAACGCATTCACTTTTAAGACTTTGTAAAGTATCTGGAAAATACACTGAATTGAGGAAACCGCATTCCGTATAAGCGGCAATGGCCCAACAGGGTTTCTGCGAGCCGTAATTAGATCCAAGTTGCAAGCACTACCACAGCAATCACGTACAAACATCAGCATGCCTTGGATGCATGGGCGAGGAGTTAACATACACTATAAGCTACCTGGTCCACCACCAAATACATAGCTTGATGTGATATTCAAATATAACACAAAATAGAAGTCTGACATGGACCGGATTGGTGATACTGTGCGTGATATTTCTGTAAAAACTAGGGAAAACTCAATTCAGACCAAGGTGTCAGACTCATTTATTTTTTAAGCACATTTTACAGCAAAAAAAAAGCATCTGTTTTCAAATTAAACATGCAAATGAAGAAGTTAACAACTTGCACCATTTATTGGATAAACGAAATACAACGACAATTAAAGAGGAATGGAACCTACAAGGTTATACACACTCACCATTTGCTTGCCGGAATTTTCGCTTGTTAATAGAATTGTTGGCGGTACATTTCCGTCGTTTGCAGAATTTATTATTTGAATACTTTTTATAACGTGATTCTCTCGTTTATGCGTCTTAGCAGTATGAGTGGAGGTATTGTGATTATCATGTGGCAGTAGCGGAGTATCGGAAAACTGAAAAAAAGATTCATGATTATTTGTCATCGGGAGGAGCTAATAGGATCAGACTCCTCTACATATGTAGCAAACATGATTTCTAAAACATTTATGTAGTGCGTCCCATTATTGTGGGTGAGGATCAATGTTAAGTGGTCCTTGATGAGTTCCTTAAACATACGCGCATTGAACAGTGAACATTGAAAGTGTCTACCTACATTTTGATTGTTAGTTTACGCATGCGCACTCCCAAATTTTAACCGTATGCGCCAACACGCTTTTTTAAACGCTTTTTTAAATCGGATAAAAACTACCCGAAAAATCCACAGCTAATAAAAACAGACTGTTTCATGTTAAAGTCAGCAAATAACCTAAATCCTAAGAGCCAGAGGGCCAGATCGAGAGTATAAGTGACTGAATCGAGGATCAGTAACTACTGGCCCTAACCTCGGAGCACCGGGCGCCACCCCGTTGTATTAAGTCGCCTTACACGTGTGCAGGGGGTACAGTGCGTGTGAACATTTATTTCGTAAACTTTCCGGGACAGCACTAGGTAAGTTAAAAAAGTTGAGGCAGGAACCAGGGGGCTCTAAGCAACCTGGATTCCCATCTACTGAAGTGGGGAGCTCTAAGCACCTACCGAGACTGTACTAAGACTAAGATGCAAAAGCGATCCCAGTCTGATGGCAGCACTCCCAATGGAAGTAGCTCGAAAAAGACAATAACTGGGGCTATAAAGGATACTGGAATCTTTAGCAAAGCAGCGACAGGCTTCAGAATGCCTTTTGTCCATGAGACCTGGAGGGAACGCTGTCGGAAGAGGAGACAGGGCAAATCAAAGCCTTGATCCTTGACAGAGTAGACGCTTTGTCTGGAACACAACCAACTGTGTCAACCACAGCACTTCAAGAAAACACCTACTTGGAAATGAAAAAATTAGACAAGAGGAAGTTACGAGGGTTCGCCCTATCAAAATTCCTGGACTTTGTTAAAGATACAGCCATCCTTCAAGGGTAGATAATACCGGGGGAGCAAGATAGATCAAAAGGTCGCAGTGCAGCAACCGATTGGGACCACCCCTAACACTATAATAAGTTCATAAGATGCCTGAATATGAGATCAAGTGGATTGGGTTTGTAAAGCATTTCTAACTGAAATCTCGTTTCAAACCTGCAGCTTTCTGTAATTTTTTAGTGTTTTTTAAATGGGCGTGTCACGAGTTGCAATACCAAACTTTGACTTTAAAAAAAGGAGACAAACTTTTAAGTGATGTTAAATGGAAAGGGGGACATCAATTATAACCCCCATATAATCCTTGTTTTTTTTTCTTTAAACTTAATCGATTCAGAAAATAAAATTTGAAAAAGAGCTTCAATTTCAAGAGTTCTTAAGCTACCTCACTTTGTACCAAAGATCAAAAGACATAAATTTAATTTCGTGTTTCAAAAATTTGTTTGTAGGGGACGGAAGACAGCACAAAGGGCCCAAATGGGAGAAACTGTAACAACACATTGCAATGTCAACGAAATGGTTAAGTATGATACGTAATTTTCGATTTGTTTATTGGAGGTACAAAAACCCATATGCAGTGTTAGCGCAGTACAAGACCAAAGATTATTATCTTTCCCGATTTAACCTCATCATTATTCCAAAATCTCGAAATTAGTCGGCAAAGTAACACGCTTGAATTATCCACATCAGGAGTTGATCCAGTCATAGTGCGATGAGAGAGACTTATCCTAAGGAAATCACCTATTAAAGATACTCCGGAAAGTAGCCTGCGTCTATTTAAAAATAAAGGTAAATTAAACAAAAATAAAATACGGGACACATTTGACCTTGAAGTCGGAAATTTCAGTTAATCACCTCAATGTAGCTTTGCATCCATAAATCCAACCATACAACACCACACAATAGCCACGCCTACTCAACCAAATCGAGAGCTACGACACCTTTTTTATTAGGAACTGGTCAATTTTAAGTTCCCCTCCCTGGTAAGCCTGATGATATATCTGCAGTTTCAGATGGCCAACTCGCTTTAAGTGGTAAAGAGAATACACCCAAGTACGACATTGAGAGTCCGTTGTTTCGGACATTAAGCGTATAGTGAGTTGGGTTCCTAGAGCGGTCCTGGGTGAAATCTCGCTCCAGACCTGTAGAGGCAAAACTATATCATTTGCAATTAAAATGTAAAACTTAAAAAATAACACCAAAGTATACTTGGAATACAGCATATAAAATATAATCGCACGAGACGCAACCACATGGTGACACAAATTGTCAAATCGTATATTGGAAGTACAAAAAGTCATATACGCTGTTGGCTTAGTACAAGATCCAAAATTCTTCATCATTATTCAAACAATTTCAAAATAAGTCAGCAAAAATAATGCGCTTGTGTTATCCAAATTAGTAAGAAGGAAAGAAATGGCCTACTTACTCCCTTCTTTTCTTGGTCTAGCAGTTCAAGGTCGACTGTAAGAGGTTGGTTCGGCGCTTGGCAAAGAAGGTAAGTAGATGATCTAAAGATACGAGGTGTGTATGTGTACCTTTCGGTTTATCCCCATAAGCAAAGCTCAAAATCCGAAATTAGAAACCTGAACTAAAATTGAAACTTTGTTATAAACTTGCGCGATAACTGAATAAAGAAAATTATTATTGTTAATAACTAAATTACTTCACCACTACGGCGGAGGCGAAATAAATAACTTGAGTAAAAAATAAAACCAACATTAAATTACTTTTAAAAAAACAAGTTAACCCGTTATCCAGACATTATACAGGGTGACCAAAATGGAGTATTCCAATTCAATGAGTCGCCATTTCCAATTATCAATTATGTAAGCGCTTCAGCAAAGTGTAACACCCTGTACATCAGTAACGAAGGGTTTGCAAACCTATGTTTATATAAACTTTTAGTCATAAAATAAGCCAAAGCGCTTCTGTATTTACATCATCATATTTGGGAACACCCTGAATACAGGAATGCCATACTGAGTCAAGGTTCTTGTAGCTCTACAAATAGCGAAGTTATCGCAAAAACGTATGTATTAATCATGTCAACTTTAAGTGCGAATATCTCAAGAATGGAATGTCAGAGGAGGGGACTCGCAAAGGGCTATTGGAACATCTGGAGAAAGCATACTTATTGCTTAAGTCAAAATGGTTCATGACGTCAATAATGTAAAAAATTGAATAGGTTAAATGATTTCAATATTAATTAGCTTTAATTACCCTGCTCAATGCGCAAATTTCGTAGGATTTATTTTAGGTATTCCGAGGATAAAGCGCCAAACTTCCACAAAGTAAGGGGTATATAAAAACGTGTTTATTATTTTTTCCAATGAAGCCATTTGTAACACCCTGTACATAAATTTACATTCCGGAAAAAATACAAATAATCATGATTATGAATAAGAAACTTTGTCAAAATAAAAAAAAATAATGAATTTGTTGAAAATACCTAGCTTACAAAAAAAAACCCATTTTGAACACCTTATATATAATCTGTCTGGGTAACCGGTCACCTTGTGTCAGTGTTTTTTTAAAGGTAATTTAGTATAGAGACTATGCATGCTCTGGGGTAAGCCAAAAAATTGCATGCGTCCACTTGAAAATACATAAAAGCCAATTAAATAAAAATAAAATATTTTTCTGTTGATGCGTAGTCATGCCCACTTAAGTCAAGTCGAAAACAATAGCACTTTTATGTCAGACACATTTGGCTTTGATACAGGAAGAGAATAGTACAGAAGTCAGTTCATCAGGAACCAATCATGTATTACCACATAATAGCCACGCCTACTCAACCACGTTTATGGCCCCTTTTTTATTAGGAACTGGCCAATGGTAAGTTTCCCTCGCTCATACAAGTCTGAGGACATTGGGGAGCTGTTATTTCGGACGGATGTGTACAGCCAAGAGGAATCCCGAGGAAAATCCCGCTCCAAACCAGTAGCTAGATGTTAGCTTTGAAGGGCAAACTACAAGATTTGGAGCGACATTAAGCAAATAAACTGTTAGATGCTGAAATGGAAAACATTTGATTTCTAAAAAAGCAATACTATATCAATAAAGTGATCACTAAAAATATGAATTTTCTATTCCAGTTTATTCGTAGCGCCATGAGAGATGCTTCCTGGAGGAACAGTTGATCACAGTAACCACGATGTCGGACAAGTCGAAAAGCAGCCTGCGCCCACTTAAAGGTAAAGGCAAATCAAATAAAATATTCCTTAGTTTAAGCCAAGTCAGAAACCAATAGCACCTTTATATGGACACATTTGACCTTGAAATGTCTGCCACCTCAATGTGGTTTTGAATCCATCAATCTCAAGAACTAACCATGTATAACCATACCTACTCAACCAAATGGAGAGTAATAACCCTCTTTTTGATTGGAACTGGTCAGATGGAACACAAGGATTCCCTTTGTGCTAGGAACTTGGACAATGCCTCTCCCAAAGAATCCAGTCGATCATGTAGCTACCCTTTAAAACATTAACAGTTCAAAACTCATCAATGCAAGGGAAATCAAATTTGAATTTCTGGCAATTTTTTGAATTTCTCTGAATTTTTTTCAGAACTTAACGAGCGCTTTAAACAGACTTTTGAGTCAACTTGATGATGTCGATCTCCAAGCTGAAAACCAAAACCCGCATTCTCTTCCGCAAAAGTCAAAATCGAAATGGCACTCAAAAATGTTTACCTTGTTGGCGGAACTTTTATCGTAAATTAACTCGATATATTTAATTCCGCTTTTAACTTCTTGCTTCGGCGCTATATTGAGAGAAACGTTAGGGACATTCCGATGCTTCGACTTCAATTTAGCCGTCTTATATTGGGAGATCAACGAGTCTATGCTTGTGGAACGACCGCGAACGGCACGTCTTTCAACAATCTACGAACAAAAGCAGATTAAAAAAGTACAAGCACCATGTATATGACCTACGGTATGATTGGCGCATGTAATTGCCCTCAGGCATCTCTGATTATTATTATCTACGACGCCGCAATGCTTATCGGGATCGAAATCGCTCTTTTTCTTTTTCAACTTTTTATGTTTGTGTAGCTCTAGTCTATCCTTTTTAGGTTTTAAAATACTAATGGCTGGTACGCGAACAACGGTTGGCGAAGTTTGGGTGGGTAATGCTGAATGTGGTGCCTCACTAGGAACTTGATCAACCTCAATTTTAGCGGGTGCATTCTCTTGCACTGTTTCCACTGGTTGTAAAACGGGTGGAAGTAAATTTTCTATTGCAGGTACAGGGCTAGACACTTCAATATTCTAAAAACAAAAACTTTATAATCGCCAACACGTTTAGATTAATTACCGAAAACAAAGGAGGTGGAGGAACATTTGGGGGTGGAACCACTTTCTTCTTGCTCTTATGCGAACTCTTTTTTGGTTTACTTCCTGACTGCGGCGGGCTAGTTATCGGGATTAAATTAGATAACGACGTTTCCAAATTGGAATGCTTAGAGAGCATGTGGCTTTTTAATTCGTGAATCTTAATCAGTAACTGACATAGCTTGCACGAGAAATATATCACAGGATTAGTAATGCCATTTTCGAAACCAAATGTAAAGATGTATTCCCGAGGTAGTAAATATCTTGTGTCCATAACAGAATTTACATCGGAGCTCGTAATTGGCACTAAAATTAAATTGGACTGCAATCGAAGAATGTGTAATGTGCGAACTTACAATTTTCTAAATATTTGTGAGCGGCGGAATTTTTCCACGTTTGGCCATTGAAGTTATGCAGCGCCAAATGATTTTCCAACATTTTAAATCTACAAAATAGTTAAATGTAAACAATATGCACTTGACAGTAAATACACTTATTGACCATAACCTTAAAGTTTAACTAACTGGTAAAGGGATTGTTGACGTTCCTTATTATCGGTATCGACGGTATCACAAAACTAAAGTAGAAACGCACTGTTCAACAGGATTATAAACAATTAAGTTAAATTTATCCCAAATTCATGGCTTTAGGTACATGTTCATAATTAACAACAAAAGTAACAATTGGAGGTATTAACAAACAAAAGATCCACAGAATGATTCGAAACATACCTTGTATAATTTAGTTAATAACAATATTGTTTGTTAATAAAGAAAGATTGTGATAGATAATGTACAATAAAAGAAAAGTTGGCAAATAATAATCTCTGCCAATTTACGACACACGTCCTCCCGTGCGCATGACGTCAACTAACACTGACTACGAGCGGTAAAATGGTGATTTTTTGAAAAAGATTCGGCTCCGACATTTCCACCGATACATTACCCTAAATAGGAAATCAATACGAAAATGTACCTAAGCTTTTAGAAAAAAATTGCAATTTTTGAAACGGGGAGTATGGAACGCCGTTTTACTTTTTATTACGAAAGTTTACAATGTAACATTATAAACAACAGTTAATTTTATTTCCCGATTTATTATGTTTGTTGTTTTTATGTGAAACATTAAATATGTTTGTTTAAAAAACTTCACTTAATTGAAATGATGTATGAATTATATAGCAATGTGTATAACGAAAGTTTAACAATACAAATCAACAAACGAATACATAAACGAACAGTAATATAACTAACTAGAACTAATTCAACAAACATATTAATTCAATTATTGAAGTGTTGTACAAATATTCCCAACAATCATTTTAATTCAACAATCATATTAATTCGTGCTGTTAAAATCGGAAAGCATTATTTAAAATGATTGTTGAATTAAAATGTTACATGAATTAAAATGTTTGTTGATAATTTTAATTCGTATCTGTGATTGTGCGGAAGTTTCAGGAACTATCCTTTAGTGTATTTGGGTACGTGTATACTAGCGCCTAATTAAAATTATCAACAAACATTTTAATTCATGTAACATTTTAATTCAACAATCATATTAATTCAACAATCATTTTAAAAGATTCTTTTACTACGTCTAACAATAAAAATTTATTTGTTTGTTGAATTAAAGTGATTGTTGAAAATATTCGGCTTCAATTTTCAAATCGTCGAATTTATATGACTGATGAATTAAAATGTTTGTTGATAATTTTAATTCCACATTTAAAATGAATGAATTTTTACGTTTGTTGGACAAACTCGTTTTATTAATCGAAGTATTTCTTGCAATTCAATTTAATTGTTTGTTATTAATTGTTTGTTGAAATACAGTTTCATATATACACTCATTCAATATAACAATATAATTCATTTCACATTTTTATTAAGTAACATTTTTTAAACAATCATATTTAATACGTAAAACAATAACAACAAACGTAAAAAGTAGAGGCATACGATTGACTGTTATTTAAAATGGCACATTGTAAAATTTTGGAATAAAATTGTACAAATATTTTCAGAGAACATTTTAATTCAACAATCATATGAATTCATGCTGTTAAAATCGGCAAGAATTATTTAAAGTGATTGTTGAATTAAAATGTTACATTAATTAAAATGATTGTTGATAATTTTAATTCGTATCTCTGATTGTGCGGAAGTTTCAGGAACTACAGTTTAGTCTATTTGACTACGTGTATACTAGCGCCTAATTAAAATTATCAACAAACATTTTAATTCATGTATCATCTTTATTAATCAACATTTTTTTAATCAATCTCTTAATACGTAAGATAAAAACAACAAACGAAAAATTTAGAGACATAAGATTGACTGTTATTTAAAATGATACATGATAAAATGTTGGTATAAATACTAAAACGGCGTTCCATAGGGGAGGGAGTACACCTGTATGTACACTAAAAGGGTGACACGTGGATTCTCTAAAATCTAAGCAACATGAAACAAAAGGTACAAAAAATATTTAAAGCCCTTGCAGTAGACCCAGAGAACAAAAATGTTAGCATGTTCGTATCACAAAAATTACAGTCCTCACAGTAAACCGGATTGTGTAAAAATGAGTTATCATTCAAAAATTTGACTTTTGAAGGGGCCTGGCTATCCTGTAAACAAAATCAAGCAAGGGAAAAATATTTAAAGTACCTCAAAAATGACAACTCCCAGCCATAGACGAATTGTTATATAGGTATATAAAAGTGAGATTTTATAAAATACTTGCAATTTCTGAAAGAGGAAGGGTCTATACTTTTATATGCATTTAAAGGGTAGACTTTCTAAACAATATCAAACAAGGAAACAAAAACATTTCAAGTGTCACAAAAATTACAGCCCTTACAATAAACGGATTATTATGTAAATGTGAGTTTTCTTAAATTGTAATTTTGAAAAAAGAAACGGACTAGGTATACTTTTATGTGCACTTATATTGTAGCTTGTGAAACACAAACTTGCAAAAGTAAAACAAAGACACCAATATACAATAATATTATTATATATTTATTATATTTTATATTATTATGGTTTATTGGTGTTTTTACTTTACTTTTATAGTTCAAGTCGTTCCAGTGCCTCCAAGGAAACAAAAACATTTGAAGTACCGCAAAAATTACAATTCTCGCAATAGACGTATCGTTATTAATTTTAATTTTTTAAATATGGAAAAAGGCTATACTTTTATATGCACTAAAGAGATGCCTTGTAGATCCCAAACACAGAATGAAACAGGAAAACAAAAATATTTAAACTACCAAAAAAATTACAGTTCTCACAACTGAACTGAAACGCAATTCGTTTGCTTACATAGCAAACGTCGCCTTATTCTCGAAAGATCTCGAGCGCTTCCGACTATTCTAGAACGTTCTCGAACAAACACGGCAAAATTACGTCACCTCCGCCTTCGATCTTTATCGCCGATGACTAATCTTTCATAGCGCCTCGATCTCTGCGGAAACTTCTGGAATGTTCGCTACACTGCCCCTCTCTTTAAAACCGTTGCTTCTCGCAACACGGATCTATAGCACGCACTTGGTGGCGGTACTTGCATGAAGATCCCCTCGTGCATCTTGCATTCTTGAAGCCAAAACAATCTATCGTCTTACGAATCCTCTGGGATTAAAACAACAAACCAATATTTCCACCCCGGTTCTCTATTATACCACTTCCCGTCGCAGGGTTCCCCACAGTTTCTTCCTGGCCAGTTTTTTTACCAAATTTTAAATCACACGGGAACCGGATTTTCCTATTAAATATCACGGAAGCTTGGCTGGGTCTGTCCGGTAGTTTCCTCACAGCAGAACGCTTCGCCATCAGGAACAAGATAGAAGATATTGATCCCAATCACGCTGACGGCCGGACACAACTTTTGACAAGTACTTCCCGATTGTCCCACTCATACATTTTACCATTCCGTTTGGTTGTGTAAAGCAGTGGTTCTGGTCTTGCGAACGCCCTGTAATGCAGGCTTTGGAATAGTGCCGACTTAAAATTTCGTCCCTGGTCACTCTAAATCTGAAAAATATTCCAACAGATCGCATCAGCCAATATAATCGTAAGTAGGTAGGTAACCCTATGCATTTTTTAGCGAATTTTTTAAGAATTAAAAGAATGTGCTATTGTTTGCGTTTTGTCCGCCCGTACGGACCCACTTCTACCGTTTTGAACTACTTCTAGGGGAATGATCCTAGAGTCCTGGAATTTTTTGCAGTAGGTAGCCTATACCTTGAAGGTATGACAGACAGCCATCAAATTTCGCTGCCTAAAAGGAGCCCCCGCCCCCCCCCCACCCCCCGAAATATTTCCTGAGATGTTTTTGAAAGTAAAACGTGCATTAACTTTTACATACGACAACCAATTGGTCGTGGTCGTGAATTGGATATCGAGATGCGGTTTTCGGGAGATTGTTTAGGCATCATTTAGCTACTTTTTCATGAAAAAAATCAAACCAACGCATTTAATTTTGTTGAGAAAATTAACCATTTCTGTCGGAATGTCGAAAAAAGCCCTCAAGCGGCGATATGTGAACCTAACAAAACTTCAAATATTATAACATTTGTAGCCGAAGAATAACTCATTTCAATTAAACCGAGTTTGTTAAAATCGGCTCAGTCGTTTCGAAGATACAGGGTGTTTTTTACGGAAACCTTTGAATACCCCCCACCACTTCATTTTTAGAGATACAGGAAAAATTGTCAAACAAAAATTTTTTGTTAGGTTAATATAGCGGAATTCACAGAAAAATCACTTTTTTAGATTCCAGATTGCAGTTACGCCCCTAGCGGCCATTGCAAAACCTTAAAAATATTTCCAGGTTTTTCTCGTGGCCGTTTTAGTAATAAATTTTTTTACCGCAACAGGTTCCCAGATACAGTACCTCGCATTCTTATTGGCCACCCTGTATAACCTTCCTTTTCCCAAAAATCGACTGCACCAAAAATTTCTCGGGAAAACACTTTTTCTTATTAATTTTGGTGCGTAGAATCCAAAACAATTCGTACTTTTTCGATCAGACTTCTCAATCAAAAGTTATAGACAAGAAACCAATTTCGAAAGAAAATTCAAAGGGCTGTAACTTTTGAACTATTAGCCCAGTCTTGGAACTGTTTGAAATTATGGATTCTACAGGCCACGTTCTATAAGAAAAATTTGTTTCCGGGACGATCTGAGACAAGTTTTTTTTTGTGGCAAAAAAAAGGAGGTATACCTTCCTTTTTTCCAAAAAACGACTGCACCAAAATTTCTCGGGAAAAGACTTTTTCTTATTAATTTTGGTGCGTAGAATCCAAAACAATTCGTACTTTTTCGATCAGACTTCTCAATCAAAAGTTATAGACAAGAAACCAATTTCGAAAGAAAATTCAAAGGGCTGTAACTTTTGAACTAGTAGCCCAGTCTTGGAACTGTTTGAAATGATGGATTCTACAGGCCACGTTCTATAAGAAAAATTTTTCCGGGTCGATCTGAGGCAATTTTTTTTTCGGGGCAAAAAAAGGCAGTGTATATACATTCCATTCCAATTATAACAAATTTTCGTTGGCATATCACGCAGATATACAGCTCTGGCCTTGATCAATCACGGAATTTATGCAAGTCTGGTGAGCGAGCCGGATTGGGTCTTTTTCAAAGGTTTATCAAAATAAACGATTTCAATTTAAACGAGGGAGTTGCTTCCCCTCAACTGAACTCACAACCCACTTACGCAAATGTCACCCACTTCTGTAAACACCCTACCAAAGATCAAGCAATCGTCTTTTCGACAGTCCATGGTTACATTATAGCTAGGCAATTTTCCTACCCAAAAATGTTCTCTATGCTTCCAGAATTGCAAATAATAGATTTTGCCTTTACTTATCATCCAACGATATGGTGGACACCACAAGCACATCAACATCAATGGAACAAATATCGAATCAGAATCACCCCTGCCGAAAGACTGGTCATATTATAATGTATGTCCCACAATCCCACACTGTATTATTGAGGAACAAATTACTAAAATTGGCATAACAACGATTTAAAAAATGACACCATTGAGAGTTGGTATGGCAGAATCGGAATATAGCCATGTCAAGTTTTCGTAGAAAAATCTTCATTAATCCCCTCGAAAATGCATCTACCCCAAACTCCTTCACTACTTCCCACCTCCTGTAGACTCTAGACATTTGACTCATGTACCTGTGTCATCATTAGAAAGAGTATCCAGTAACACTAAATCTTGTCTTAATTGACCATACAAATGCTATCCAATCACCTTATACTGAAGACGCAGTTCTTGACGTTATTATAGTATTAAATCAACCCAGTAAATCGTAATTGATTTAGCCTTGACTTTTTGTTAGATTGCGCGAATTATTACTTTTGTCGGCCAACAAATTTTCCACTGTCATATATTGCGTTTTGGTTATTGGTGAACCGTCTTTCCGGATACCAAATTTATAAGTACTTAGTGCAAATTGTATTATAATTCTATTATAACAAATTGTAGAGAATAAACTTCCCTTACTTCTTATGGTGACTATTAGTCTAAACTCTAAACATTGCCTCCTGGCACCAACCAGAAAGCAATACGACTGGTCGCGACTACGACCAACAACACTCTTTACTGTCTACTTTGGAAGAGAATAGGGTTTCTGGAAATTCGTCTTTCAGCAAGACGTCGTATTTCTCGAAAATCTATGAAAAGGCTTTCAGATCATGAAATACCACTCCCAAAGTGGGTTTCATCTAGTCCGGATCTTTCGCCAATCGAGAGGACAGCGGACAGAACTATGCCAGAACTCAAGCACAGGCTCCAGAATATTTGAGATAATTTCACTCCAGAGGAGTGTCAGGATCTATTTTTAGTGCTAATTCTAATTATTAAACTTTCTTATGTAAAATATTTTCAAAACGCTACCTTTAAACAAAACTGAATATTGTTCGCTTAACGACCTTGGTTACGGACCTAGGGCAAAAGGAGTTGTACTTTCCCGAATTCAGAATTTTCGATCTTTAACTAGGAATTTTGAAAGACAATATTTCATGTGGCCTTTCGTACCTAACGAACGTAATTTTCGGAATGGAACGAAACAAGAGTTTTCCCATGCACAGGATGTTTATCTTCAGCAGGCAGCGCGATAAAATACGCACTACCCACGCGTCTTTGATTTAATGGGCGTAATTGCAAGTACAATAAAGTACACACGCAATTTTGTGTAACAGCGTAATAGCTTTTAGCAATGGGAATTTGAGAATATTTGAGATAGCATATAGTATGTATTCAACCCTTAATAATAAAATGTATGGAATAGTCCCGCACTACCAGCTTGCCTTCCGGTGCCGGTACCAAAACAGATGGGTACAAATTTTGTATTTTATTATTACCGAAATATTGAAATGTTGTGTGTAAACGATTTAGAAATGCACTAAAATGGCGCACTTTTTAGTTGGTAGCCATTGGTGGATATAGTATCAATCAATATCTTTCGAATTCATTCGGTGCGGGAAAATGAACGCTTCTGTTCGACTTGCATCACATGCAGCTGCAGTTGCTTTAAAATGTTCAAGTCGATTAATAAGTAAATCTAGCGTTTCCGCCAACCTTGGTTTTAAAAAATTAATTGTTACCCTCAACCGCTAGCTATTGATTTTTTTGTAGTGTTCGCATCAATTGATAATCTTATTACATATTTGCAATTCGAGTACTTTACTGATGCGTTAGTAGGGTAGGGGTGTAATTCACGAAATTTTGCGGGATGTGGTCGCGGAAGAAATTTAAAATTGGTTCGCGCTTAGGGTTGAGCGGGTGTTCGGGTGTAACGTAAATTAATGCGTGGAACGCGAATAAATTGATGGAAATTTTGTTTTGTTACAAATATCGTTGTAGTTTACATTAGCAAACGCTCGTGTGATAAAATCCACCCTAAGCAGCTGCGAGGGGGGTGTGCGGATAAAGCGTCCAGCACGAGGGGCGCGCGCAAAACCACCTGGCGTCGCGCGCTCCCCATTCAATTCAGTATCGACCGCCTGTGAGTTTCAATTTCATGGAGCGATACTAATCGAAACTTAGCGCACGATGCCAATTCGACCTCAAAGTGGTGTTTTGGTGATTCATCAACAGTGAAATAGTTTCGTTAACATGGCTTAGTTTATTATTAGGCGGATTCGAATGAATTAAACAAACATATACCGTTGATTCGTCAACGCCGCGATGCCCGACGCAGTTAAAAACAAAGTTACAATGCTTTTTTTACAAGAATGGTTACGATAGTGTCATAGTGAAAGAACACAACGGGAATCAGTTTTTTTGCAACATGTGAGTGGGTGCAGTGATTTGTGCGTATGATGATGGATAATATTGGTAAGATGATAGAACAGCAGGCACTAGGTGAACAGGCGGTCGATTCTGATGATACGAGCGCGCATGCGGTGGTGAATAGCATGGAGGCACAAGGAGTCCGCATGAGGTTAGTATCACGCGCGGTGGTTGAAAGACGTCTTGTTAAACAAGAAGAGTCGGATGGCACGTTATCTGTTATCGTGCAACCACAAGAAGACTCCCACGACTCAGAATTACTCAGTCCGGGGAAGTTGTCCCCAACGTCCGTCAGCGTGGCCAACATGATGGACGCTGGGGATTTTCGAACCTTACAACCTGAACCCACTTATCAGACTTTAACTTCGGTGAATGGTAGAATGTCGCCGCCAGGTTACAGTCCAAATTCGTCGTACGCTACCCTAACCCCCCTTCAACCGTTACCGCCAATTTCCACCATGTCTGATAAGTTTGCTTATGGACACGCTAGTAACGTGACGGGTTCGTTTACGGTTATGCAAAACAATGGTTTGGGTATAGGATTAGGTTTGGGTTCGGTTAACGTTAATACGGCATACACCATGCCTAACATGGGTATGACACCGCCGCACAATTACTCATCTCCGGGAATGGGAATGCAACAACAACCCAGCCCGATAAGCCCACAAAGCGCATATAGTCAAAACGGGCTGCCGTCGCCTCAAAAAAGTATGTCACCTCCTAGTTACGACTCGCCTTACGGAACTCAAAGAGAACTAGTAGGTAGGTCGCTCCAAAGTCCGACGCTAAGTCCACCTTCGGGATCACTTAACTCGCCTGGTGGTACATTAGTGACGAGCTTCAGTGGTGCAACACTAAACGGTCTTACACTTCATCATAACCCACCTGCACTCGTACAAATAACGGCACCACAAAGAGACTGTTCGCGTTCGCCTCCTGTTTTAAGTCTTCAGCAAGCTCCGCCACAACAGCAACCTCAAGCTCAACATCAGCAACCTCAACAGCAAACGACACAACTTCAGCAAATACAGACCAAATCGACAACACCTAGTTCGCTCAGCGTCACCACAATAACGGCAGACGTCGAGGAAATTAACACGAAAGAGCTGGCGCAACGCATCAGTGCAGAGTTAAAACGTTACAGTATACCGCAAGCAATCTTTGCTCAACGAGTACTGTGCCGTTCACAAGGGACATTATCAGATTTGTTACGAAATCCAAAACCATGGTCGAAGCTGAAATCCGGCCGAGAAACGTTTCGAAGGATGTGGAAGTGGCTCCAAGAACCAGAATTCCAGAGAATGTCAGCGCTACGACTCGCAGGTCGGTATATTTTCTTTAATTTTACATGTATTCAATTGTACTGTGACCCTCTTTTACGCAACAAAGCAAGAGCTTTCAGTTGGAAGAGGGTATCTGAAAACGTGTTTAACGTCTTGCAAATGTTGCATAAATGTATTACCTACTTTCATTGATAACACATGCTTTTATAATGTAGGCTAAAGATTCCCACTTTCAATTTATTATGATAGATTATTCAAATGCGGTAGTTTTCAATGAGGAAAATTTCACACCTGATTAATTACATTGAAACAAAGGACTATCTGCATAATTTTAAATCGAAAAGTAGGAACAACGCCGATTAAATTTCAAAAAAAAAAACGGTAGCTACACAATACTTCCGGGTTTATGGTAGGTAAAGTAGGGGTGAATCACCTATATTTGTTTGTCGAGTACCTTTGAAGTAAACACCCTATAGGAAGCGACATATTGTTAGTTCTCACGAGGCTTTTAACCACCTTTATATGCACTTTTTGTTAGAACCTATAAATCCCTTCTTGATTTAGGTATCGAGACAGACACTACTAAAAGAAATGTTTATTGTCATTGAATGGCGTAATTTAATGTTGAATATTTAGTAATTGTAATTGTTGACTACTCTCTTGTTTTCATTGCAGACTGCCAGATGCGCAATGTAAACGTGAGGGCAGTCAACCCCAAGCGAAGAAAACCGCCCTCTTCTTCATGCTAGTGAGTCTATTTGTCTGTCTGTCTCGATGTTCGGGCCGGCCCGTTGCATGATCCTTATATTACAAACAGTTTCACCTTAACGGTTTAGAAAAAAAAAATGTGCACGTGTTCACTGTCAACAATGAATGCATGCAGCTTCTATTAATTTAACCCTAACGTACTAAACGGCATGGTATCCTTTACTTGTGGAAGAAAAATGGCAAGTAGTTTACGGGTGGCTTTTTATTTGCCTTTATCCCTGCCGTGTCTCTTATTTTTTTTATAGTAAGACGTCGGTCTCGATACAGGATAGGATTTAGCTGTTAATCCCACCGAACAAAAATTATACTCCTTCGTCCTTTGCTAATCACGTTTACGAATGCATGTTAAGCGCATGATAAACTGTGGTGTCCGAAAAAGGAAACGAAATTTTCTGCTTTAAGTTGTTTCTGCCCAAGTAGGTATATAAAACCAAGCTGCTCCGGCGATGAGTATCTACAGTTTCGCCTTCTGTTTTAGATTCCCAATTTTAGGTACTAAGCAGCAATTAATTACACTTTGCTAGTATTCCACCCGATATTCATTGTTACCAGTCTAATCTGCTGTATTTGTTTTAGCTGCACAGATCCCACAGCGAGGCAGTAAGTATCTACATCTCCTTACTTTAAATCCGGTAGTAACTGCAGCACCAAGCAGAATATTTTGGAATTCGCTTCACATATACACAACTGAGTGTTAAGCGCCACTAATGTTTATTGTTATAATGTAATTTGTGACAGGCAATACGAGGGACACTGTCGCTAAATTCGACCAGTTTTCTGTATTCCTGACAATCTGCAAGTGTGCCACTGCCAACTTACTCATTGTGCAATTCTTGTGCCTTTTATCGTAACTATGCCACATATGAGTTTAACAAAACCATTGAACCACAAAACCTCTCCCAAAAAAATTTTCAAAACCATGGAGACAGGAACATTTACTCCCGTGGATGTAACACAATCTGAAACAAACACCGGCATTTTCTTTCTTGTTCCTACTACGACAAATTGTTACCTATTTACGTGTAAAAGTTTTGCAATTGTCCGATAAGCCGAAATAGTCAATATATTGCTGAGAATCTGCAATCTGCAAGCGCCTTGTGGTATTATCAAGTCTTAAAAGAGGCTTTCTGCACAACCACAAAATTATTCCCAAAGCCATGGATAGGTACAGTGGAACTCGGTCGCGTTGAAGCAACATATTCTGAAACAAACGCCAAGAAGATATTTCACACAAAATTTTGATTCTCTACTCGTACCTAAAAGTTTTTCCAATTGCTCGATTCGCCAAATTCGACATTCGCCGCGTTTCTAATCCTGTCTGCGTTCCCGAAAATTTGCAAGCAGTTTATTAAAAAAATGATAATGTCTATCAACGGAGCTCATTTTGGTGTTATCAAATTTTTTCAAATGAAATTTCCTTCATCAAGCAAAGTTAACAGTAAAATGACCTTTCCGCGTATATATAACCATGGAGACCCTAGAACATTTGCACCCCCGAAATCAACACAAAAAAGCTCATACGTGCAAGGGTAATTTAGTTCATTTCTGTGGTTTTGACGATCAAAATGGAAAGGAGGACCTCGGGGAGGACATAGGGGTTTATATAGTAAAGCGCCTTTATTACCCTAACTAAAGCGTCTTTGTATACCTAAACCAGATAACAGTTATAGCAGAGAACCCACGCTAAAATTTGGAAAAATATACACCAATTGCAAACATTTGCAAATCCAACAGATAGGTAAGGATTACTAGATTTAATCCTTATCGACACCACCAAAATTTCAAAATTCCGATCTCTATTAGATCGAGTTTGTCAAATCTCAATAAATGCCTAATAATTTCATATCAAATTGGTTTCCTTACTATTTTATTATCCCTTCAATTAAAAGCAATCAACTGGTAACTATAGTTATTCCCTACCTGGAAAGCGTAATTTACCACCTTCCTCAATAAAACAGTCAAGATTTCAGGAAAATCGACCAATAGGCAAACAGAATAAGACTGCGTGTTAGCAGGTAACAATCATAGACGAATGCTTCTTGTAAGACCCCTACCACTTTTCCTTGTACAACCTCCAATGAATTGCCAAAAATAAAAGCAACCGCAATCTTCAGATTTTAGCGATTTTAATTTTCAACAACCAGTTTTACAAACGCATGCCCGAAATCACGTCTTCAATCCGCCTTAGAAGTATACCAATGCTACCATTTGAGACCAAAAGTGTCTTTCTAAACCGAATAGTTTGCAAACTACGATGTTTCAAAATTATATTAATTTTTCGCGCCCGGGAATTTCTCTGAAACAGTAGTTTTCGATCAATATTTAACAGATGCCGCAAACGAGAACTCCAAGAGCTAAATTACATTCATTTTCGAAAATAATCCCCGATAAAAACGGTATGGCTCCGGTTGTTGATAGAGAATTCTTGCCAAAAACGACAAAATCGGAATCATCAGCGTGCTAAAAACGTGCAATGCATTCGAGCACATCGGCTACAGTGTGGTGCTTATAAGAATATCCATATGCTCATTGACCATTGCCTTTGGTGGATCTTTCTTAACATCCGCTTTCTTTATCTACGAAAAAGTGTCCGTTGTTTGGAAAAACAAAGCAAAAAAAGGTTGTGAGCAGCTGAGTTTCATGCAACAAGGTGACTAGGCACCATGCTTTAAGGGCTTTTGCAGTAAGAAAAATCGACCGTGTATAATCGAGCCCTCAAAAATATGCTTCATTTCCAGATATGAAACTTAAAAATATGAAACGCTAACTCGACTTAGGTTTTTAACGACAGAAAACTGTGGCAAATATGGTCGAATCCATTTGAAATAAAACTAATTTTGCAGGGCTAAAATCTGAAGGAAATTTCGTTGTTTTTTTAAATTGTTACCAATGTTGGGATCGAAAACATTTGGTCATAAACTTAGACAAAAATCCAAACTACCAGATCTGACGAAAAGACCCCTCGCGGCCCCTGCTTTCATGTGACAAGGCTACTAGACCACCCGTAACGTTTTCTTCTGCTAGAGGTCATAATTTTGGGCATCTTCTGGGCAAGTTTCGAAGCAAGGCATAGATATTAATAGGCGTAAATGTGGTGACGTGACGTTTTGGGCAAGTTATTCTTTGGTGCTACATCGATATATTTTTAAGAACTAACAGTGTCATAGGAAATCGAGCAGACTGACGGATGGACAAATGGACCATAATATCGCATTTTTATTTTCCTGTTAGGGCGTGGATCACCCATTGTTTTGAATTGTATAGTGTATAGACAGTAAAAGTGAATGTTTTTTGTGCGAATCTAGCAGTGGCCCTCGTATTAATAAGTAACCTCGTTAAGATTTTAAATTTCTGCTATCCTTAATATCAATTTTTAACATATTCCCTTTTTGATTCAGGTTGCAAGAGGAAAGACGATTCGAGCAATTCGGAACAAATGCCTACCCCCAAGAAACCTCGGTTAGTTTTCACAGACCTCCAGCGTCGTACACTACAGGCTATTTTTAAGGTATAATAATAAAATAATAATGGCGCGTTGTCGATTACTATATTCAATTTTCAGGAAACAAAAAGACCGTCAAAAGAAATGCAAGTGACAATTGCGCGGCAATTGGGTTTGGAACCAACAACGGTTGGGAACTTTTTCATGAATGCCAGACGGCGATCTATGGACAAATGGAAAGATGAGGATCCAAAGGCGGCGGCGGCGTTGCTACATCAACAGATGTCGCCCGATATGGATCCAGATGATCACGATCAAGATGGAGATTTGGACAATGATGTGGAAGAGCATGAGGAAGTGTTGTGACATGCAATTCGTGACGCCATTTGTTGATGCTGTGAACACTTATTTGTGACGGCATTCCTATCCTTAGAATAGTTTAGGTCCGCCGACTTCGATAGAAGACGATAAATTCGTGAAATTGAAACGTTGATCTAACCATCATGAGCATGGATTTCTTACTGTTAATGTAAAAAAAAAGAACTATTTTTGCAAACATTAGAGAGAGAGAAAAAAGTTTAGAGAATTTACTACTTTTGACAATAACATTTATAATGTTTACGACCTTTTTTTAATCACACAGCAAATTCTTAATCGAAAAATCACAAATTTTCATTTTTCTAATTCGACCACGGATAGGAATGTTTTGGTAAGGCTTTTATTTTATTTTTTCTCAATTTAAAAGAAATTGCTTCGAAGCGCATGTCTCGCGAATACAGTTTTGTTATTATATTTCAGAGTACCTACCTTGTTTTTTTAGAAACCCATGGAGCCATTTTCCGCGATCATGCTCTGGCAAATAATACAGATCGCAACCCACTATACCCCATCAGACAATGTTGTCAATGGTTTTATAACCAAACATATTTGACCATTGGCCACCAGAATTGTATGTATTCCTGTATACAAATAATTTTTGTATGTTATAGTCAAGGAAGGGAAAAATTGGGTGTCAAAATTATGTTTATCTAGGTTTGTTTTTGTTAAAGTTATGGAATAGGTTACTGGGCCAATCACTACAGTAATTTTTTGTTCCGTTGGGCTTCTAAGAACAACTATCGCGCATTAAGACAACTGGATCTTTTATGGAAGACCCTGTATAAATTTGCTTTGTTTGTATATTCTGATTTTTGGCCTACACGTTAGCGAGAAAAACATACGCACATTCCCCACCTGACCTTCCGTATTTTAGTTGAGAAAATGAATTTTTATTCTATCAAATAGAGGCTATGTTGGTGAAAAATATATACCTAGATCTCACTGTTTATAATTAATGGCACAGTCTGTAAAAACGAAAAAAACAATCGCGGAGAATTATTAATGGTTTTTTAAAGACCCATCCCATTTGTTACAAAATTTAAAAAGACCTAGGCATAGTTTATTGGGGCTCTAGGGGGTTCTTCTCGCGCGAAAAATTCGACCTATTAGACGCGTATGAAGTTATAAGTCAAAACAGTGTTGTAAATTTGATCGCAGTACAGATGAAGAAATGTTAGTGCAGGGGTTTTATTTTCCAAGGCTTATTGTTTTTAAATTCTGAAGCATTACCCCGTAAAAAACAGATTTAATCTGAGTCGCCATTGTTTGCCGTTTTCTGTATTGCATAACTTGCTACTATGGCTATTAACCTCGTCCGTAGTTTTAATAATAACAAAGACAAAGTCCCTTACCTCACAGACTGGCTTTTTTGAACCATTCAAATATCAAATCAAATGCGCCGTCCATACTTTTTTTTTAGTTGTGGTTTGTTCCTCAAATTAGCAAATTTTACCAAAACCTTCCAGCCTTAATTTTCACAAGTCCATACAAAATAAGCACACATTTTTTGTAACGTATCAACCGCACTGAACTCTGTTTGGTACAACTTGACGAGATATGGTATTACCTACATGTGAACATGGTTTTTGTAGCTTTGGTATAAGACAACGTGACGTAAAAGACTAGTAGCTAAGAGTTAAATATATGAAGTGTACGTATAGGCACAGTTCAAAGAAAGAAGAAAAAAGGAACATTTCATTTTTCATTATATAAATCATGCTCGTGGTGGCAAAATCATATTTTTTCAATTATTAAACGTCTCCTTATTTCGAATTGTGTATTTGACCTTGTATACTATTTTTATTATATGATATAGAACCCATTTTGGAAGCGAACTTTTCGTTAAAAAATTATTGGGTTTTGATTCTTTGCCTTAGTGCCTATCTTAGATACCGTACGAATATTTGTCATTGAACAGCCCTGTATTTAATTAAAACTTGGTACTTACTCTGCGGCGCCATTGAATAAATGGTAGCGCTTTTTCATGAGTTCACTTTTCAGAGTGAGACCAAACTCAGTGATATATCTTAACTTAAAAGGCTCAAAAAGTAAACATTCCTCGAGTTGGTGAACACTCTGTTGTTATCATTCCATCTTCATATTAGCGATTTGTGCATTGTGTTGTATAAAACGTTGTTTACGTGATAGTTATTTTTTTTAATATTATATTGTATTATTGCTATTATTATGGTAAGGATTTTGTTTTAGTGATTTATGTGATTGTTTAGTTTTAAAAATGAACCTTCCAAAGTGAAGTTAAACTTAATTTGACTGTGATCTACTATAATTTACTATAATGGGAAATCAAACAGGTCAAATACATTTATAGTTTTTTTTTAATATAGCACAAGAGATCGATTCAATCTGACCAACATGTACAAATTTTTTGTACTATTTCGATTTTCTGTGTAAAGGATAGTTGATTCGTCAAGTCGGCGGTATTTTGGCAGAGTGCCCAAAAAGAGCACCTAGTCTACGTACCAAAAAATATTTTTTACAAATTATTTCATGTATTATATACTATAGTGTAAATTAATTCTGTTTAAGAAAATTTTATTAGTCTTAGAATATTTTTTTCAACTACAAATAATGAATAGTAACAAATGTGTCTTTTAACTTAGTACAAAATCGCCACTTAGTTTATCAATGCGTTATGTTATCGGTATCCCATTCTCGCAACGATCGCAAAGACAGAATTTGTTACTATTTTTTAGAAAGCGTAAGAAATAACAGATAAAAATAATTTCGTAAGATTTGTTGTTAAACTTTATATGTAAATATACCAGATATGATATTTGTATTTCTTCAAGTACGAACACAGAAAATTGTTTCCTACAGAATTAGCGTATCGAGAAAATCTGAAAAATTTTGTGAAACGCTTTATTTGATAGCGCGTTGATCTATATCTCTAATAATACAATGCATTCGCAAGTTTGTTGTTAACCAGATTAGTATATCACTAATTATTTGTGCGACAGAAAAACAATCAGGTGGCGAATTTGGGTCACAATATGCCTTAATACCGAGTAGAATATTATTTAAGTCTAGTCTGCACCTAGTCTGATGTGTTTCTTTTTAAATTAGTTTTAAGTTCTAGTCATTTTGTACTGCATTTAGTTAGGACGTCGTGGATGTTTCTGCGACGGGCGCTGTACATTGATCACCCTCTGGACAAATTACATACTCGGGTTTTTTGGGTGTCGAATGCTTCTGAGTCCCATCAAAACCTAGCGGGTTGCTGAAGGTATATCTTTTACGCAATCTTCACCTACCTATTAGATTCAATGGCACCCGCTAAATGTGTGTATTGTAATGTTTTGCACGACAATGCACTTTTAATTTATACCTGAATCTGGGGGGGTTGTCTTTTCAAAAAAAAACTGGAAAAATGGATAATATTATGCTTATGTATTGTAACAGATACAGTTCTTCACATCTCATCGATTGTTGACAAGATTCCAGTTAATTTTTAGTGCAATAGCAAAAATATGTAAAAAAAATGGCAATATCATATCCGATCGAGTGTATTCGTGGATTTCACGAATTTACACAATACTGTAGAAAATAGCGTTGATTAAAGAAATATTTAAAATACTTTCGGGGGTGTTTTTTTATCATCTTTTAATTGGAGAGGTGGATTGAAAACGGCGGATCGATATGGAACGTTTCGAGCGTGCGCCCCTTTTCCAAGAAGCATCGTTATCGTACGCATGCATCCCTGGTCGTGCATTACCGCAGTATATGTGCCAACATGATCGAAACTACCCCTAATATGAATCCCGATGAAAATTCGCGTCAATCATCCTGATTATGTTAATCTGCCGTAATAAACTATTGTGGGAGGTAGGGGAGTGCGCGGTGTTGTGATGCTGTAAAAGAAAGTGCGAACATTCCTCCTCATAGCATGGCCTCGGTCGCCGCTTGGCTGCCATTTGCCCGGGCGGCGGCCATCGGTTGGGTACCTATTGCAACCCATCCGCTCCCGCCGCCCCCGATTCCAAAAGACCGCCGAAAGGCCGACGACGAAAAACTTCTCATCAACGTATCTGGTAGGCGCTTTGAGACATGGAGGAACACGCTAGAAAAGTACCCGGACACGTTACTAGGCTCCAACGAGAGGGAGTTCTTTTACGACGAAGACAGCAAGGAGTACTTTTTTGACCGTGATCCAGATATCTTTCGACATATACTCAATTATTATCGCACCGGAAAACTCCATTATCCCAAGCACGAGTGCCTAACTAGTTACGATGAAGAGCTCGCGTTTTTCGGTATCCTTCCAGATGTTATTGGAGATTGTTGCTATGAGGATTATCGAGACCGTAAACGGGAAAATGCAGAGCGACTTATGGATGATAAGTTGTCCGAAAATGGTGATCAAAATCTTCCGCAGCTTACCAATATCCGTCAGAAAATGTGGCGAGCCTTTGAAAATCCTCACACTTCCACTGCAGCTTTGGTTTTTTATTACGTTACGGGTTTCTTTATAGCTGTATCGGTTATGGCAAACGTGGTGGAAACTGTACCGTGCGGAACTCGACCTGGACGTGCGGGACCTCTTCCTTGTGGGGAACGCTACAAAATTGTGTTTTTCTGCTTAGATACAGCGTGTGTTATGATATTTACCGCCGAATATTTGTTACGATTATTTGCGGCACCAAATCGAGTCAAATTTGTGCGCAGCGTTATGAGTATAATAGACGTAGTTGCGATATTACCTTATTACATTGGTTTGGGCATTACGGACAATGACGACGTCTCCGGCGCCTTTGTTACCCTTAGAGTGTTTCGTGTGTTTAGAATCTTTAAATTTTCACGTCATTCTCAAGGATTACGTATCTTAGGATATACACTTAAGTCTTGCGCTTCCGAACTCGGCTTCCTCGTGTTTTCTTTAGCGATGGCGATAATCATATTTGCGACAGTTATGTTTTATGCAGAGAAAAACGTAAACGAAACAAATTTTACGTCTATTCCGGCGGCCTTCTGGTACACCATCGTAACTATGACCACATTAGGGTAAGCAGTTCACGAACTGACGATTTGTACATAATTTTCAAATTTTAGATACGGCGATATGGTGCCGGAAACAATTGCTGGGAAAATAGTTGGCGGGGTCTGCTCGCTTAGTGGTGTACTGGTAATCGCTCTGCCAGTACCCGTAATAGTGTCTAATTTCAGCAGAATTTATCATCAGAATCAGAGGGCCGACAAACGTAAAGCGCAGAGGGTAATATTCCAATTTTCCGCTTATTTTGTTTAATAGCACAATTTGGCCAACGATTGATTGATGACGTAACGGCCTTTGTGGCCTAGTTTAATGACGCAAAATCTTGCACAAGTATCAAGTTCGATTTAGGTAGAAAAACGACATACACAGAACCATCACACGTATACTGTGCTTTCAAACAAATGCGAAAATATTGTATAAATCAAGGGGTAGGTAGGTAGTTCACACGTGCACAATTCAAATAATTTACTACTCAACTAATACAAAAGGCAGTTCGGATAACTAGAAGTAGGTAATGCAAATACTCGAATACTTTTGAGCTTCAATAATTCAACAAAATAAATAAGTGTGCTGTAAAATCGTGTGGAATTAACTACAATATAATTTCACACCCCCCTTTTATAAGGGAGCACAATCTTCTTTAATCCAGTGGACAAATGATAGTGATAGTTAGATTACACATTTTTGTTAAGGAATCAAATGAGTCCTTTATGGTAGCAATGAACAGAAAACGTTTGAAGAGATTTGCAATAATTTATGGCAAGTAGTACCTACATATTTTGCAATTTAAATTTTGGAAGCCAGGATACAGGTGCGGGGCGGGTAGTTCAAGGTACCTACCAGTATGGTGGTTCATATACAAAAAGTCTAAGAAGGTAACGTTTAGAAATCCCTGAACGTTTTTTTAGTTTTTTAAATATTTTGAAAAAGTCGGATTTTTCGATTTTCTGGCATTACTTATTACTTAACTTTCACCAAAGAGTAACTAGTATTTTTTGCTTTTACCAAGAAAAAAGTATGATTGAATACAAATGAATGTGGGTCATTGAATTCAGAATAAAAAGGCCTTCCGGAATATCATGATATCGCAATATCAGGCCCATATTTAATAAAAAGAAGTTGATGTTGATTCCTCCAAGACGAACCGTCGGATTAAAAACTTAACTTCACCTTAAAGAGTATTGAAAGTTTCTGTGGAAAAGTGTCATTGCTTTTGCTCTATGTCGAATATTAACCCCAGAAAAAAATAGTTAGTAAAAATCCGACTTTTCAAAATATTTCAAGAACCAAAAAAAATTTCAGCTAACTTCTTGGACCTTTTCTCCCATTTAACCAAATTTATATCTCTTACCCATTCTAGAACTTAATAACAATTTTAACTTAACAAATTTAAACGTAATGGTATACATTCAAACTTAATTTATTTTATTGCAGATATATAATTACCAATATAATTTTTATTCATATTTTTGATTTTGCCTGTCGGGTTGAGGGGCGAAGTAAATTTTTACCTAGGGCAGGGCCATTAGCAAAACCCACTCCCATGAGCTCCGCGAGATACGGCCCGGTGAAATTTTCAAAAAAATACGAGCGGTGGACTCTTCATTTTACCTCCAACCGAATCATAAAATAGGTACCGAGGGTGGCTTGTAGAATCGTGCCCTCGCAATAGACCATATAAAATATAATTTTTGAAACGGAGAAGGGGGATACCATGACCATAATATCAAAGGAAACAAAAATGTTTGAAGTACGACAAAAATTACAGCCCTTAGAGTAGACGAATCGTTATGTAAAAAAATGTTTATAACAAATTTATAATTGCTGAACTTGATGGACGTAAGTATATACTTCCCTGTGTACTTAATTGGTGGTTTGTGGACCCTCTGAACAAAGATATTCGATGCGAAAGACGAATCATCAAGTAAAAGTGAGTGCACTGTCGATCCTGTAAACAAAATCAATGAACTGGCAATTCCATTAACAAACTTGATAAATCAAGCACCAAATTTACCTAAATTTCGGAATTCGGGGATTTGAAGGCATTTCTGGGGATATCTTCCTGGTGGACATTCGGGCACCGATTTACCCCTCGATAGCATCTTGCACTACCTACCAATTTTTAATTTTGAAAGCGTATTAAACCCTAGAAATATTGGCATTAATTCGCCACATGATAATCAAGTCCGTTTGTTGGATACTCTGTACCATTGTATTATACTATGCCTGTACTATAGGTAGGTATACCTACTTTGGGTGATTTTACGGAAATAGAATGCGTATATACGCGTACCTATCTAAATACCTAACCGCGGCAAGTACAGGGTGTCCCATTTTCGACACTTATAAGTAATAAAAGAAAGCGCGTGTAAGAGATGCGGGGGAAAATCAAAAAATTGTCAATTTCAGAATTTTCCTATTTAAAAGAGATACAGAAAATGTTTGTTGCAAAAGTTTTTTTTATAATGATTGTGGAATAATATGCGGTTTTCAAAATAACTATATAAAGGGGCAGGTAACAAAGTTATCTAACCCTTTTAATGGAACACCCTGTACCTAGGTATAGTTTAATCTAAAAAGATAATATGCCAGATGCAAAAAATTCAACAATGTTGGTGTACTCTTTTAATCATTGGAACATTATTTTAATGTTTTTTGAATTTGCTTGAAATACCCAAAAAGAGCACTAACAATTATAGACAATGGGAGAACCTGTACAATTCATTGCGCTTGTCTATATTTCACTGGTTGACCACTGCAACTACTACTAATAACCAATTGCAATCAAATACTGCACTTTTCTTTTTTTATTCTTACAGAAAGCTCGACTGGCACGAATACGAATAGCTAAAGCGTCTTCGGGCGCGGCGTTTGTTAGCAAAAAGAAGGCAGCCGAAGCTCGTCTAGCGGCGCAGGAGTCGGGTATCGAGTTAGATGACAGTTATCGCGAGGAGGACATCTTTGAATTGCAACATCACCATCTGTTAAGATGTTTGGAGAAAACAACAGATCGGGAGTTTGTAGAATTAGAGGTTCCGTATAATGGCCATCCTAAAAGACCAGGATCTCCTTCTCCTCTCGCGAGTCCAGCTCATTCTGCCGTATCAATTGGTTTCTTACAATCTTGCTGTGGAAGATGCTGCCCTCGACGATATCAACAAGCCTGTGGGAAGTACATGCCGGCAACCTCGGCAGCTCAAAGTAATCAAACGGGAGGTGGAATGGACGGCACCTATTTAGTCGAGGCGTCTTTTTAGGCTTGATATGGAGGATTAGGTTCAATGTCCTTTAACTCGTCTTTTCTATTGGCTCCAAACATCGATTTTAGTTGTGTTTATTTGTATAGTGTAAATTGTGATATAGATATACTTAATAAATTCAGTTAGTACTAACTTATCAAACCTGTGTATCAGAAATAAATTGATACACCTTTTATAGACATTGTTAGTTATGGAATTTTGAGCGCATTTAATTAACATTTCTAGGTGTCTGAGACATTCTTTATGGTCCATTTTTACACACCAATATCTCCTACCCTATGGGCCATACACGATACAAAACATGACTGTCGACGTAGATGATGTGTTTTCAGGCTTCACTTTTCATTAGATTCAAACACCATTTTCTTATGTGTCAAAGAAAAGGGAAAAGCAATTTCTTAGTCGTACAGTTGTCTTAGTCTTTCGAATTAGCAAAACTCTTTGACTTTATAGACAATTATTATTAGCCTTAGAGATATAAATTTTAAACTTTTTAAAGTTTAGAGAGTAATTTAATGAATAACCTTTTGATGTTTTTATTCTATTTCAGTACTAGCACAACGTAAGTAACTCTAAAATTTATTAAAAGAAATATATTTTACAAAGTATGTATATTTATGATAGGTATAGTGTAGATATAGATAGGATCAAACTCTATATGATTTTTTATTCTAAACAAAATAAATTTAAGTTGTTATACAATCGTTTGTAATGTGCTTTTTCCTAGCAAAATACATCAATCGAGCACGACTTAGGTAATATATAGAACGGCATCTGATATTGTCGTTTCACCAAATTTCCGACGTAGCGCAGAAACAACTCTGAGATCATGGAGGTAAAAGATTTTACCTCCATTTCTGAGATATTGTTAACTAGAAGGCCTGCGCCATAGCATACAAGTTTGCATAAATAAACGATTTAGTCAGTTTTGAATTGTCCAATACGAATATCGATGATGGTTGCTGAAGGATGAAAACAACCCCTATACTTCCTACTACTAATAAAATGGAAAGTAACAAAATTAACCCGTTTCCTAAACCCACCTTCAATTATCCATTCAAGTTACTGTATTTTTTATGTTATAAAATCGTCCCCCAATCGGAAGTTATGCCGGGCGTTTGAATATGCGATCAGATAGATCGTAATGTTTAATATAAAATTATATTTGACAAATTTTCCGTATCTCGCCAAATAAAAGAGATATTGAGGTGACCCTCTTATCTCGAACGCACTGTATACAACGGAGGAGTTCCATTCGTACTACCCAGTCCGAGCCGACACTGTTACCGAGATTTTAAAGCGTCGTTTCGGCATGAAAGTTAGATAGCTCTTCTTATATTCTTGTTTTCCAGTTATCAATTGAGAATTGAGAATCCCTAAGATCATCACACTTACAAAGTCAATTTCTTTAAGCAGCATGAATGGGTCGTTTCCGAATTCTGCCGACGCGCAATCCCACAGCTCATAAAATCGACGTCCGACAAGAATAGAAAGGGAGAGGCGGAATTTGAAGTCATCTATACTCTCTAAAATAGTTCAAAATGTTAAAAAAAACTTGTAAATATGAAACAGAAAAACAGTGAGTGTGCGACGTAGCAATTCACGTGGAGAGGCTCAGAAGGAAATACTATAGCCTCCTAAGAAATCCGATATCCCCAAGTTGCTGCGGCAAAGATGGACTGAATTGGAGGGTCATCCGTACCATGATAGAGTACCTTCAAAGACATGGACACCAGGTTCCTAGTCGGAAAACCAATGAAATTACAGTCGATTGTTAATTTATTTTACTGGACCTCCTACCGGTACGAACGTTTTATTTATAGCTGTTGAACGTAATGAACGGAGGTTGATCATTTCAATATGCAAAGTGCGACTGGCACGCCCTCTGGGGAGCATCCAACGTACTAACCAGTTTCGAAGGATGGGGCCATAGTCATGACATATGATACGTCTATGGCTATAGCGACGTCGGAGGTCACTTATTACTAACTTCGTACATTTTTTGCTGATGAGGTGTTGTCTGTCAAAATTTAGAAATGTCAAATTTTAAATATTTGTTTTGCCTATATAATTTTAACTATTATTATAAGTAATGTTTATTTGGTACAGATCGTCACTGGCGTTAATATGATTTGTAAAATAGTATATAAAGTAGTAAATAAATAATGGATTGGTTACGCAACAACTCATTTCGAAGTCTAACCCGACAACCACCTAGAAGTCTACTGAACACCACTGCAGAATGTGATCGAACTGCGTGCTATGACAGCTTTAAAGAGCACTGGTCGCAAGCTTTTAAAATTATCCAAAGGAGTCAAGTATAAGCAGTTCACCAGTTGTGTAACAATTCTTAATTCGGCATTTCTTTTAGCAATTGCCTACGCACGATGACGTACTGGGGGTTGTCAATTACCTTGAACAAATGGTTACGTTATTACTATTGGATACCAAAGAAGTGGACCAAATAACAATACCCGTTTCTAATTCGTCACAGTGCTTAGAACATCTAATTAGTGAGAACATTTTAGACAAACTGTTTGAATGGGGTATACGAACGGGAAAGTGAGTCTTCCATTTACTATTGAAAGATATTCAAATATCCACTTGCAACAAACAAAATATGTGCCACTAATGAGTGTTTGTTATATACAATTATAGTTACCTGATACGGTATTGTCAGAATCAATTATTTTTAGGTTTTGCATAAATAAGGCCCAAGGCTAACCTATTATCAACTAATGGACAAGGTTATACGGGCGTTCAAAAATTCAAGTCATGAGAAAAATGTCAAACTACCACACTGGTAGATTCGACACTTCAATCAAACCCATATCTACCACAGAGGTTTTTGTAGAAAATGATTTCCACCAAGATAACTATTGCAATATATTAAATTATTGTTTAAAGGTTAAAATATTCGTGTTTCTTATAGCATTTCAAGAAATACTTTTCATCTTGAGATTACCTTTTGAATTCATATTGTGTGCTTAAACATAGTCTTCGAGATAGTCTTCTATGATTTTTGTTTTTTATTAATTTATTAATAAATGTACGAGTACGAGACCAACTACGTTGCAATAGTTTCTTTTTCTCTTTGTTATATTTCCATTTGTAAATACATTTCATAAAGATTTATTATTAGTGCGGGAAGTACCAACATCGTGGCGCCCGAGGTTTTTACAAAAAAACGGATCGATTAGAATTATTAATTTAATAAAGGGTAAATTTCAGTTTTGTCTGAGTATAACAAAAACATGGAATTCGGACCAGAACGATAATAAATAGCGGATTATATACAATACAGGTGAAGCAAGCATCTTTGCCTAGAAAAGATATCAGTTTCAGGGGGTTTAACTGTACCTGCATAACCAGACAAATTGGGGTATAGTGGTCATTTCTGTTGTGAGTTGCGGTACACTTTGCGACTACCAGTTTCGTAACTTTATATTTGAATGTCACTTAATTATTTTATATACAGTGTGTCCCATTTATCTTGAGACAATCGATTATTGTGGAAAGTAGCGGGGATATCTAAAAGTGATTTATATAAACGTAGGAGCCCATGTTTAACTTAATTGTTTCAAATAGAAACATTTCCTTTTTATTGATTAGTCTTATTCTTCATAATAAACTTTCGTTCTTTCCCCACACCTACTATTTTGAAGACACTCTTCCAAAAGCGCGATTTTTGTTTTAAGTTAGAAAGCTGTTCTATCACCTTCTTGAAAATTGAAACCATGGCGTTAAACATAAAAAAACTCGCTATTGAAAAATCAGAAAGTGCCCATACTTGGTTAGGCCACTCCCACCTTCCCCCACTATGGGGTTGCATATAACAAGAGAGATAATTCATGAAACGGCACCGGTTCTAGCTAAAGTAAGCCAATATAAATGACTTTAATTGGTGTACTAGTGTACTACAATTATTTTGATTTGGCGAGAACCAAATCAAGATTTCTAGAACCAAGTGTCATGTGTGGCCCTACTAAATTTAGTTATTAAGAGTCGAGTGACACGTATTAAGTATACATTTTTAGGTATACGAATGCTGTTCGAATGGAGCAATTAAAGCTGTATGAAATGCTACTCACCCAATCGAGGCACTTGCTTTTGGTGCACGAACCCTTCCTACGACCTTTGTTGAAACTTCTTCAATCTTGCCAAGATGAGGTGTTCTCGAAGGAAATCGAAAAGCAGTTGGTCAGCCTGCTTTACCAACTCTGCGTCCTTTTGATGCAGAATGTCGATCTATTGGACTTGTTTTTTTCGAAGGAGCAAAACAAATCGAAGTAAGTATCGTGAATAAATTTGATTGCGCTAAATTCGCACTTTCAGATTCATAATCTTCTCGTTATTAATTTCCTTCGTTCATCGAGAAGATTCGGTCGGAATGCAAGCCAGAGATGCTTTGCTGCTGTGTATGTCATTGTCGAAGAAAAATAAAAATGTAGCCGCCTACATATTGGAGCATTCCAATCTTTGCGTACTACTCGCCACCGGCCTTAGTGCGTTGTATTCAATTTTGCCGCATGTGCTGCAGGATGTAGTTGCACCTGACTGGCATCGATTGACACCCGACGATGTTAATGATATTAAGGATTTATCGACGTTTGTTACTTCACTGGAATTTGCAAATGCCGTAGCGCAAGTTGCCCACCCACATATTCGAAGGCAACTTCAGGAATTTTTGTATAGGGGGTTTTTAATTCCCGTTTTGGGACCAGCCTTACTTCAAGCAAGCGTTGGCGAAAAAGTGGCTGCTACTACGTATTTAGAATTGATTTTACGTACTGTAACGCATCCGGGGCTGCTGTATCCCCTGCTGCAATTCCTAATACAGCAACAATACGATGGACATAGGCTCCTGCATATATTAATACAACGAATTTCTGCCGAGGATGATTTGTGTCTAGTTACAATCGCTCTCTTTGAAACCATGGTAGAGATTAATTGCGAAGATTTAATGCTGGAATTGGTGTTTCAATACTTGCAACCGTGTCTTCATTTGATGTTGTCGCAAAGGCAAAAATTATTACCTCTCGATCCGCACTGCCATAGCTTCGAAAAATTCTTACATTTAGCGCCTTCTTGTTGCGATCCAGCGGGGCTATCTCCCAAAGTGGATACACGAAATATTCATTGGAATCACTATGGAAGCCAACAGAGTTTATACGGAAATTACCATGCCTATTTATGCGACGCTAGAAATAAAATCGCCGCTTGTCAACTGGCCTGTTCCCATTGGAGCAATTCTTACACCGGATGCGATTCCACTGTAACACAAGATACCAATTTGTCAGGTGTGTATTATTTTAATTGTAAAGAGAGAAAATTACCATAAAGAGAAGGTGGTGCACACATACAGACGGCTATTATGAGGGATGTAAGTTCATATATATTTCGGCTGCACAATCCAGGTGTCGTTTCGAAAGTATACCTATAAAAGGCAGTATCGTCGCTCCATTCTTATTAGCACCTACAAAATGCAATTATTTGAAGAGAGTAGCTGACATATTACTCTTTTGGTAAAACCTAATGGCCAAATAATGTATAATTTGCATTTATAGCATAATTTAAGGATACTTCAGAAAATTTGAATTTAACGGCAGTGTTCACACCTACAAAATAGGGTATTGACAAATACCCGCTCTGATATACAATCCCTTGTGAAAGGCAAAAAATTTCCATATTGAATTTAGAGCTTCTGGGGATCAGTCCTGTTTGGTTAGAAACTAATTTTAGTTGCAAAAATCAAGGGTGCAATTTTCCAAAAACGTTATTGGCATACCAGTAAAGTGCTCTTTGGGGATGAGATATGCACAATTATTAAGACAAGTTAAAAAGTCCTTATGCAAACATAAATGACGAGCGTATTTTCCTCTTAATAGTTAATGCTGTCCCATTCTCTTCATGCAACACTTTTAAATGCTTTCGTAAATAGCATTGCGCATTGTCTACATTAGAAATTTTATCGAATACCTTCATAAATAAAACATACAGCATGCGTAAACAATAATTTTGAAACCGGTATTAGTTTTAGTTTCATTCAAAGTGCCTACATATGATATTTCATTTAACTGCTTTTGTAAATAATAAAGTTGCCATTGCGCATGCGCAAAACCAAATTTTAAAACTGGTGTTAGATTTGCTTGTATTCCAAGTGCCTATGTATTAAATGCTTCAGTAAATAAGGAAGTTGGCATTGCGCATGCGCAAAACCAAATTTAGCAACTGGTATTAGATTTATCTTTATTCCAAACTGAGTAAACATGCAAAATTTCAAAGTCCTAGGCCTACTTGTAAGTTTGCTTGGGCGAGCATTAGGATTTACAACTCACTTGGTGTACATTAGGTCTTACAACCCTAACGCCACATTTGGTCCTTCGAGCCATTAAATGAACTAGTACCATGCTACGTTTGTGTTCCGGTCCCAGTAAGCGCTACGTTTCGTCCTTCGAGCCGGATGCTACATTTGGTCCTTTGAGTCCTTCACCGAACGGGTGCCGCTTTACCACAAGTGTTCCAGTTCAAGTGCCCAAAATAGCAAATATGGAGATGGAAAAGTTGACCACGGTCGGTTCGAACTCGCAACGTTCAACCAACGTCACTCGTAGATCATGGACCTGCAACAAAAGCCAGGACAGGATTACTACACCAAGGGGCAACGGTTTTAATGTCCAATGGGACAGCAATGGAAACGCCCATTCGCCACGATACCTGGAAGGCGAGGATTCCAAGAAATACCTTTCCTACCCTGCCTCTCATCTGAAGTGGTCTTCCTTCCTCTGCTTCCTCTTGTACGGCACACAATGGTCGAGAATTGAGGCATGTCTCAATTTGGCACAACACTCTCGACAATCTATCAAAGGTCTGACGCAAGGATCTGGATTAGTCTTGACGAGAGGAAAAGGAATACAAAAGGGTTTCTATCCCACGGATACAGATCCCACAATTTGAGGACTACGCGACATGGACCAGCTTCCCTGACCCGTTCCACAAAATGGTGCACTCAAATAAGAGATTAACTGACGTGGAAAAAATGCAACATTTGAAGACAAACCAAAGAGGAGAGGCCAACAACTACTGGTATGTGAAGCCAACTACAAGGACACATGGAAGCTGCTAACAGAATAAGCGACTATACTGTTATCTAAACTAAGCAACATCTGCAACATACCAAAAATGAATCCAGACTCCAGAGGGACCATGACACTATTGCCGATAGACTGCACAATTAACAACATGGATGTACAAACCCAGTCCACCCACCAACAACTGAGGCCAGACGGAAAATCGTTGGACAGAAGGGTATCACACCATCTGCATAGTATGCCCAATCTGCAAGGAAGATCACTTTCTGCCAGCCTGCAAGAGGTTTGGTGAACTGTCCGTCCACAAGGGAATGTTGGCAAATTGCCAAGAAAAATCAGTTGTGCTTCAACTCCCGACAAGCGCACAAAACCAAGTCATGGTCGAATTCGATTTCTCGAAACTCCTGTATCGACATTGGCAATTTGACCTTTAACCAGAAAGTTACTTTCACTATTTTCCTGCACTTTAAATCTCCACTTGAAATTCAAAGTGCTGGGTAGAAGTGTGACTGTTGAAGACCCTCCAAAGTGATTGATGCAAAATAGCCTGGAATCAAAGAGTTGTCCAATGTCACCTACTGTACGCCTCAGGAGTTAACATACCGGTAGTTTGCGCTACTCTTATATAGTTCCCTATATCATGTTTAATGAGCGATCGTCGAGAATTCTTTTGAATTTCTCTACTCCATGAAGCATTTGAATGATATGGCATCTGTTCAACCAGATTTACTGGAATTGGGTAGCTCACATATCAAACTTTATGGGTAAAAGCCATGGAGTCTAGCAGTTACCCGCCTAGGATACTTAGTTTCGCCACTGAAATAGTGCGTAAAACGTTTCAGAAATATTTAATGAAAAAAAATATTAGTTACATTACATTCATTCTAGAATGTTAAAGAAAGGAACCATGCGCTGTCTCAGCGCCCGACAGAATGTATAACATAGTTTTCAATTAATTGTAATTGTTAATTTGAGAAAATTTATACCTGTTTTGGTTTCAGTAGAGAGTCCAAACAGCCTACCGTCGTTAGGAGAGAGTAGTGGCTATGAAAGTTTGAAAATTAAGCTGGACGACGCAATAGAAGATCTTCCCTCGTGGCAAATATCTCAAAATGAAACAGCGAGCAATAAACAGTGCAATTTAAATGAGCATTTGAACGAAAATGGAGACCAACTGTGCACGTCCAGTACGGCGGGTCCCTTCATAACGGTCGTATTAGACAAATTGAATACAATGATATCTAATACTTTGTACGTTAATCTCCATCTAACGGGTCTAATTTCGAGGTTGGCAGTGTACTCGCAACCGTTGCTTCGAACATACTTGTTAGATCATAGCTTAGTTCTCCAGCCAGATGTGCCGTCCTTATTCCAGGTAAGTCACTGTACGTGCGTACGTAAATTCACTACCATTTTCTAGATTATTGGAGCAACGAAACAGAAGATAGACGAATACATGAACCGGCAGACTGATAGCAAATCATTGATAAAGCAGGCGAGATCTTTCCTACAGGAACGCGAAACTCGATTAGTTAATGCACGACGAAGCGCTCTGGAATCGAAAAACTTGGCGGCCACGACAACGACTGCCGACACGTTTGAGCCTTTCCAGAGGAACGGACCTAAGCGCCGCAGTTTTACCTCACCTTTATCATCCTTTTCGAATATGTTTACCAGACGAGTGAGCCATACTGAGACGAGCATACAGCTAGTGTCGCCATCTGAAGATACCGCATACACCCAACTAAAATTTAACGAACCCCAACAGGTCGCGCTGTGCGCCGTTGTCTTAGACGAGTGGGTGAAGGAACTTGCCGCGTTAGCTCAAGAGCATACGATTGCCCAATTAAGCGCATTATTTAAATGATTATTTCCATATTGTTTTATTCAATTCTATCGAATATCTTAACCTCGAGTTCTGGAAAGTGGGTCCTTTTACTAAAAAAAAGACCAGTTAACCGTATTTTATTGATATTAGAGCCAATTCCATGCGATGTACTGATTAGGCCTACTCTAATAAAACAATGTCATAGTAATACATAGGATGTCTTAATTTAACTGATGCAAATTAATTTGAATCCCGTTTTTATTATCAAAACGATATACCTCATTAGTATAGAGTGGAACATAGACAATCTGAGTGTAAGTACATTGCGTGAAATCGGCTCAAGTAGTCGTGTTATTCTCATTTGTTATTTACGCTCTTCCATTACAAGTAGAATCTATAGTCCTACGCCGGCTCGTAAACGGTACTGTGTATCACTGCATTGCTAAACGTATGTGTATTTTTCGTTACACACTCATTCATTTTTTTTTGTTTATACAAAGGCAACCTTTGCATGAGCCGAAAGTAAATGGGCTCAAGTGTTCTTGTGATAATAGAACGTGCATTTACATTAATTGCGGTAATGTCGGTACCTGTCACCAAGTTCGGATAAACCACTAACTATAGCAAACGTCAGTTTGCACTACACAATCTCAATAAAATAAACGGTATTGTCCATTTAGTCAATTACTATAAATGCAAAAGCGAGTTTTTACAGTTTTAATGGAATTGGTTTCTTTTTTTCATTTCTTTTATTTCTTGTAGCTACTTTAGCTAACAATTAAGATTTTTTTGTGATGCAGTTGTTTTATATATTTGTTTTGAATGTTAGGAGTGTTTTAGCCAAGAATTGTATATAAATAATATCTGTGATGACTTTAGTAAAATTATCAAATTTTTTATTTATGTTGTATTTATAGTTATGCAATTTCCTTTGTGAATATTTATGTTATACTAATGTTTATTCCGTCAGGTACAAAATTTACCATAGGTTTTAAGTAACGAAAGTATAAAATATGTATGTATATTTTAATAACTGTCAAGTAATATGTACCCACTGTCTGCCGTAAAAATATTTTATACATATCGTCGAGCATTAATATACTTTTTACTTCTTTTATACTAACTCTCTTTAAAAATTAGCTTTCATGGTTTTTAGTGTTTGTATTGAGTTATTGTAAACAATATCTTAAATATATCACATCCATTACTTATGTTTTTAGTAATAATAATAAATTGTATTTTTATTACATTTTTACACTTATTTACAGCGTCCAAATGAATTTAAAAAAAAATAAAAATTATTAAGAACAATAGTTAGTCTTGATAAACGAAACATTTACAACTTCCTTTGTGATTAGTTGGCTAATTGACTCATTACCACTCTCTGAATAATAATAACAAAATGGATCAGCGTATATACGGCAGAACTACTCGTAATTAAGCAAGCATTACTATTATTGCCTTACCAAAAATTAAATTTCATGAAGTTAAACAAGTAACCTAATTTTGGCTAAAGTCGCCTCAGTCAGCTTTGTTTTTATAAATACACAGCTGGTCTCTCGGAGCCTTGTACCTACTATAGTGGTACCACAAACTTATAAACATTGAAGAGAAATCTGAGAGATTTACAAACTTTAAAACTCTCGATCATCTTAAAAATTCAAGAACAAAAAATTTAAGTCGACTAAGGTACCATAAGCGTTGTACAAGCACCCCAATAATCGCAAAAACTCCAACAAGTTTTATATCTTTACCTCCAAAACCATGACAAGCTCAACAACCACAAGAATAATCCCCCGCACTGTCGTCTATGGGGTAGACAACCCTCGTTCCCTTATCGTATCTCGAAAATGCTACGTATTATCAAGTTAAAACTTTCCTATTCATTTACTCACCACTTATCACTAACAAATTTGCGTACTCCGATTTAAGAGTTGTTTAAACTGACCCCTTTACGATATCTCGTAAATGATGACTACCTCGCATCGACGATGTGGTACATTGACGGGCGGGGGTTAGAACATTCGTTTTACTCGCGATTTACCCTCAAAAATGATTAAAAGAAATGCGCTCGAAAAGTTTCGAATCGAACACATTAAGACTTCGTGGCTTGAAGCAAGGCAGCACATGCGCATTACACAATTGTTGGAACTTTTCATGGATGAACATTCAAATACATACCGAATAGCAGCTGCCCAGAAACCATTTTTCTTATTTGCACCTCAAAAAACTACAAGTTGTACAAACAATCATCGAAATCTTGGACGTTGCAAACCTGTTATAAAAGGTTCAACAGCCACTTACAAACTCGAAATTGTTAAAAAGTCCATATAAACCTCACCTAAAACTGAAGGAAAAAAATTGTCATTTGGACGTACGAGTATATTTTCGTTTTTCAAATTTTGTATATGTTTATAACAAAAATGAATAGTTTCGGTGATACTTGACGCATTTGAATAGTTGACGTGGCTTGAAAGAGATTGCATGGGCTTATCGGATAGCACCGCGTGCGGGATAGAAAATTCAAAAGCGTCTTTGCAATATGTCACTAAATAGGCGCAAAATGGGAATTGGTATTGTCGGTCAAATACTGTCGACTTAAGAGACCACCTTTTCGACAGGTTTTCATCAGGACAATAAGGGTTGTAAATTAAAAACGCAGATTTTGAATTTCTATTTTTAACTACAATCAACATTAAACTATGACATTCAGTGAGGGCACAGAGATTTGAGGTCTCAATAAATATTGCCTGTATATGTTTATTAATTATGATTATGTTTTTTTTAAATGTTTTTTGCTGTTGTACTTCATGCTCAATAAACATTATTATTATTATTATATCGCATTAATTTTTAAAACTAGAAATTACACGCATTCCGACGCAAATAATCGATCATCACAAACTTTTGTATCAATTGTAACACAATCGCGCATCCTGACAGCACACGGCATGCCATATTTCTAAATATTTAATCACGAATTTCTTTATTTTGTTGTATATCAATCCATATGCATGTGTTAAAAAACAAAATGAATGTCAACACTTTATTAGTTCCATAATATTATACCAGTGTAACATCCAAATATGAATATGAAAAGTACAAATAGACAATTCAAAAACACAATAACTTAAAGTATAGCCACTAAACAGTAAAGAAATCACAGGTGGTGACTACAAATATTTATTTTAAAAGAAAATTGAACACTTACAGAAATCTAAATGTAATGAGATATGTATTAACTTTGCGATAAGATTAATACCTTCAATATATTAATTTAACCTTAATACTAATCACAGCATCAAATATTTTTTAATTTAGAGCTTTAATACTTATATATATTTTTCATTGTAACTGTTCAAAAATAAAAAACTCTTATTTGAAGAGCCGTTCTTTTATAGAGGGACGACTACTGAAAACATCTACAACAGTTTATTGCAACAGTCAATTTCAGTTTGTGAAATTACATAACCTATTTTTTAAAATAGTGTCCCAAAAATACTGTCATAAGTATAGCCCTGAGGGGAAAGACACGAATTAAAAGCGTATTGACAGACGATTCCTATCTATCGGAAAACAAGGCACTTATCAGAAAGCTCTAGGTGGTTAAGTTTGTCTGAGAATGGAGCACCTTCATTGATTTTATATTGACTACTTGACCCCAACTACTCAATAAATAACCTTATGCAATATGGCCAGTCTTAAGAGAAGACTAAATTTGTTTAGAAACGAAACTAACACCTATTGTTTCACAATAGAACTTAAGTAGACTAAACAAATGACGAAACAAATTAAAAAATCGTCGCAGGAACCCTAACCCTAACTCATGAGCGACGAGTGATCACATTAAATGCTCCCTTTCTACTGTACTGATGAAATAAATTTAAGGGAGGTGATCACTAGAAGACCCTTAAGTTTTTTGTACATTGCGAAATATCAGTCCATTGGTAAAAGAAAAAGTATCCTAAGACCTTGTGTTGCAGGTGGTATAGGCTCACAATTTGGGTTAATTTAACATGTTTGTGGTTAAACAAGCATGTTAAATAATGCAAATTACGCCTTTAGCAGCCTTAAGGATCTTAATATTTACAATTGATTTTGAACACTAATAAAATAACATAAATACCTACATTTGTACACTTACACAAATGAGTAAATTTATAAAATACTCACTAAATTAAAAACTGCCCCCTTAACTCACACTATCGGCTTTGGCTATTTGCCTCTTTGTATATAAATATATTTCATATAACAACTCGTCAAAATTGTATTTTTTATCGTCAGTAAAATACTCTTCGCAACTGTCCTCTTGATTCGGAAGCGCTATATTTTTAACCTCAAACATAAGTGCCAACCGTGTAGGCTGCTGTTCTTGATCGCCATCGTTCGTTTGCTCACTCTCAATTTTGACTTGTTCCTGATTGCCAGCCTCATTTTCATCCGGATTCGCCTCAGGTTCATCCGGATTCAAATCTTCGTCGTCGGTTGGTACTTCGTCTTCGATTGAATCGTCTCTGCCGGGAGACGTACCGCCTTCCTCGTTCGGAGACGCAGGGACGGGAACGTAAAATTTCCGAATGGAGAAGCCCATGAGCTGCACTCTAAAGACAACAGAATCCTCCTGAAATAATAAAAATAATGTTTTTATCATAATCACATCATTCTACACTGACGCAAGTTTCAGTAAAAAAAACAAAAACAAAAGGGGCTACTAAAAAAAAGATGAACAGGGAAAAGCAGGTAAAAAGAGGGTAAAAACCATGCAGCGTGCAAGATGGTGATTCCTAAGGAAGAATAAAATCTTTAATACTTACAATATACATTAACATAATTAAATTAGTTTACAAAGCGTTTACAAGTTGGGGGGGGGGGGGGGGAGAAAGAGGGAAATTTGGTGACAATGCGTAGTGAATTGAAGGTAAAAATTGTATAGGAAGAAAGTAGGTATAGCGACCCCCGACTGTGGAAAATTCTCCGCCTAATTTTGGGAGTTGGCCAGGAGTGCGAAATCATATTTCAGCAGTTAGAAGTGCGGGGTCATATTTTAGTAATTTATCCAGGGTGCGAGATTGATTACAAATAATTGTCTCCTTTCTAATTGTTTTTTTAATAGGCAATAAAATGAATAAACAAAAATTAGGTAAACGTGGAATTTGCACACGAAGGGGTATTGCAATATCAGTTTCAGGCCACTTTGACCTTGAAATCTGCGCATGCGCCAAGTTCAAGGTAATAGACGCATGCCAAAGGACATTGCTATGGGTCATTAACTGCTTTAAATGTGTTCAACGGAAACTGACCTAAATATGACCTCGCACTACGGGCCAACTACCAAAATGTTACCTTGCACCCTGGACCAACTGCCACGTACCACAGTCAGGTGTTGCTATACCTATGGAAGAATAAGCACAATACAACAAATACATTTTGCATGTAACACTAATAATAAATAAACCACTAATCACAGTTGAAAACAAAATGATTAAAATCTATTGAAATGCCTAAAAGTAGAAATAAACATGAGAGAAGAAATTACAGAAGGCTACCAAATTAAAGTTGAAATATAAAACAAAGTGCAAAAATGTAGGCTATAGAACAAAAAAGACATAGAATAAGAATTTAAGCTGTAAAAGAAGAACGAACAGTATAAAACTTAAATATACATAAATAATATAAAAATATAATGATAAACTCAAAAATAAATCACATTTAATAATCACCAAAATAAAAGTTAAAAACAACAATAATTTCCAAAATGACTGCTTTCGTAGTGCACACAGAACATCTTTCGCACTTCACGTATCAAGAATTTCATTTTATTTTGTATTTTTTGCAGGAATTACATCAATATTTTAAATCATGAAGAATGTAAAGTTGGGAACGATTTTATTTTCACCAATATGTTCAAACAAGCCAATTTACATAAGTATTCATTTGAGAGTGATAAATAGAAAATTTCATTTTTTCTACAACTGTCAAAAAAACCTGTCATTTTCTGACGGATTTCGAAACGCGAAGTACTAGATTTTTAAACGGTTAATTAATAAGTAACGTTGCTATTGACAACGTGCGCGAAATCATCAACAGTGAAAAAAAGTATTTCGCGCACGTGACAAAGTTGAACTTAAACAGCAAATTTAATTAACAATCGGTTCAGTTGTAGAAAAAATATTGTATATAACGCTTGCGCGAAGTTATTTCGCGCATTTGACTGATATTTTGACTCGGCTTCGCCTCGTCAAAATACCTTCAGTCTCAATGCGCGAAACTGAACTTCGCGCTCTTGTTAATTACTGTCAACAGTTTCTTTTTTTTTTGTTCTTGTTTCTTTATCTTTCCTTTACTTTTGAGTGTATTGATTTTTTTTTTTTTTTTTTTTTTCGTTTGTCAAGGTCAATGGTAGAACGCTTGATGCAGACCCTTCTGCATTTAGGCGAATTGATCTTTTTGGATGAGATTGTTTACTTACACATTATATATACACGTCTTTTTTTTGTATTCTACATATATTCAGTCAATAAAGTACAATTATTATTATTATTATTATAACTATTAAATAAAAAAAAATCCGATTGCACATGAGCCCAACATATTTTTTGACTCGGCACTAGTTTTACTTTAGTCGAGTCGCCATCTACATCTACAACCTACATAAAAAGTTTCATTTAGGTATTTAACAAATAAAAAATGGATTGCGCAAATACAAAAGCTATCGTGCACACGGACGGACAAACAGACAGACAGATACACTGACAGACGGGCATACAGACAGACAATACAATCTCAAAAAAATGGGTTTTTTACCATAACTTTTTTCGCAAGCGGCACAGAAAAAATTCCTTCCTTGGTGCAAACCTTGACAGCATAACGAACCAAATAGGGAAAAAAGTAGAAAAACTAGGGGCGGACGGGCAAAGTGCCACAATAGTAAATTTTTTTATTTTTGTGGAATTGTGCAAAAAAGAAGAGTATTACAGTGGAACAAGTTCTATACAATCCGATAAATCTAATAGGGGGGTGGCCCACTCAAATCACAGATACTGAAAGACAAACTAAGTGGCATTTGGGTCAATGTTAAAAAATGGCACAATCAAAATTTGAAAACATTCGCTCGCTTAAAGAGATACAAGGGAAAATCAAAAATTGTCAATATCAGAATGAAAAGAAACACGAAAAAATGTTTATTACAAAATTACTTTCTGGATAATCTGTCGTTTTCAAAATAGGTTACATATACGATGTCCGCAAAAAAGTTACTGGACTAACCTCATTTTTAGATAGAACACCCTGTATGTTTTAATTTAAAAAGATAGCACATTAACATTTTCTTTTTTAATATATAACGCAATCGCAATAGATAGGAAAAACAAAAAATTCAAAATTATTAAACAAGAATTAAAACATTTAAGAAAGGTTCAAATATTAAAAAACAACAAAAAATTAAACATTTTGAAATTTTTTAATTTTTTGAAAAATCTAATATTGCACTTTTTAAATTTCTTTAGTGTTATATTTCTAGAAAGTGAATTTAATATGCTCTTTTCCGAATGAAACATACAGAGCATTCCACTAAAAAAAATGACGTTTGGTCCTATAACTTTTTTACCTGATCCCGTACACTTATTTTAAAACAGCAGATTCTTCAACAGTCTTATAAAGAAACTTGTAAGAAAAATCTCTCTACATCTCCTTTAATAAATATAGGTTCAGAGATTTACAATTTTTTAAATTTCGTATGTCCATTTTTAAATTGAAATATTTTAATCAAAAACTAACATATTAAGAATCTATTTTCCAAAATATAACACTACAAAAATTCCATAATGATTTCAATAGATTCAAAAGATTTAAAAAACCTAAAGATTCAAAAAATTTTTTATCAAATCGTTTGACCTTTTTTTTAAATCTTTTTTGAGCTCTTTTTGAATCATCCTTAGTGTATTATATTTTTTAAAAGTGAATATGCTATTTTTGTAGATTATTAAGCGGCAGAGGAAAGCGATGTAAGCTTTATAGGGAACTTGATGGTGTCCGTCTGTCTGTCCGTGAACACCATAACTGCCAAACGCTTGGACCGATTTGGTTCATGCCACAAGTAATAAGCCTATTGCAAATGGGTCAAATCCAATAACCCCTTGCACAGTTAATATAGACACCACATGTAACAAGGCAATTGAAAATGACTCAAATCCAATGATGCGTAGGGTTACTCTGAGGTGCTGTGCCGCTAGGGGTTTAGTATAGTACAGGGCTTTCCATTTAAAAAAATAAAGTTAGGTCCAATAACTTTTTTGCCTAACCCCGCGTGGCGTGTGATTGTACCTAAAAACAGGTGAGGGTTGCCAATGTGATTGTCACAACGATTGCGGGATTGCGAATCTGATTGCGGGATTGTTTTAGGCGATTGTGAGATTGCAAACGCGATTGTGGGACTGTGAGGGATATTGCCACAGCAATCTGAGGGATTGCAAGCGATTGCAGACAATTTGTGGCAGTATTGCGGGAAGATGTTACCCCCTGGGTTTGATCAGAAACTGTAGGTTTGATTTTTCTTTAAAGAAAGGGTTCCTCAACGAAACTGGCGTACGTACACAGATTTCAGGTATTAATCTATACAAAGTTAGACGCAAATCAGTGGTCACTACCTCCCATTACCGTTTTTAGATCTCAAAATCAACTTAATCAGTGGGGGGAGGGGCTTTAAACAGAAAAATCTTCAGTTGGTACACATTCATCCCAGACAAATGAACGGAGAAATAATATCACTTTTTCAAGAATTTTGGTATGAACTTTCCAAAAGGCGATGAATCCAAAATTCAGAAATCTGATTTTGGTATAAAAATTACCTTTTTTAATTCGAAAATGAATCCCAATTGAAATTTTAAAACATCAAAGCCGTGAGCATAAATTGTATAGTATTTAGACATTCAGTACGCTATATTCAATTGTAAAAATTGGTAGCAATTTTTGATAAACAGTGCAATACAAAATATTACTATTAATATTTGATTGACATCAAAAATGCGAGTCAACAACATTTCTGGAAGACAATCAATTATCAAGAAATTATACTCAATATTTGTTAAGAGTGTTATTAGAAAGTCGAAGAAAACAAAACGACATTAGACTCCATAGATTTTTAAAAGAAAATTTCTTTAACAGAGTAAAAAATCACACAATTAAAATACTATAGAAGAGCCCTGTTTGATCTTCAAATTAAAGTACAAATAAAAACAATTCCTTTTTGAGTAAAGAAACTATTTTTTACGTTTTGAGCTAGAAGCAGGCCACATTTTTTTGAACCAACAGACTGCTGGCTTAGTAGAGTAAAAAAAACCATAATTATGATCGCGTTTTTTACTAGTTGCAGTGCCGCAGGTCTACAAAGCACATTTTTTTACGTTTGGGCACCCTGTGCAGAGCATATCTGAGAAATTGATATTTCTTTCAAGGCGCCATCTGCAGTACAGTGGCTTGCCTAAATTAATTTCGAATTCAGCATTATATTTTTTATTTAGTTTCAGGGCATGATTTTGGGTACTTACGAAATTGGTCATGGTGACCAAATGGGATTGGATGGTGTATCCGTCCGCCGTTAAATTCGGAACTGCCGCTTGTAGCGCCTCTAATAGAGCCAGCTGTCGACTATCCACAGAGTAATGCACGACGGATTCGAGCCTGGGGTCCTGAAGATCAGCCAACACTTTGTAGTGAACACTCAAGAAATGCACACAACACTTTATGTGCTTCCACTGGTAGCCTAATTACATTTCTGTTTTAATGTTACATTTACAGTTTAGGGACACACCTGAAACTTTGAGCGCCACTGTTCTTCCATAAATAAAGTAGACTGCCGCTGCGGCGATGACGCTATAACTGAACAGCAGGTAGTTCGGATCTAAGGTAAACAGGTCCAATAAATTTGACGCGCGAACAAACGCAAACGGCGAATATTGCGGAAACATAAAGTTAAAATTTGGATCCTTTCCCGTATTCTCATTCAAACAGTGGATCTGCATGTACAGATTGAGCCATCCAGTGGGCGTCATAAAATTGAGATCCCACTCCAATGCCTACAAGAAAAAAATTAGATCGCAAAAAGTTACGCCCGTGTACTTACAGATAAGATCGATATTTCGCATTGTACTATGTCTTCACACGAACAAGCGCCATCACAGACGTACGAAAATTCACTCAACTTGGGTGGATATATTTCCTCGAACTTAGCAGCGATAAACAGTGCAGTAATCCCTATCAGCTGTAACTGATTCTTGGGCACTGCTGGATTAACCGTTAAGTAACGGTCAATGTAATCTACCGCTAAGTAAAATGTTGTTCTCGTCAAGTGATATGCCTCGCACACCTCCATTATCCAGTCAATTAATATTGCTCTCATTCGAGGTAGGAAATTGGTGGGATCTTCGAATAGGCGACAGATTCGGTTATGTTTCGTTGCCTCCTCTCGATACACCATCATTTGCCAAACATCTTTACTATCCGCCCATCTCAGAAGCGGCAAAGGCGTCGCTCTTATCTCGCTTGGCGTCCATGAATCGCCAGACTCACTCATTCTACTTCGCTTCCTGCCGGTAGGATAAATAGAGTGTTTTTCTGAATGTGGGGTGTTTTGGTCAAAATTTCGTTTTGATGAAGACGGCTGCACCTTACTACTTAAAAAGTATGATTACCAAGAACAAATGTTACTAGACAAACTAGTGCCAAACACCTAAATTCAATTCATTAACTTTATACCTAAAGACCAGCCATAAATTCAAAATTTTCAGAAGGGATTAAGTACTAGAACAATGAAAAATTTTAAAAAAAATTCACAATCATGATTTGATCTCTTAGGGGAAAAAAGTGTGTGCATCATACCTTGAGTATCGAACGATCGAGTTCAATCGAATTAGTCCATAAATAATGGATTTTGACATAATTTGGTTGCCGAAAATGCGTTAAATTCTTACCTTGGGTGTGAAGTTAACAGTTTTGGTCGTTTTTCCAACGAAATTGATTCAGATGGATTTTTTCTCTTTAATATGGAGGGACAGGAACCTACCCAAGTCGAATCACTATAAAAAATTCGTAAAATTTAAATAAATTCCAAAAATTCAATAAGGTCAAAAATAAAAAAAAATCTGTAAAACCCAAATGCGGAAAATTTTCGACTGTATTCGGCCAAACTCCCAGCGCCTGTGTGAAGTCTCCGTGCGATAATCTGAAAATTAAAAAAGGCACCGTCGAAGCATGCCAGAGACGCCAGTTCTATTAGAGATCAATAAAAAGCCAAAGTCGAAATTCAAAAAATCGATTCCCAGACAATCTACTTTCACTAGAATAAAGAACGTAATGCAAATTTTTATTTCAGAGTAAAATTCATTCATTGTAAACTAGAGAATGTTTATAAAAGAATCGAGTTTGCCAAATTTTAAGGTTCCAACATACAACACGTTAGAGTACATTTTGGGAAAAAATGAATTCCAGAGAAATAAATTTTGGAAAAACTATGTCAAATGGGAAATTTCTGTCAATGTGATGGAGTTTAGGAGAAAAGCTGATATGATCTGAATTGTGGAGAAAATGGGACAATTTAATATATAATGCATCTCACAGAAAAAAAAAGACCTCTAGGGGAAACAATGAAGTTTTTGGGGAAATTACCCAGGAAATATTAGAAAATTTCAATCCAAGAGAAAAAAATCATTAAGGAGATACTACTTTCGTATAAAAAATGAGAAAAATGTAAAGCAAGAAGTCTGGGAAAACAAAAAAATTCTTGAGGAAGATACAGGGTGATTCAGACCACCTGTCAACCCACTTTATAACTTAGGAGCTTAAAAGTCTTTAACAAATAGCCTATGAGGGATCTGATCTTAATAATATTGTTGTTCTCGCTTGGAGATGCGGAGGGCCCGATTGCCATGTACCTGGGGGAACCCTCAAATAGTGTTGTGATGTGTCCTGGAATGCTAGGATTATGACTATATCCGGTTTGCATGATTGGTCTAAATTTGGCTTTATTTTTGAATATCAACATAATTTTTAGTTGCTTGAACAGTGGCCGACAGTGATTTAGTATTTAGTCGCTGCTTGAATTTTTGACCGCGCGTACATATCTCAAGGGATATTTGTGTGTCTGTAGCCGGCTTTACAGAGAGTAACTGTTTCCTCCTGGGCTTGGGTCTTTTAAGTGCCTCAAAATGATGAAATCTAGTGGCTAGGATACGCCGACTTGCACCCAGGCGGCAAATTCGCGCACGACGTATCCAAGAATGGGCATAACATATTATTCGACTTTCATTAAGAGGCTTCTATACCAGTCGCTTAGTTTCTCAGGGGCCTGCGGGGTGTAGATTTAGAGTACCGAGGAGGCGGTACTACAATTCGCAATATCGTTTCCCTCCGTACATTTTCGTATGTAGGTACGCATCTTTCCCTTTCCGTTCCGCGCACACAATATTCAGATTCACTATTATAATCAACAACTCAAACATGAAACAACACCTAAAATAGATGTTGTTGCTATAATCAGCATCGATTGAAATCCGTCAATCAACGCCAATTAATCGGTCTAGACTCTAGTATACCTATTCACGGAGACGCATTTTCCTTGACTATAGAACAATGGGTGACTGTAGAAAAGAAAAGGTGAGCTGAGGCCACATATGAAAGAGGTAACAAAATCCGTATGCAAAAATGGCAAACTGATCTAGGAGTACTAAGACTAATTTTCCTCGGTAGTGAAGGGGTGTCGTGTCGGCACGTCAGGTGGATACCTAAACAATTAATTAGTTTGTTACTTACGTAACTTTCGTAAATCGTAATACTGACCAAACTGATTGCTGTTTTTACCACTCGCACGTGTAAGGGCATTGGGGTAAAAAATGATACCCCACTTTTGACGAAAATACACGTTTTGAAGCACCAGGAATCCGATTCAAACAAAATCTTGATTATGTCCGTCTGTACGCTCATTTCCGGCGAAACGCCTGAACCGATTGGAACCAAATTTGGTACACCAGGCACGTCAAATACGCGGGCCGCGGGCCACATGCGGCCCCCCGCTCTGAAACCTGCGGCCCATCACGATTTTTGTAAATTATAAAATTTAATTGTACCTACCGTGTGTCCTATTTTGGTTGAGACTGCAGTGTATCTCAGCTGTTTTTAAAGATAGACTTGCGGTTTTGTGAAACGCATAATACCACAAACAAAGCCAATCTAGCTGCGTTAGATTCTGAGATACGAGGTGAAAACGAAAAGTTTCTGAGATTTGACTCAAAGTTGGTATTGGGTAAAGGCAACACTATGTATATCTTAACGTCAAGTTCTTATCATTCCTTTTCCTGATTACATTGATGTATCACAACTTATTTTTTTTTTAATTCTAGCGTTGAAACCTTATTTTTTACTTCTTTAAATAGTAGGAAATAATAAATAAATAAATGGAGATTTTGTTTTGTTTATTGTCTCCATTGTAACTACAGCAGTCGATGCCAATCAACAAAAATGGCTGACGGTACACGACATTTTACAATTTTGAAAAATGGTAAATAAATATAGAATGATACATTAATGTAATCTCGAAAAAGAATGCAACAAAATTGATGTTAACATACAATACAAGGTGTTGCATTTAAAAAATATCACATTTGGGCCAAATCTCAGAAACTGTTGTCAAAATTTTTTTTACTACGTCACTGGTTTCTACGTAAAAATACCTAAGATAGGCAGTTTTTACTTTTTTTCTATCTTACATGGGTAGCCAGATATGACAACATCACAAAAAGTCCAGTTTTTCATATTCACCCTATATCTCAGACCTCAGAAACAAACGTAGTTGGATCGATTCTGTTTGTGGTATTGTTTCACAAAAAAGTGGCACAGGGTCGCGAAAACCACAAGTCTCTTATCTTTAAAAGCAGCTGAAATATACTGCAGTCTTAACCAACATAGGACACACGGTACATTTTCTTGAGTGCGTATTAATGATTTTATGATTACATATTTGCATTTTTTCGTTTTTTGTATTATTTTGTATACTTTTTTGTTAATAATAAAAAATCAAAATTTTTTTATGTGGACTTTTTATGATGTCCGCAGCTATAAGTGGAAACTTTATAATGGCCCTTGATGATAAATGAGTTTGATATGTCTGCCGTACACCTATTCATAAACATAAAAGGAAGAACTGAAAATCTTTTGGACAGAATCCCGCATGCGCAAGTGTGTCAAATTCTCATTTCCGGCCTCGTTTCCGGCTAAACGGCTGAACCGACTGGATCCAAATCCAAAAAAGGCAGAATCGCACATGTACAGGTGTGCGGGTGGTATCTGTGTTAGCCACAGCAAATTTTTGGGACACAGTTTCTGAGATTTGTCCCAAAGTTGGCATTTTTTGAATGCAACAGCCTGTATATCTTAATAGGATTTGTTTTTCGTTCTTTTTTTTTGATTACATTTACAACCTATATTTTTTTTAATTTTAGCCTTATTTTTTACGGTTTTTAAATGGTAGGTAGGATTTAGGGAGATTTTGTTTTGTTTATTGCATCAATCGATAAAAATCGCTAGCGGTAGAAGCGTGTCATTTCAAAATTTTGAAAAATATCTAATATAATATATAATCATATAAAAAAGTATAGGTTGTGATACATAAATGTAATCAGGAAAAAGACTGAAAAAAATTGACCTTAAGACCTTAGGATAAATCTCCGTGAATCCATGGTCTACCATTTAAAAACCGTAAAAAATAAGGTTTTTATTTTTGGTTAATAGCTAAAATTTAAAAAAATGTAGATTGTGATACATCAATGTAATCAGAAAAAAGAATGAAACACGATTAACGTTAAGATATACAAGAGTTCTGCATTTAAAAAATATGAACTTTGGGTCAAATCTCAGAAACGATGCTTCACACATTTTTTTACTACGCCACTAGATTCAACGTAAAAATATCTAAACTTGACAGTTTTTCCTTTTTTCTATCTTACATGGTAAGATTTATGATAACATCTCAAAAAATTATACTTTTCACCCTGTATCTCAGACACAAACGTAGCTAGGTTGATTCTGATTTGTGATATTAAAAGTTTCACAAAAAGTGGCACATGGTCGCGAAAACCGCAACAGAAAACAGCTCAGATACACACTGCAGTCTCAACCAAAATAGGACACACGGTACATCGGCCAAATTGTAACTGACTTATCTTATAGTACCTGTAAAACCTTCTGCTTTTATGAGCATTTGTAGGAAGATTGGAAATTAAGTACATAGCTTACTTTTTTGCAAAGCAATGTATGAATTGCAATAATTTGTGAACATTTGAACATCAATCGAAAACCCACAAAAGGAAGAAGAGAGGAATTGGCACTATATAGATACAAAACATCCTAAAATAAAACACTACTATAAGAATTAAAGGGGTTTTTACCTTGGGCAACATTTGGGAGACGAGAAATTTCAAAAGCTATAAATACAAAATGTAATTTTTACTTTGTCTTTTTTAATATTTTTAATCGTTCATGCCTTTTTAAAGAAATTTTTTCTTGCCTTAATAAATTTTTTTATCTTTAATCTTTATTTTTCGAAGTAAATTCCTTCTTCCTAAGTAGTTGGTAAATTTAATTTAATTTTTATTTTGCCTTTTCTTTGGTTTTTTTGACTTTTTTGTTGCTTTTTTGTCTGCTTTTTTAAAGAGTTTTCTTGCCTAACTATCCGCTCTCTGTTGATCAGAAATTCAGAACTACTGTTTTAAAGAAATTTAGGTAGGTATTGCACTTAGATTTTTTAATGTTTTAATTTTCCAATTGTGTGAGCCAACAAATTTAGGAAATGGTTTAAATTTAAATGTATCTATGTACAATGTCTGTGACTGAAGAAAATCTTTTCTTACAAGCCAAATTATATTTTTTTAATTTCATTTTAGTCAATTTGTTTTCAATTGAGTAGATTTTTTTACCACTGCGGCTCGACCGATTCGCAAGTAAAATGATTGTGTAACCTGTCACTTCGGAAATGGCAATATTTCACAAAATTGATCGAGGTAGCACCCAAAACTTTAATTTCATAAATGGTTTTGGTACTTCGCACAACTAAACGCAGCCTAAGCAACGGTACAGCGACAACCTGCAATCGATAGGTGATCTAAGAGCAAGGCTTTACTGTGCGTAGACAGACAAATGAACGGACAGACAGACGGATAATCAGGGATAATATTTTGTTGCATTATAGCGTCTATTCACAGAGATAGGAGATGTCGTACTTCCATTGTTGTACGTATTAGTAAGCTTCTACAGTGCCTACTTTCCTAAAGGGTTCTAGTTAAAACTCAAAGAAAATTATTTTGCTAACTAACTCCGGTAGATTTAAAATTATGTTGGAAAGATAAGAATGAACTCCTCCTTTTATCAAATGGGCGGTAACATGTAACTTAAGTTCGAATTCCACAAGACGTGGCAGCACTTTCCTAATAAAATTTTGCTAGAATTTTACAGTTGCAGCGTCCCGGGCCGTGTCTGTTTACTGGTACATAATAAACTTTTTTCAGTTACTGTGAATGGATTTTGCTAAAGGAAGGTTAAAGCTAGGATTGTATCGAATTTGTTTTGCTACTATTTTTTTTTGTTTAAGATCTACGACCCTTTGACTATTGTCTAAAATAGCAATTCTTTATCGCTCTGTATCTTATGATTTAAAGTTACTATTTAAAATACAATTCGATACAATCCTAGATCTCACCTTTATAAACATCATAAGTCACTGAATTTTAGCAATATTATATTTCGTTTAAGAATAAACAGACACGGCGCGAAACACTTTTAAATAGGGTTTTTGCGCTGGTATAGAAGCCTCTTAAGGTGTTTTAGCTTTTTCTTGCTTTGTCACAAAAACAAGAAATCCATAAAACACTGAATTGAAGTAAAATGTTATCGGTCATCACACATAAAACATAAAAATGTACCCCCTTTTTTCCGGAAGAACTCCCCAAAGCCTTGGTAACATGGCTCCCTGGACAAGCATAATAAATGACTTTACACAGGCGAGGTGTCAGTAGTCATAGACTGCTGTTAATCACAACCTTAATGAAGTTATTTATTTATTTATTTTTAAGTGGCCGGGGTTTCAGCCAAAGCTACTCTACCAAACCAACCCACCATTATACATTCAGAAATGCAAGAACCCGAATTCGAACAAGGGACTTCTAGTACCGCAGTCGAGTGTCAATGCAATTGTCGTGCTATAAAAACAAATCGTAGATTCCGTTAAGTTGAAACCAGAAAAAATATAAACGCATAAAAAAACCGCTTGCAGGTACTGTTGGGTACGATCCTCTAAATAGAAGAAACCTCAGTTCATTTTTACATTTTATTTAGGCTGCTACAAGTAAACTCCCCTCGTCGAAATTTATCCAAATCAAACCTGCTATCCATACACATGATTAAAAAATTTGTCCCAAATGAAACAGGCTTAGCTGCTAGCAGGAACAAGCCTCTACAAAAATAAAAGGCACATAGATAGTGGTCCAATCAGTAACATCTCGTTAGAAACGTTTCGACTACAAGTAAAAACAAATCACAACCTTAGGCCAGGTCTTTCATCTTTTCTTTAAATTTATATGACTTCCATGAATAGATCTATTTAACTGAAACACGGAAGACCGGACCTAAAAGGTACATTCACACCAATTTTGTTACAGACAATTATGAACGAAAGGAGATTTAGTGTATGTCTTTGAAGTTACAGTAAAATCCATCTTAATCTATCAGCTCATCGGACCATATGTCGATTATTGACACTGACCATTAAATCTCCGATTATGGTAGTCACACAAATATAACTATATACTTGGCCTTTAATCAAACGCAAATAAGTTTGTGTTTGGCACTACGCAAGAATGTAATAACGAAAGAAGGCTTACCTAGTGGAAGCTCCCGAACTGCCGTCTTCTGCCATTCTGTGCAAAGAAAAATACTTTAGTCGATAATAAAAACTTTTTTAAAAATTAAATGCCACTTGATCAAGAAAGGTTTTACCTTTGTTTTCGCATTTTTTGGTGAGACGTGTCAATAACAACAATAGTACAAAGCCTTTCGCGTAATCTACAACTCACCTTCGAAAATTTATGAACCAAAGCAGGGACGTTAAAAAAAACGTTACTTGGCGCCAAAACTGCAAATTATTGGTTACATTCCTTCTCGCCAGACAAGATGACACCAATCGCTTCATATTTCATGATATGTTACGTAAATTTACACCTTTGGAAATAAAAAGACTCATACCTTTACGTAAATAAACAATTCTTTTCAATGGCGAGAAGTTTATTGTTACCATCCGAAATGCAGACGAACACTAACCACTAGCTAAAGCTGCCTTTTCGTGCAACAACAAATTACGTATTTTGACTAAAAGGACTGGATAACATAAAGAAAGACTCGAATTATTTTTGCAAAAATAGGGTGCGAAAACTCCTTGCACACGACACCGCAAAAAGACCGGGAAAACTGTAAGGTTATGTGAAAAAATCGGCAATATTACGGGTAACTATTCGTCAAACCGGCGCCCCGGCTTCAGTTTAGGGGTAGATTAACATTATTTAATACAATCGAAAGTTGCACGATCCCTATTTTACAGTAGATTTTCAAAAAAGGCCCCACTGGGACCATACAATGTAGACACGCAAATTTGAGTTAAATACGTAAAATATCGGAGGTATTCGCGCAGACTTACCTTGCAAAATTTGTCGATGAACAAAACTAAAAGAAAATGATCAGTTAAAATACTTTATCATTCTTAAACACGGCGTTAAATGGAGACACAACGAAGAACTTTAAAGCTCTTTAAACTCACGAACTTGTTGAATGAAAAATTGAAAACGAAGTGTCGGCGCATGCGTCCAAACTATGAAACAGGGGCGCACTAGGGAAAATTACGCTGAGGGGCGCCATCAGGGACATATGAAGGTTTTCGCGCTTTTCCAAAACCTACTAAAATGTTTTATTAAGTAAACGTACCCATGGGGGGTGGCACGATATATGGCATTTCTAATCGACCCAGGCCGAAAATCAAAGAGAAGTGCTAGTGATTATAAGTTTAGTAAACGGCTCCCGACAAGTACCTATTACACTATACGTAATATTTCACATCTACTTTGGTAGAATTATTTTTTCAAGGTTCCGGTTCAATAATTTGTCTCTCAACTTCCTGTCTTTCTAGCGCATTTCCACAAAAAATTAAAAAAATGCGCTACTGTGGTCACTTTGTCCATCCGTCTGTCAGCGACGGCCCTACAGCTGTGTCGCTACTAGATCTTTATCTTAAAAGCTATTGTTCTACTTTTTTCGCTATTTGGTTGGTTTGGTTGACACCATATCGAGGCTTACCAAGGCAGACATTTTTTCTGCGTTTATTACTAAAAAAGTTATAGGTAAAAATTGTCTCAGATCGACCCGGAAAAAATTTTTCTTATAGAATGTGGCTTGTAGAATCCACAATTTCAAACAGCTCCAAGATTGGGCTACTAGTTCAAAAGTTACAGCCCTTTGAATTTTCTTTCGAAATTGGTTTCTAGTCTATAACTTTTGATTGAGAAGTCTGATCGAAAAAGTACGAATTGTTTTGGATTCTACGCACCAAAATTAATAAGAAAAAGTGTTTTCCCGAGAAATTTTGGTGCAGTCTATTTTTACACACTGCCTTTGAGGCCCTCAAAAAAAATTGTGTCAGATCGACCCGGAAAAAAAATTTTCTTATAGAATGTGGCCTGTAGAATCCATAATTTCAAACAGTTCCAAGATTGGGCTACTAGTTCAAAAGTTACAGCACTTTGAATTTTTTTTCGAAATTGGTTTCTAGTCTATAACTTTTGATTGAGAAGTCTGATCGAAAAAGTACGAATTGATTTGGATTCTACGCACCAAAATTAAAAAGAAAAAGTGTTTTCCCGAGAAATTTTGGTGTAGTCGATTTTTGGTAAAAAAGGAAGGTTATACACTGCCTTTTTTTGAGCCCCGAAAAAAAAATTGTCTCAGATTGACCCGGAAAAAAATTTTCTTATGGAATGTGGCCTGTAGAATCCATAATTTCAAACAGTTCCAAGATTGGGCTACTAGTTCAAAAGTTACAGCCCTTTGAATTTTCTTTCGAAATTGGTTTCTTTTCTAGTCTATAACTTTTGATTGAGAAGTCTGATCGAAAAAGTACGAATTGTTTTGGATTCTACGCACCAAAATTGGTAAGAAAAAGTGTTTTCCCGGGAAATTTTAATGCGTTGATTTTTGGTAAAAAAAGAAGGTTGTACACTGCCTTTTTTGAGGCCCTCAAAAAAAATTGTCTCAGATCGACCCGGAAAAAATTTTTCTTATAGAATGTGACCTGTAGAATCAATAATTTCAAACAATTCCAAGATTGGGCTACTGGTTCTAAAGTTACAGCTCTTTGAATTTTCTTTCGAAATTGGTTTCTAGTCTATAATTTTTTATTGAGAAGGCTGATCGAAAAAGTATGAATTGTTTTGGATTCTATGCACCAAAATTAATAAGAAAAAGTGTTTTCCCGAGAAATTTTGGTGCAGTCGATTTTTGGTAAGAAAGGAAGGTTACTGCCTTTTTTTGAGGCCCTCAAAAAAAATTGTCTCAGATCGACCCGGAAACAAATTTTTCTTATAGAATGTGGCCTGTAGAATCCATAATTTCAAACAGTTCCAAGATTGGGCTACTAGTTCAAAAGTTACAGCCCTTTGAATTTTCTTTCGACATTGGTTTTTAGTCTATAACTTTTGATTGAGAAGTCTGATCGAAAAAGTACGAATTGTTTCGGATTCTACGCACCAAAATTAATAAGAAAAAGTGTCTTCACGAGAAATTTTGGTGCAGTCGATTTTTGGTAAAAAAGGAAGATAAGAAATCTTATCAAAATCAAAAAACTGCAAAACTGTACCCTCAACCCCCTCCTGCGGAAGTACAATCGTTCGGTACTTATTACACAATCATCACACATTCCCGGAAAAATTGGAATTATTTTTTTTATATTTCCAAAAATGTCTGGAATATTAGGCGTAAGACATAAATTGATACATCCAATACAAAGTATTGTTTACAAAAGCAGAGGCCTACAAGCATTCAAAAATTTATTTCTTTGTACAACTTTTTGACACTGGGAGTAAATACACTGACAATAAACAAACAAAAAATGATAAAATCACATTGTAACTAAAAAACAAAATACATTGGGAATGAAACTTGATAAAACTGCCATTTGCAAATATCACCGATCAGACTTTGTTAAATGCTGCAATGTCTACACTTTGCACCTAAAAAATCAGTTATAAAAAGCGGCAAAGCCCAAAAAAAGGTTCTTACATAATCTTCAATATCCTCGATCTTTTCTTGCAGCAAATCAACAGATACGAGATCATCTTCGACGACACAAGAAATTTGAAGTTTATGAATACCGTAAGCTAAAGGCACTAATTTCGATGCTCCCCACAAAAGACCTTCTATTTGAATGGCACGAACTTCTTTTTCCATTACCTTCATATCAGTTTCATCATCCCACGGTTTCACATCCAAAATAATATTTGATTTTGCGATTAAGGCTGGCTCTAAATATAAACAAAAAAAATAGGGCGAATATGCACTTTCGACAAATACTCACTTTTAGACTTTCTGCTCTCATACTCCGCCAAACGTTTCTGTTTAATTTCAGATGCCGCTTCGTCCTCGGACTCTGAGCCAAAGAGATCGACGTCGTCATCCTCGTTCTTTGTTTCTTTTTTTGTACTAACAGGCTGCGCTTTACCGCTCACGCGCGCTTCTAACTTGTGTAAGTGTTCGACTATACTATTGAATGCCTGCTGCATATTTGCTACGGCTAAAAATTGACATATTAGGTAAGTGCTGCCATTGGACCCCCACTTACTTTTCTCTAATCTTTGTACCTTCTCTTCGAGCAAAACTATGGAGTTTAATTGGCATTCGTTCTTATTATCTGAAACAGGCTAATCACAAACAAGAGGTCAAAATGTGGCTTTTAGAAGCGGATATACTAAAACGTAAAACACATGCAATATGCGCAACAAAATCTAATCTGTTCTTTAAAAAAATGATCAAAGCAAATGGTAAAGGAACAAAGCCAAGCAACGAATCTGCTCGTGATCGACCAATTTAGTACGGTAAATTGGTTTTTCAGGCAGTGTTAAGAGAAAGTCCCGAGACCAAGAAATGGATTGCGCCGTAGACCAAAAATGACCTATAGCCGAGATGACCCCTGGAAACCTTTAAATAATCTCATTTCCCAAAATCTATCAGCATACACTCGGAGGATGACGCCAGCTGAAAAGCAGTAATACCTTGCTGTATTATTGTATACTGATTTACATATCTCATTGGATCCTGCTGGAAACAATATGGCGATTGGAGCAAGACAACTTCAGCCAGCTGGAAGACGAGAATCCAAAAATAAAATGACTGAAAAAAATGGTATCGGTTTGAGTGTTGTCTCAGATGAGATGATATAGTGAGGTTTACGTCATATAATTTGATTAGCATTTAAAGTTTAAAACATACCCGCATATCTGCTTGCACTTCCTGATACAGTGGGTATTGGTCGGGATACCTTTCATATTAGGGAACTATAAACCCGTAATGGTTTTTGTTATTTACAACATTTTTGGTAAGATTGTGGCATTAAGCGAGTATAGCATGAGCATGAAAATTGAAAAGATTTGCACCTAACCAACTGCACACTTACTTTTGTTGATTCATTATGATCTCTTTGGACTTCTGCTTTCCTGATTCTTGATTGCCGACATGTGTGGCACAGTGAGGGGCGTGAAAGCTCGACTGTGGTACTAAGGGTCGCTGGTTCGGGTATGGATATTTATGAATGTATTGGCTGAAACCCTGCCTACTTAAAAAGAAACACCAACAGAAAATAAATAAAATACATCGGATTATTTATTTGGACATCATGAAACCATAAATAATACAATTGGTCGAGAATTGAGCGTCATGAGTCAGATTTGGCAACATTGGCGGTTCGATCATTCTTTAATAAAGACAGCTAGCGAGACGATAGAGAAGATACAGTTTCATGCATTATTAGTTTAAGAAAGAAGGAAGGATTGCGTGCAATAACAAGCTCAAGAATTCTAACGCTACAGGATTAGTCACACAAACTACTGGGAGCCCAGAAGTGACAAAAAAAAAGTGTTCAACAAACGCGGGATTGTATTACTCACTTCTTCGATACAGTTTTTAATGTTAGTTAACCATTCTCTCGCCCTACCTACTTCAGCAGCCAAGGGAGTTTGGACTTCCTACACCAAAGAGAAATGATTATTCTAAATTGAAACAAATCAATGTAAAAAAAAAATTTACCAAAATCCATCCATTTCATGTCTAGACTTCACAGACATTTAAAATTGCTTTTACTGTAAAGTCCAATTGGTGCAATTTTGGTTACCCGCAACTGAATTACATTTAGATTTCTTCGAGACAACATTTTTTTAGTTATTGTGTTATCTCCGTTTTGCGCATGCGCAATCCGATTTATTTGTTAAGATATTTAAATGAAATTTTGTGTGTAGGTACCTCAAATAAATGTAAAACTAATACTGAATTAAAAAATTTGTTTTACAAGCTACGCTGATCTAGTGGGATAGAATCATATTGAGAAACTTAGATCGATAGTTACTGAATTGACCATCATTTAGTGTTTTATATCGGTGGGGTGGGGTAATCTGGCTCATATGCAGTAGCACTGATCCATGAACTCGTAGAAATCGATTGGCGAAGGTATGACATTACTGTCTCTTTTCGGTGTGGAGTTCGACAAGGAACAAGCAGGCAGATGGACACAACCATCACATAACCCGTAGAAACAAATTGTAATAGTAATAATAATGCCATTTATTAATCACATCCAGTTATTTTTACGAGAAAACCTATTTACTACCTATACAGTGTGTAAAGCGATGGGGTATACATCAAGAGGGAATTTTTTTTAAATATTGATTTATGAAAAAAATTTATTCATATTTTTTGCTTGCTTTGAAAGTACCAATAATGTTTCAATTGTTTGTGGTTTGATAGCAATACGCTATCTTGATTATAATGTGATATGATGTAATAACTTTCAATAAAAAAAATTAATTTTATTATTTTTCCAGATTTCTATAAATAAATTTTAGATTATCAAAACGTTATTGGTACTTTCAAAGCAAGCAAAAAATATCATGAAGAATAAATTTTGTTCCATAAATCAGTATTTTAAAAAAAATTCCCTCTTGTATACCCCATCGCTTTACACCCTGTATATAAATAATCTTGCCATATCAAGGGACGTCATTTTGGAATCAATTCAAAAAGTCATAACCGAGGCCGTAACCAACCACCTACATGTCATTTCAGAATCCGAGTTTCGACACTGCTATGAAAAATTGAAGAATCCTCTCCAACACTGTATCGCTTCCCAGGGATACTATTTTCAAAGAGACAGTAATGAATTGTAATTGCATTTAAATAATAAATATTTAGATCATCAGGCTCATTACTTAATTTACACATCTCGAATGTTCTTGCTAATAAGAATTATAAAAGAAACCTTTGTGTCACTACAATTGATAAGGGTCTGCGAGAAATTCTGACCCATCACACTTCCAAGATTTTTTACAAAATTTAAATATTCAAGATTTCAAAAAAGAGTAATGGCAGAGCCAGATTTCTTGTAATTTGAATTTTGTAACATGTGTTCATTCCATAAAAATTATGGCAGTTTTCGCTGGAAGCTGTTCAAAATTCAACACTTTATAGCGAATACACATGCACACTATGTTGAGTGTCATCTATGTAGCCACCAAACTCAAAAAACCCAACAACACATCAAAAACGAGAAAGAAATAATTCTTTATTTGATTTGCAAGACAGAATTACATGCACTATCAACAAGCTGCAAAAGGCACAGGACCATGATGACATTCCCCAAAATGTCCCCGATTAATATGATAAACTGAACCGCCCAGTGGTATTTTTTAGTGAATGTCTTTACAGTACTCCTCCCCCAAGTTCTTAGGGCGTTCGAGATATCAGTGCTAATATTTTAATACTAAAAAAAGAGGGCTTCTAAACAAGGTCAAATCGGGTCCTTTTCATTTAGACGAGTGGTTCCACAATAGACCCTTGTAAAACCCCTGGGCTAAATGCACAATACACATCAACCTCCGAAAATAACTTCACGTCTTAGTAACCATATGTCCATAAACTCCCATTAGCATGCATTGTTAAAATAACCCCCATTAAAATGAAAGCGCGATGAGTTACGTTTCAGTCAGTTGCGTTCGCCTTAAAGTGCACCAGATTGGACTTTGTGATCGTGACAATCACTTAAGCGGTATTGAACGGAGCACAAAAATCATCAGTCGGTGCTAGGTACATTAGTTTTTATAGGTGAAATAAATCTCATTTAAAGTACTTTCTAATAATATCGAATAAATCTGGTCGATTTCATGCACCCCAAGCCACATGAATGAGACAGTGTGATCGTGAACATCTTACCTTCGCCTTTCCTTCGTAGTAAATTCGTTCGGCATCGTCGTATTTCCCTTTGTCCAACCATACATTTTCGAAAACCATGTTCTGTGCCATTGTACCTTAAAGATAAAAATCAAGTTAAATGCTGTGACAAAAAGATAACGTGACAAATAAAGGTTAGGAAGCACAATTGTCCCTAATTTACATTTGTTTTATTGAACATAAGAAAAGTGGACGGTTATCTTCAAAGAAAGGGCTCGAAATTTGAAAATTTTGTGAAAGCCCTTTTACTTACCAAACTTAAAGAAAAAGTGCAAATTTAGAAAAGGAAAGGCTGATGCAGAAAGGATCGGGATTCGGGAATCGTTCCTCTTATTTCCAGCTACACGTGGAACCATTCGTCAATCTTCGTTAAAGCCATTGGCGTATCTTCGATCAACACCAGCGGCGTCCACACAATCTCTACATCTCCAATATTTAAATACGAGATTCCAAGTGCATTTTCTAATCCAATTCAAATATAGGAGCAATTGTCTCATATTTAAAGGAATTTGCGAAATGCAAGCGTGAGCAGCTATGCACGTGACGCCATTATTCAACCAACATAAATACACACACCAGGCGCAGGCACATTTTTGCAGTATTTTGATAATCAATATTGTTGAGCTTTGTTATTGGATAAATTAAATGAAAAGGATTTTTGTAAGATGGTTATGTATTTATTGATAATAATTTTTGCTTTCACAAGTAAACAATTAAGTAATTAGTTATAATGTAACTTAGATATCAAGTGTTGAGGGCCCAGAACAAAAGAGGGATTATAAATAAATAAAAAATAAATATTTAGCTTGTTTGAGTGCAGTGCGTTTACTTAAAATCTATAAGGAGCAGGAGGGGGGGGGGGGGCAATTTAACCATTGTTCTCTACCCACACCTTCAACGACGCCATGAGATGGATATGTTAATTTGGGGGGTGCTACTACAACAACTTCTTTATAAACCGTAAGATTACCATCAAGTTAATGTTATTGGGAAATAAATCTGGTTCATCTTTGGAACCTAGGAACATCAAAAAACTACATATAAACCTATCAATTCTGAGGTGTTAGGGACTGACTATTTATCTTTCCTCTGCCAAGTCATGAAAAATTTTACCATCTTTTAAGAGACCTTCAGGGTCCTGTTAAATTAATTCAGTCACTCCTAAGGGGCTTTGTTGTTTTGGAAGCCTTTTTTTAAAATTATGAGTAGGTATCCTCTTGTGAGAAGCGCGCGAATTTTCCGCGAGGGTAAAAAAAACTCCGGAGGTAGACATATATATTAGTTTTTAAAGCGTTGTTGTATGGAACTTGCGGAATGGAGTGCACATTGGTTTCTCCAAGCTTTTTGGATCAATTTGTCCTGAACGTAAATAAGATCCTTGCGAGTGCGTATTATGATGGTGGCGAAAATTCCGGAGGGGATCTACCTGAAAAGGAAAAAATCTTTAGTCAGGACGAGAGGCAAGTCTTCCAGTGGTCCTTGAATACGAAATTTTTCTTACGGGGACCAGTTTTTCCTGGAGGCGAAAATTTACACTACTTGTGGAATTGAGTACCTACATATTTTTTGAAACCTGAGCAATTGTATATCAGTTTCTCCAAGGCCGTACTGTTCTGAACGTAGAATTTTTCTTTGGGAAAGTATGTGGGCGACTACTTCCGAGTTTTTCTGGTCGCCACAGAACCTTTGACATTTTTTCCATATCCAATCCAAAGCAGACTTTTTCCTTATTACAATCTTTCTGCATCCAATTACCTAGAACCTGAATTTTTCCTCGAAGTTAATATTCTAGTGAGTAGGTATGCCTGCGAAAGAGGATTTTTCCGGAGGGTGCCTTTTTGTTTATTATGTACTTCTTATGCACATACAATGTATATAATAGTTTCTATAATGTACATAGAGTAGGTAGGTACAAATGATACAAATACGGTACATACGCTATAGATAGAATGTTGCGACAAATTGATTTAAATAAATGTACGTCCATATAGAGCACCTGGTGTCCGTCTATCCACGTACAACATATACATGTTCATCAAGTATGTGTTATAAACGTATATAGTGCAGCTCTGTTCTATGTGGGCGTTGTCTTTATTGGCATATCAAAAAAATGTTAAAACAATCACACCTTCCCATCAAAAATAGCTGAAAACATGTACAGATACGGTCGGAGAGTGACTCGGTATGAACCTTCTTACCTAAAACTCAGACCAATAGCAATGTGCGGCAGTGGTTAGAACCGGAATCGATTGCATTTATGGGCCCCTCATTTAAACAGCAGGTACCGGTATTATTTGTACCAAGGAACCGATATTTTCGGTTTCGGTTCCTCAGTCATTTTCGATTCCGGTTCTAGTTTTTTTCCGATTTTTAGCGGTATCGGTTCCTGTTGTGATATAACTTCCAAGTCTGTGGATGCGTAATAATTTTATTGGGCGTTTTTAGTCAAGGTCAGCATAGTCTATTTTTTATGTACGTTTAATTCATTCCTTCCTAGTGAAAAAAGTAGAACATCAATAAAAGACCTATTAGAAACACAACCGTAGGGATGGACAAAGTTGCCAAAATGCATTTTTTTTATTTTTGTGGAAATGCACTTAAAGGTAATATTAAATAGTAGCACCGATAAAATAGTATAAAGTAGCAAAAGAAACGAATTGTGCAGCTCTTGACTGGTGTTTATGCTCGCAGTTTACCTACAGCAAAAATTTTATATGAAACCTAAAGGAAATTCGTGATAATGTCCAATTCCGATGTAAATAATAATTTTTCTCCATCAGGATCATCTACGTTGTCTTCTGTTAGGATTGGTGGAGAGTTAAAACAGCTCCCTTGGCAATTGACACAGGCGCCGGATTGCATCCACAGCTTGCCCCAGGTTGGTAGTAGTACAACGGCGAAAAATGGTTTGTAAAATTTCCTCTGGAGCTGTGTGTTTCTCTTTGGCGAAGGTGATCCATCGTCACCTCTCTACTAAGAGACCCACTGCATTTGGTTTAAGTTTGGTGGTGGACTTGACAAATACCCTATAACGGTGGTAATCTGCTACATTCGGACGAGCATCTGTTTCCCAGCTTGAATAACTGCGTCAGGTTGTTGAGAGGGGTTGTAAAAAAACGATTGAATGGATTTTCTTAGACTTCTTCCTCCATTATTCTCACCCTTGTGATGTCAGAAGGTCGTGTCCGCTAACAAGTTGGATGAATTTTCAACTTTCCCAACACATCTCTGGCACTTAAAGCGGGTTCCATCGCCTTCTTTTACTGTCCTATTACAAATTAAAAGATAAGTTTTCAAAAAACACTAAACTTGGGGTCGAGGAGGTAGGCAAGGTAAGGTAGGGAGTCGCATAGTGTATTATGGGGTCATGTATATACCTATAATACATATGAAGTAGGTATATTAATAAGTATATGAGATATGAACTTATTTACCTGTATTAAGTAGGTCACAAATTATGAATTAGTATTTATATAAGCTTGTTAGCTTGGTATGGTGAGGTGGCATAGATACTTGAGGGTTGGATTTTAGTATAGTGCAGCGGTTTATCTTTATGTCTTCTTCTTAAATCACAAACAGCCATGCCTTATCTTAAAGCTACTAACGTAATTAATAATAATTAATAATGGCAGCTTAGTAGGTCAAAATACATTGCCCTGTTATACGTGGTCTCGGGAATGCTGGTCCCTTAACCGGCCGGTATTACTTTGTGCCATTTCAGCATTTAGTTAATTTACTTATTACATTTAATTGATTTTAATAGGGATAATTTTTGCTATGGGGTAGTTTGTCCGAACTGAATGGCAATGTCAAGTTTCCGAACAATTGATATGAGTAATAATAGTTTTCCACAATACTAAAACGAAATAAATTACTGTGATGTTTATTTCTGAATGTCACATCAGTCAAATTATTACAGAACACATCAACGCAATAGTAAGTGAAATGGAGAACTATAAACTATAAACACAATAAATTACAACGAAATTCAATTGAACAATGAAATTCAGCTTTGCCAGTGGTCTGGACACTTCGGCATATCCATCTAGATAACCAAAATCGTCATTTGAACTGGGAACATTAAATTATACATACCTTCAAAGTAAGAACCTTCCATAAGGGTCTTCAACAACAATATAGTTTACTACTTTACTTAGCAGGCTTATCGGAATGTTCGGAACCTTCTCCAACTTCGCTTAAAAATGATATTTCTGATTCTAAAAATGGTGACAAAAAATCAATTATGGGTTTATGTGAAGACCAACACCCCTAATGTCGGTTAACACACTATTTGGCCAGATATCTCCACCTGGTAAGTAAGTGTTGGAACAGTAGAAGACTGCATCCTCTTCTAAAACTTAAACAAAATTGCCATGTGGACTGTATACTTACCTGAGGTGCATAGATTACGACGTCTACGTCGACGTTCATCTGCGACCATTAATCGCTCCAAGTCTGCAAATGATACAATGGAATATTCATCATCCGTAGAGTCTCTATCAGGTTCGGCACAAGCCGTTTCTGGTGGCGGTTGGCTGCATGCGGAATCTTCATATATTATTCGATCTATTTCTGCTGCCATCTGATAATAACCATCTGTATATTCCTTATCGGATTTGTCAGAGGCAGCCTTGTTCGCATCCACGGGAGTTTCTTTTGACTCTAAAAATTTAAATTGAATGTGACGTTCATACTTCATTGTACATACCGCCGACACTCTCTTCCTTTGTATTGGATAATTGTATAATGCTCCAATCGTAATCGTTGGAAAGCGATAGGGTCAAGAGGCTGCCATCTTCGTGTGCCGAAGTTGGAGAATTCTCTTCTTTAGATTTTGCGTGTGCACTTGTTGTAGGTTTCTCCATCGACATAGTAGTGTCTAAATCTAGCAATTCCGAGAAAAATTTGAACTTCGGTGGAGATGTGTGTGCTTAGCTAAACACGAGACACAGTTTTAGAGTAAGAATTTCTTATACTTACACCACCAATGATGTTTCTACAACAGAAGGCTTGGCCTCATGAGTATAATCGACTAAATCATGTTGAAAGTTGTACACTGAAGTACTTTGTCAATGGTATAAAATGGTACAACATGCAAAAGCAATAAAAAAAAGTACTCAAATGGATGAATAGAAAATATTAAGTCTGCTTTAACTACCTCACAAACGCAACGAAAGCTTTTTGCAACTCTTCAAATTTGAAACAGCAAAATGGCGCCCAAAGGAAACATTCAGCCATGTTGACGCTGTGGCTAAAGGATGGTTTACACATGCAATGATTACATATAATACATTTTCAGATTATTTTGAGTTCAAAAAATAAAAAAGACACTTTTCGTCAAGGCATGCCGCTTTTACAAAACCCGTGTTTAGGGTGGCTAGTTGGAGATGCAGTCACTTATCCGGCTCGAAGGACCATATGTTCGTCGCGATTAAAGAAATACTAGAATGGCCACAGGACCCAGAATCTGAACTAAAAGGCAAAAAATAACATTATTTTGTAATCGAAGGTGACATCACAATAATTGGAAACCTTCGTTCTCGTTGAAAAAGTGTGGTGGGGTCTTATGAATAGATTGAGAAATAGTAATATTGAAAAAATTCCAACACTTTTTCAGCGAAAATTTTATTTTTGGACTTTTAGTGCAGATTCTGTGTTCTGTTGACGAAAAGTGGTTTTTTATACGTTTTATCACTAAAAACGCAAAAGAATTTTCTCATTCGTGGCCGTAGACGTAGCGAGCCGAAGAGCGTTTGATTCGCTTTTCCCTCTACCTTTATAGGCACTAAAGACCAAGAAGACTTTAAACGGGTTTTATAGGGTCGCCTACAGAAGCCTTCTAGGCCTTTTCCGTGGCGCTTCTAGAGCTTCCTACACTTGCGCTTTCAAAAAACTATAGCGATATTCTAGAGCATTTGAGGTCCTTTTCAAGACTTTTTAAGACCATTTACAGAGCATTCTAGGCCTTTGGCGGTCTTTTTCTAGGAGCATTCCAGGTCATTCCCAGAATCTTGCAGGCTTTCTGTGAAAAGCTTAGACAGTTCTGGAAACAGTTTAAGGAGCATTTCAAACCCCTTTTCGCAGGCTTAGTAGTAAATCTGCACTTTGCACGCACTACTCGTAACAGGCATTTCCTCGGCTCAGAAAGTAGTTGCGGAATAACAAATGTACCTATGAAAGTACCACTGTATTTATGTCAACTGCTAATTAGAAGGTCTGTCGTGCATAACTTAAATTTAAGGGTTAATTCCTTCACAATACCAAGGCACAATACCAAAAAATGTCAAGGCTGTATCGCTTATGTTATATGGCACCGTCCCTGTTAAAGTGTAGGTTGGATAAACTTAACATGAATTATATACAGTTTGTAAAATCAACCAAAAACTTTATCTACGCAATAATAATTTGCACCCTACGTTGCCGTTGAAAAAGTGTCTTTTGAATACTGATATTTCTCAATCTATTCTTAAGATCCCAACACTTTTTCAACAACAATGTAGGTTTCAAATTATTGTGACGTCATATGGCATCTTTGATTCAAAAAAATTTTTTTTTGCTTTTTTAGTTAAAATTCTGGGTTCTGTTGACGAAGAGTGTTTTTTAATTCAAAATGATTTGAAAATGTACTTTATATAATCATTGCATGTGGAAACCATCCTTTAGCCACAGCGTCATCATGGCTGAATACTTCCTATTGCCGCCATCTAAAATATAACGACGCAGCAGTTTCAAATTTGAAGAGTTGCAAAAAACTTTCTTTCCTATTTTGAGGTATTTAGAGCATTTTCCATTCATTCATTTCAGTACCTTTTTTTTGTGCCACTTGTTACCATTGGCTAAATACCTCAGTGTACAACTTTGAACTGATCTAGTCCATTATGCTTGTATTACCTAATGACGCCAGGCAGGCCATCTTAACAAGTAGAAACATCATTGGTGGTGTAAGTATAAGAAATTGTTACTCTAAAAGCTTGTCTCATGTTTAGCAAAGCACACACATCTCCACCGAAGTTCAAATTTTTCCTCGGTATTGCTAGATTTAGACACTCCCATGTCGATGGAGAAACCTACATCGAGTACACACGCGAAATGTGTAGAAGAGAATTCCCCAACTTCGGAACACAAAGAAGGCGGCATCTTGTCCCAAACGTTTTTCAACGATTCGAGCATTATCCAATTACCCAATACAAAGGAGGAGACTGCCGGTACGTACACTGAAGTGTGAACTTTACAAGCAATTTAAATTTTTAGAGTCAAAAGAAACTCGCATGGGACAGAACATGGCAGTCACTAAGAAGTCCGATACGCAACGTACAATTAGCTTGGCAGAGGAAATAGATCGAATAATATATGAGGATTCCGCATGTAGTCAACCGCCACCAGAAACGGCTTCTGGCGAACCTGATAAGGACTCTACGGATGATGAATATTCGATTGTGTCATTTGCAGACTTGGAGAGATTAATGATCGAGGATGCACTTCAACGTAACCTACGCACCTCAGGTAAGTATCCAGACCAAATGGCCATTTTGTTTACGTTCTAGAAGAGGATGCAGTCTTCTACTGTTCCAACACTTCCTTACCAGGTGGGGAAATGTGGCCAAAGAGTGTGTTAACCGACATTAGGGGTGTTGGTCTTCACATAAACCCATAATTGATTTTTTGTCACCATTTTTAGAATCAGAAATATCATTTTTAAGCGATGTTGGAGAAGGTTCCGAACATTCCGATAAGCCTGCTAAGTAAAGTAGTAAACTATATCGTTCTTGAAGACCCTTATGCAAGGTTCTTACTTTGAGAGTATGTACCATTTTATGTCCCCAGTACAAATGACGATTTTAGTTTTCTAGGATATGCTGAAGTGTCCATCCCACTGACAAAGCTGAATTTCATTGTTCAATCTAATATCTTTGTAATGTATAGTGTTTGTCATGTTCCTTTTTATAGTTTGTAGTTCATTTCACTTACTAATATGTTTCGTGTTTTGTAATAATTTGACTGTGTGACAATCTGAAATAAACGTCACAGTATTTTGTCATTTATAACGCGACAATGTACATTCATGTATTACATCCCTTTCATGCTTTTCACATCCTGAGTGGCTTAAGCAAATGTCAAAATAAACTATGCTAATTACCTACTACAAGCACTCTATTAATTTCCTACAAATAGTAACGAGTCACAGCGTGTAATATCAAAAAGCTCATGCAACAAATCTGTGAATCCCTGGTGACGCCGCAAAGCTGAAAAAGTTGCAGACAAACTGACTTCCCAACCCTGTTATTGTGTCAACTTTTTCACTTTATTGTAATCGTGATCAATTTTCAATATGCCAATTTTGCGTTTTCTGGACGGTTTGAAGCCCCCAAACCCCAAAAAAGTGATTTTTGTGAACACAAATATGTGTCGCTCAAAAACATCTGAATTGATTTTGGTGAAATTTGGGGTGCATATAGGTTTGTTTCCATGGGGAATTTTGATTTCGGTCCGTTACCATCTTCAGGGTTTCAAAGTTTGTTTAAATTAGCGTTTTTCTGGAAATATAAGGACCATAGCGAAAAATGATAGATATAAATAAGAAGTGTCTTGATGATGATGTAATGTCTACATTTCAATTTGGAATACTAACCCTCCCTTGTATATTATTTTAAATTGTGTTCTATACGCTAAATCTGTTGAAAAGAATTACACCCTTAGATCAAAGACGCATGATTATAACACTAGGAATAGTCATAACGTTTGTGTAAACTTTTATAGGCTGGAAAAGACCCTTTCATTCATTTGTCAACAAAGTTCTTTAATTTACTCCCACTAAACGTGAGAGTTTAGCGCTCTGAAATTAAACGTTAAGCAGTTTCTACTCCAAAATGCATTTTACAACATTGCTGAATTTGAAAGTCAAATTAACAAGCTGTTATTATGACTTTTGCGAATGTTCTTTGTAACAATAAATATTATTTATTATTATTAGAAATAATTAACTAAATGATCATATGCCTTATTCCAGTTTGCATGCTAATTACTACACTTACTATCCAATATTTAGCTGGGACTGACATTACAAAATCAGTTGCTAAATAAACTCCTGACTACAGTTAGAAAATGCCGTCTGGCCAACGCAAAAAGTGTATGTCTTATTTTTTTTGAGCTCATCAAGACACTTCTTTTTTGTATTTAACATCTTTCGCTATGGTCCTTACATTTCCAGAAAAACGCTAACTTAAACAAACTTTGAAATCCTGAAGATGGCAACGGACCGAAACCAAAATTCTCCATGGAAACAAACCTATATGCACCCCAAAATCAGTTCCGATGTTTCTGAGCTACACATATCTGTGTTCACGAAAATCACCTTTTTTGGGGTTTGGGGGCTTCAAACCGTCCAGAAAACGCAAAATTGGCATATTGAAAATTTAAACTGAAAAACTTGACACAATAACAGTATAGCGAAAAATGTTAAATACAAAAAAGAAGTGTCTTGCTGAGCTCTACAAAAAATAAGACATACACTTTTTGCGTTGGGTTGCAAATAAAGGCGCCAGAAGGCATTTTCTAACTGTAGTCAGGAGTTTAGCTAGCAACCGAGTTTGTAAGGTCAGTGCCAGCTAAATATTGGATAATAAGTGTAGTAATAGTAACATGCAAACTGGAATCAGGCATGTGATCATTTATTTCATTATTTATAATTGAAATGTGGACATTATCGGCCACTGCAATAAAAATTGGTGCACGCGCGCGATTGGTTAATATCGCCAGCATCATGAACATATCCTTTGTTTGTAATCATTGAATGTGGCAACCATCACTTAACCACAAAACGCCAATATGGCCGAATTTTTCTACATGAGCGCCATCTACGACCGTTGCGACCGTTGTAGTTTCAAATTTGGAGAGTTTTGCAAAAAAGAGGCATTTCGTCTTACTTTAAGGTATTTAAAAGCTAATTAATATTTTTTAAGTAGGTATGCATATATTTTATTCACTTCAGCTACAGTGGTGACGGTAAAAAACATAAGACCAACCAGGTGATCGTCCACCTTGAAATCAGAACCTTGCGATTTGCATATTACAGATACGAAGTCTGGTCCTGTCAGTATTGAGTCTATTACGAATACTTCAACATTTTTACTTGATATGGCAGATCCACTTTTTGAAAATGGTATGTGTTCAATACATATAACCAAAATTAAAGTATCGTACATCTTCAGATTTTCGACCCACTTGCTTTATTTGTGGTTTAGTGAGTCGAAGAATGTCCGTTAGGCGCTCATACGAAGAGGAGTACATGGAGATGTTTATCTGTATGCTGCAGGTATGCACTAAAGTTATCACTTTTTTAAGGTATTTACTAAAACTTTTTAGCCATACGACAACGAAGACAGTTACTACCTCTGCGAGAGATGCGATTTGTGGCTCTCTAATACGGCTTTTTTAATTCGCCTAGCACGATCTCCAAGACGTTTTATTTATCGTCACTGTTCACCATGCTGTTTTATTTGTGGTGTGGAAAGTCAAACTCATTTCTTTACAATGTGCTTAAGGAGAATTGATAATATTGTGTTATATCGTTTTCTGGTTCAATATGGTTCTGTAAGTAAAGCAATTTTGTTAGTCATCCATTGACATGTTTACCTTGCAGTGTTCTCCTAGTATTAATATAATATGTGATCGATGCGAGATCATTTTTGTGGACTTGGTGAGACTCCACACCATATCGGAAAATTACAGGGTAAATTTCGTTCATTCGTGTATTAAGTTGTCACATTACAGTAGAAATATCGTTGGTGGTGGCAAGTATATCAAACTATCGCTCTAAAAATGTTTTCTCATATTTAGCGAAGGGTACCTCCAGTAATCGCCATTTTTGAAGCTGATGAATCGGTGGATTCCGATTCAGAATCTACCGCTTCATCTGCGGAACTTGAACCAGCAGGTGATTCATCCACCACACACTCTAGTAATTTATCCAATGAGACAGGAGGTACATAAAATAACTTTGAAATATAAAGATTAGTGCAATTTACAGTATTTTTAGGATCCACCGAACCTTACATTACCGCAGAGATGGTAGCCACTAATGAGGACGTTACAGACCATGATGATGCAATCACTTCAAGTAAGTATACAGTCCAAATGATATTTTCTTTAGGTTTAGAAGAGGATACAGTCTTCTATCGTTCCCATGCTGAATTTCCAGGTGGTATTGGTACCTATCAATACAAAGGCCAACTCTGCTATCCAATGTGGTTACCCAACATTATTGATGTTGGTTTCCACATAAACCCAAAATTCAATTTTTGACACCATTTTCAGAGACTATAGTAGATTCTCCAAGCGAGGCAGGGCCGGCTCCTAAGGACTCTGATCACCCCACACCGTAAAGTAGAAGATTATGGAAGCGTGTTAGAAAGATCCGTCCAGTAGGTGTTGGCTTTTAAGGTATGTATAATTTAATGTTCCAAGTTCAAGTGACCATTTTAATTGTTTAGGCACACGCGAAGCCAACATCTACAAGCCTTGGGATTTCATAACTTACTGTTTCTTATTTATAATTTACGGTCATGGTATCGGTTTACTTGTTGTATTGTTGTGTAACAGTTTCACTGTGCGTTATAACCTGGAATAATGGATATAACACTTTAGTTCATTTTTAGTATTAGAACAATCCAGATCGAAGTTCGTGGTATAACTTAGTTATTTGTTTTTACATAGTACCTATGTTCAAAAATAAATCTCGTTTAACACAGACTTGAATTTTTTTCCTTCTAAGGAGCTTTTTCAGATTGTTCAAACAAGAACTTCGCAAAAGGGACACAACAAAGATTCTAAACGCATTTATTTGCTCATTCATCCAGATCGAATGCACTCATTTTTCACCACCACCTCTGCAAATTTTGAAAAACATTCACACTTTGCACAACTAGATAGTATACGTTACAATATTGCAAAAATCCGAAATTGACACGTGGTCCAGGACCAAAACTTTATCGCGCACAGACGGACAGACGTACAAGGAAAATCGAGGACATAGTGGGTTTTGTTAAACATGTTCCCTTCCATTTAAGTAATGTCGTTTTTCCCGCGTAACCAGAAGTGTCACATCAGCGAACTCTATTAAAAATTGATTGCTTGACGAAACATGTAAGCTTGAAAAATAAAAAGGATTAATAAAAAAAAAAAATCGGCGCGTCGCTCATCATCATGATTGTCATTGGCATTTAATTAGGTTGGTGCACACAAAAATTTATCACTAGAATTGCGCGGTTCATACAACAAAAATAGCTCCGATCTTATAGAAATTGCAGCTAACTTTGAACTGGGCATGCCTTTCGAAATTCCTCATGCAAGTTACATGCAATTGCAATCTTTATTGCTCCATGTGTGCCAGTGCTATATAGCCTATGTAGCTCAGTAGTAGAGCGTTGGGCTACACAGCTGGAGGTTGGGTGTTCGCACCTGGGTTGAGGAAAGAATTTTTCATATGTGACAGACATGGGAATTTTCTTAGATCAGTTTCGAGCACTCTCGCGCTACTGCGAATTGGGTGTCCTGCCGTCTTGCTAATTCGTAAAGCGATAGCTGGAATAATATAGAACAACTTAAGACGTTCTGCAGGGGGTGCAGGTCGCTCTGTAATTGGGCTCAAGCCTGTTGAGGGCCCAGAACAAGAGAGGGCTAATAAATAAATAAATGTAAAGTGGGCTAAATTGCAAAAAAAATTGCAGCGTTTAAAACGACCATTAAGTAGATTTCAAAAAAAGGTGGAAACCAGCCTTTATCCACAAATTGACGGTATTGGTCTAGTCTTTTCGTCGTCACGCCATCTACAACTCATATGGCTGTTGATCCTGCAAATTTGGCGGGAAGTTTTCTGAAAACCTCAATTTCATTGCAGATTTCAAGGTATTTAATACATAATAAATGTTCTCTAATTAGGTACATATTTCAGTAATTTCAGTACATAATCGTCGTTTGATTTTGGTAGGTCGCAACGGCTGAACTGATTTCCAAAAAAAGGTGGGAAAAAAGTTAGGTTAGTTAACTCTCGATCGTCTACTCTCACTTATTAAAATCATATCCGAGTCTGGTCCTACTCAGGTTTATATAGCAAACCCCAAGCACTACCTTGAACCTACAACTAATCACCTATTTATATAACATGGCGACTTCACGAACTCCTCTATATGGAAATAGAAAGACTGGTACGTGTTTAATATGTAGTTGGTAAGTTAACAAACTATTGCATATCTCCAGATGTTCCAGAACCAGCAAAATGTTATATTTGTGATCTCGTCACCGAGAATTTGTGCACAAGAACTAGCGACCAACACGAACACAGAGAATTAAACGCATGCATGCTCTATGAGGTATATGCAAAAGGTTATAACTATTTACAGTATTTATGAAAAGCAACTTTTTAGTTATTTCATCATCAGACAAAATATTACCTCTGTGAAAGGTGCAGAGTGTGGCTCTCCGATATTACGTATTCACTGCAGGTAGTACAGGCTGCAAGAACTTTCTCCGATGGAGATTCCGTGTTGGGCTGCTTTATGTGCGGCGCTGTTGTTAGACTTGCTGTTTTCACGATGAATGTTGGGACAGTCGAGAAGATTGTGTTAGATCGCTTCGTGATGCATTATGGTTCTGTAAGTAAAGCCATTCTCTTAGACATTCATTCGCATGTATACTAACTTTGTAGATCACAAAAAGTATGGCTATGATTTGCACTCCTTGTGCAAGAACTTTTAGGGATCTAGTCAGACTTCATACTATGGCGGAAACTGAGATGGTAAAAACTTTCATATTATGTAGTTGATTTTACTGTGCTATATGTTAATTACCTAATTACATATGGTTAACTTATTTTTTTAAACGATAGAAATATCATTAGCGGTTTAACTGTCACTTTAAAAATGTCTCTTATTTTCAGCGAAGTAAACAAATCCCCGCTGTAGTTCCTTTGTATGTGGATAATTATGAAGATTTGCTGGATTTGGAGATCACTGCCACACCAATGCAAGGCCCAACAACTTCTAGGGCACATATGGAATCTAAACCCTGTCATCACGCAATTCCCCCAAATCCTACAATGGGACAGCATTTCTCCGTACGCGAACATGAAAAAGAGAAGATTTCGTCCCAAACAGGTACTTAGATTAGTATTTTCGTTAGGTATATAGAATTTCATCATTTCTAGGACCAACAGAACCTTCCACTGGAAATGCGGTGGTGACCGCCGAGGAGTCTGAGCCCTACTCTAAAGAAGAGTTAAAAGAGCTAATGGAGCTATTTGGTCTATTAATGGATGACGATGATCCATCCGGTCAACAGTCAACAGAAACTGGTCCTAGTAAGTTGGTAGCAGCCACTTAACCAGGTGTTGGCATGAGCCTAGTAATGTTGAAATACAAATTTTATTTCAAGTATTATACTCCATTATGAATAGGTGCTGTACATACAATGAACGTTTATACCTTAAAACGTGGTCACATTTGAAATGAGGGGCGATTACACTAAATAAAAAGCACAAAAAATGAAAATATGTTAACTGTCTTTCAAATTATTGAATCATTAACATTTGATGTCTATGCAGCTCAGTGGTAGCGCGTTGGGCTACATAGACGGAGGTCGGGTGTTCGCACCTGGGCTGACCTAAGAATTTTTCATCTGTGACAGAGATGGGAATTTCCTTAGATCAGTTACGAGTATTCTGCCGGCTACTCCGAATAAGGTTTTCCTAATTCATAACGTGAATACCGAAGTAGTATACAACAACTTAGAACCTTCTGCAGGGGCACCTCTAATTGAGCACAAGCCCAGAGCAAGAAAGGAATAATAAATAAATAAATAAATTTATGCATTTGTATGAGGTAGACTCACATTCGGTACCTCTCTCTGTGTCTCTCTGATTTTTTTGCTTAACTCTACTCCTTTGATTGAGGCTGTCCCCGAAACACCTTTATAATGCTGTTAATGATTTTTCAGATGATCATGGGTGCATTGCAGAGGCTCAAGACTTGGAGCAATTACTGTCTGGAGAGGATGCACATACTGCCTCAGGTGAGTAACGAAAATTTTGTGTTGTTTCAGAAGAGGATGCGGTCCTCTACTGTGTGCATGATTCAATACCAGGGTATTGGTATTTTTTACATAGTCATACAGTGTAGTTAACCAACGTTATAAGAATGTTGGTTTTCTCCTAAAACTCGAAATTAATTTTTTGGCGTTTTTTTAGGAACAGGGGAATCGTCTTCAGACGAAAAGGAGGCTCTTACATGTGATGATCCCCCGGTTCGTGAATCATAAAAAATTGTTGACCATTTCATAGGTGCCTACTTTTAAGGTAAGTGTAATTTAATTCGGTCAGTTTGAATGATGATTTTAATTTTTTAGAGAAACATGTTTGATCAATACAAGAAACATTAGCACGTCAGAGTTTAAAAGTGAGTTTTGTGTTGTTTATATTAATATATTGTTAACAATTTAATTTTCTATTAAAATGTGACACAACAAACAAAGTAATTCATTTCATTTTTCGTATAAGGAGAAACATCTTTCGTACGGGGTGCTGTAAAGGGGTACCACAAACACGTTTTCTAGAAGTTTTAAATTTCCTTAGGAACTTTTGCGGCGCGTCGCTCATCATCATGGTTGTCATTGGCATTTAATTAGGTTGGTGCACACAAAAATTTATCACTACAATTGCGCGGTTCATACAACAAAAATAACTCCGATCCTATGAAAATTGCACACAAGTCTCTTGTAGCTAACTTTGAACTGGGCATGCCTTTCGAAATTCCTCATGCAAGTTACATGCAATTGCAATCTTTATTGCTCCATGTGTGCTAGTGCAATATAGCCTATGTAGCTCAGTAGTAGAGCGTTGGGCTACACAGCTGGAGGTTGGGAGTTCATACCTGGGTTGAGGAAAGAATTTTTCGTATGTGACAAACATGGGAATTTTCTTAGATCAGTTTCGAGCACTCTCGCGCTACTGCGAATTGGGTGTTCCTGCCGTTTTGCTAATTCGTAAAGCGATAGCTGGAGTAGTATAGAACAACTTAAGACGTTCTGCAGGGGGTGCAGGTCGCTCTGTAATTGGGCTCAAGCCTGTTGAGGGCCCAGAACGAGAGGTATAATAAATAAATAAATGTAAAGTGGGCTAAATTGCAAAAAAAATTGCAGCGTCTAAAACGACCATTAAGTAGATTTCAAAAAAAGGTGGAAACCAGCCTTTATCCACAAATTGACGGTATTGGTCTAGTCTTTTCGTCGTCACGCCATCTACAACTCATATGGCGGTTGATCCTTCAAAACTGGCGGGAAGTTTTCTGAAAACCTCAATTTCATTGCAGATTTCAAGGTATTTAATACATAATAAATGTTCTCTAATTAGGTACATATTTCAGTAATTTCAGTACATAATCGTCGTTTGATTTTGGTAGGTCGCAACGGCTGAACTGATTTCCAAAAAAAGGTGGGAAAAAAGTTAGGTTAGTTAACTCTCGATCGTCTACTCTCACTTATTAAAATCATATCCGAGTCTGGTCCTACTCAGGTTTATATAGCAAACCCCAAGCACTACCTTGAACCTACAACTAATCACCTATTTATATAACATGGCGACTTCACGAACTCCTCTATATGGAAATAGAAAGACTGGTACGTGTTTAATATGTAGTTGGTAAGTTAACAAACTATTGCATATCTCCAGATGTTCCAGAACCAGCAAAATGTTATATTTGTGATCTCGTCACCGAGAATTTGTGCACAAGAACTAGCGACCAACACGAACACAGAGAATTAAACGCATGCATGCTCTATGAGGTATATGCAAAAGGTTATAACTATTTACAGTATTTATGAAAAGCAACTTTTTAGTTATTTCATCATCAGACAAAATATTACCTCTGTGAAAGGTGCAGAGTGTGGCTCTCCGATATTACGTATTCACTGCAGGTAGTACAGGCTGCAAGAACTTTCTCCGATGGAGATTCCGTGTTGGGCTGCTTTATGTGCGGCGCTGTTGTTAGACTTGCTGTTTTCACGATGAATGTTGGGACAGTCGAGAAGATTGTGTTAGATCGCTTCGTGATGCATTATGGTTCTGTAAGTAAAGCCATTCTCTTAGACATTCATTCGCATGTATACTAACTTTGTAGATCACAAAAAGTATGGCTATGATTTGCACTCCTTGTGCAAGAACTTTTAGGGATCTAGTCAGACTTCATACTATGGCGGAAACTGAGATGGTAAAAACTTTCATATTATGTAGTTGATTTTACTGTGCTATATGTTAATTACCTAATTACATATGGTTAACTTATTTTTTTAAACGATAGAAATATCATTAGCGGTTTAACTGTCACTTTAAAAATGTCTCTTATTTTCAGCGAAGTAAACAAATCCCCGCTGTAGTTCCTTTGTATGTGGATAATTATGAAGATTTGCTGGATTTGGAGATCACTGCCACACCAATGCAAGGCCCAACAACTTCTAGGGCACATATGGAATCTAAACCCTGTCATCACGCAATTCCCCCAAATCCTACAATGGGACAGCATTTCTCCGTACGCGAACATGAAAAAGAGAAGATTTCGTCCCAAACAGGTACTTAGATTAGTATTTTCGTTAGGTATATAGAATTTCATCATTTCTAGGACCAACAGAACCTTCCACTGGAAATGCGGTGGTGACCGCCGAGGAGTCTGAGCCCTACTCTAAAGAAGAGTTAAAAGAGCTAATGGAGCTATTTGGTCTATTAATGGATGACGATGATCCATCCGGTCAACAGTCAACAGAAACTGGTCCTAGTAAGTTGGTAGCAGCCACTTAACCAGGTGTTGGCATGAGCCTAGTAATGTTGAAATACAAATTTTATTTCAAGTATTATACTCCATTATGAATAGGTGCACCTCTAAAAAAGCATTATGCTCCGTAATTGGGCACAAGCCCAGAGCAAGAAAGGAATAATAAATAAATAAATAAATAAACACCTCTTTATAATGCTGTTAATGATTTTTCAGATGATCATGGGTGCATTGCAGAGGCTCAAGACTTGGAGCAATTACTGACTGGAGAGGATGCACATACTGCCTCAGGTGAGTAATAAAAATTTTGTGTTGTTTCAGAAGAGGATGCGGTCCTCTACTGTTTGCATGATTCAATACCAGGGTATTGGTATTTTTTACATAGTCATACAGTGTAGTTTCTCCTAAAACTCGAAATTAATTTTTTGGCGTTTTTTTAGGAACAGGGGAATCGTCTTCAGACGAAAAGGAGGCTCTTACATGTGATGATCCCCCGATTCGTGAATCATAAAAAATTGTTGACCATTTCATAGGTGCCTACTTTTAAGGTAAGTGTAATTTAATTCGGTCAGTTTGAATGATGATTTTAATTTTTTAGAGAAACATGTTTGATCAATACAAGAAACATTAGCACCTCAGAGTTTAAAAGTGAGTTTTGTGTTGTTTATATTAATATATTGTTAACAATTTAATTTTCTATTAAAATGTGACACAACAAACAAAGTAATTCATTTCATTTTTTGTATAAGGAGAAACATCTTTCGTACGGGGTGCTGTAAAGGGGTACCACAAACACGTTTTCTAGAAGTTTTAAATTTCCTTAGGAACTTTTGCGGCGCGTCGCTCATCATCATGGTTGTCATTGGCATTTAATTAGGTTGGTGCACACAAAAATTTATCACTAGAATTGCGCGGTTCATACAACAAAAATAACTCCGATCCTATGAAAATTGCACACAAGTCTCTTGTAGCTAACTTTGAACTGGGCATGCCTTTCGAAATTCCTCATGCAAGTTACATGCAATTGCAATCTTTATTGCTCCATGTGTGCTAGTGCAATATAGCCTATGTAGCTCAGTAGTAGAGCGTTGGGCTACACAGCTGGAGGTTGGGTGTTCGTACCTGGGTTGAGGAAAGAATTTTTCGTATGTGACAAACATGGGAATTTTCTTAGATCAGTTTCGAGCACTCTCGCGCTACTGCGAATTGGGTGTTCCTGCCGTTTTGCTAATTCGTAAAGCGATAGCTGGAATAATATAGAACAACTTAAGACGTTCTGCAGGGGGTGCAGGTCGCTCTGTAATTGGGCTCAAGCCTGTTGAGGGCCCAGAACAAGAGAGGGATAATAAATAAATAAATGTAAAGTGGGCTAAATTGCAGCGTCTAAAACAACCATTAAGTAGATTTCAAAAAAAGGTGGAAACCAGCCTTTATCCACAAATTGACGGTATTGGTCTAGTCTTTTCGTCGTCACGCCATCTACAACTCATATGGCTGTTGATCCTTCAAAATTGGCGGGAAGTTTTCTGAAAACCTCAATTTCATTGCAGATTTCAAGGTATTTAATACATAATAAATGTTCTCTAATTAGGTACATATTTCAGTAATTTCAGTACATAATCGTCGTTTGATTTTGGTAGGTCGCAACGGCTGAACTGATTTCCAAAAAAAGGTGGGAAAAAAGTTAGGTTAGTTAACTCTCGATCGTCTACTCTCACTTATTAAAATCATATCCGAGTCTGGTCCTACTCAGGTTTATATAGCAAACCCCAAGCACTACCTTGAACCTACAACTAATCACCTATTTATATAACATGGCGACTTCACGAACTCCTCTATATGGAAATAGAAAGACTGGTACGTGTTTAATATGTAGTTGGTAAGTTAACAAACTATTGCATATCTCCAGATGTTCCAGAACCAGCAAAATGTTATATTTGTGATCTCGTCACCGAGAATTTGTGCACAAGAACTAGCGACCAACACGAACACAGAGAATTAAACGCATGCATGCTCTATGAGGTATATGCAAAAGGTTATAACTATTTACAGTATTTATGAAAAGCAACTTTTTAGTTATTTCATCATCAGACAAAATATTACCTCTGTGAAAGGTGCAGAGTGTGGCTCTCCGATATTACGTATTCACTGCAGGTAGTACAGGCTGCAAGAACTTTCTCCGATGGAGATTCCGTGTTGGGCTGCTTTATGTGCGGCGCTGTTGTTAGACTTGCTGTTTTCACGATGAATGTTGGGACAGTCGAGAAGATTGTGTTAGATCGCTTCGTGATGCATTATGGTTCTGTAAGTAAAGCCATTCTCTTAGACATTCATTCGCATGTATACTAACTTTGTAGATCACAAAAAGTATGGCTATGATTTGCACTCCTTGTGCAAGAACTTTTAGGGATCTAGTCAGACTTCATACTATGGCGGAAACTGAGATGGTAAAAACTTTCATATTATGTAGTTGATTTTACTGTGCTATATGTTAATTACCTAATTACATATGGTTAACTTATTTTTTTAAACGATAGAAATATCATTAGCGGTTTAACTGTCACTTTAAAAATGTCTCTTATTTTCAGCGAAGTAAACAAATCCCCGCTGTAGTTCCTTTGTATGTGGATAATTATGAAGATTTGCTGGATTTGGAGATCACTGCCACACCAATGCAAGGCCCAACAACTTCTAGGGCACATATGGAATCTAAACCCTGTCATCACGCAATTCCCCCAAATCCTACAATGGGACAGCATTTCTCCGTACGCGAACATGAAAAAGAGAAGATTTCGTCCCAAACAGGTACTTAGATTAGTATTTTCGTTAGGTATATAGAATTTCATCATTTCTAGGACCAACAGAACCTTCCACTGGAAATGCGGTGGTGACCGCCGAGGAGTCTGAGCCCTACTCTAAAGAAGAGTTAAAAGAGCTAATGGAGCTATTTGGTCTATTAATGGATGACGATGATCCATCCGGTCAACAGTCAACAGAAACTGGTCCTAGTAAGTTGGTAGCAGCCACTTAACCAGGTGTTGGCATGAGCCTAGTAATGTTGAAATACAAATTTTATTTCAAGTATTATACTCCATTATGAATAGGTGCTGTACATACAATGAACGTTTATACCTTAAAACGTGGTCACATTTGAAATGAGGGGCGATTACACTAAATAAAAAGCACAAAAAATGAAAATATGTTAACTGTCTTTCAAATTATTGAATCATTAACATTTGATGTCTATGCAGCTCAGTGGTAGCGCGTTGGGCTACATAGACGGAGGTCGGGTGTTCGCACCTGGGCTGACCTAAGAATTTTTCATCTGTGACAGAGATGGGAATTTCCTTAGATCAGTTACGAGTATTCTGCCGGCTACTCCGAATAAGGTTTTCCTAATTCATAACGTGAATACCGAAGTAGTATACAACAACTTAGAACCTTCTGCAGGGGCACCTCTAATTGAGCACAAGCCCAGAGCAAGAAAGGAATAATAAATAAATAAATAAATTTATGCATTTGTATGAGGTAGACTCACATTCGGTACCTCTCTCTGTGTCTCTCTGATTTTTTTGCTTAACTCTACTCCTTTGATTGAGGCTGTCCCCGAAACACCTTTATAATGCTGTTAATGATTTTTCAGATGATCATGGGTGCATTGCAGAGGCTCAAGACTTGGAGCAATTACTGTCTGGAGAGGATGCACATACTGCCTCAGGTGAGTAACGAAAATTTTGTGTTGTTTCAGAAGAGGATGCGGTCCTCTACTGTGTGCATGATTCAATACCAGGGTATTGGTATTTTTTACATAGTCATACAGTGTAGTTAACCAACGTTATAAGAATGTTGGTTTTCTCCTAAAACTCGAAATTAATTTTTTGGCGTTTTTTTAGGAACAGGGGAATCGTCTTCAGACGAAAAGGAGGCTCTTACATGTGATGATCCCCCGGTTCGTGAATCATAAAAAATTGTTGACCATTTCATAGGTGCCTACTTTTAAGGTAAGTGTAATTTAATTCGGTCAGTTTGAATGATGATTTTAATTTTTTAGAGAAACATGTTTGATCAATACAAGAAACATTAGCACGTCAGAGTTTAAAAGTGAGTTTTGTGTTGTTTATATTAATATATTGTTAACAATTTAATTTTCTATTAAAATGTGACACAACAAACAAAGTAATTCATTTCATTTTTTGTATAAGGAGAAACATCTTTCGTACGGGGTGCTGTAAAGGGGTACCACAAACACGTTTTCTAGAAGTTTTAAATTTCCTTAGGAACTTTTGCGGCGCGTCGCTCATCATCATGGTTGTCATTGGCATTTAATTAGGTTGGTGCACACAAAAATTTATCACTAGAATTGCGCGGTTCATACAACAAAAATAACTCCGATCCTATGAAAATTGCACACAAGTCTCTTGTAGCTAACTTTGAACTGGGCATGCCTTTCGAAATTCCTCATGCAAGTTACATGCAATTGCAATCTTTATTGCTCCATGTGTGCTAGTGCAATATAGCCTATGTAGCTCAGTAGTAGAGCGTTGGGCTACACAGCTGGAGGTTGGGTGTTCGTACCTGGGTTGAGGAAAGAATTTTTCGTATGTGACAAACATGGGAATTTTCTTAGATCAGTTTCGAGCACTCTCGCGCTACTGCGAATTGGGTGTTCCTGCCGTTTTGCTAATTCGTAAAGCGATAGCTGGAATAATATAGAACAACTTAAGACGTTCTGCAGGGGGTGCAGGTCGCTCTGTAATTGGGCTCAAGCCTGTTGAGGGCCCAGAACAAGAGAGGGATAATAAATAAATAAATGTAAAGTGGGCTAAATTGCAGCGTCTAAAACAACCATTAAGTAGATTTCAAAAAAAGGTGGAAACCAGCCTTTATCCACAAATTGACGGTATTGGTCTAGTCTTTTCGTCGTCACGCCATCTACAACTCATATGGCTGTTGATCCTTCAAAATTGGCGGGAAGTTTTCTGAAAACCTCAATTTCATTGCAGATTTCAAGGTATTTAATACATAATAAATGTTCTCTAATTAGGTACATATTTCAGTAATTTCAGTACATAATCGTCGTTTGATTTTGGTAGGTCGCAACGGCTGAACTGATTTCCAAAAAAAGGTGGGAAAAAAGTTAGGTTAGTTAACTCTCGATCGTCTACTCTCACTTATTAAAATCATATCCGAGTCTGGTCCTACTCAGGTTTATATAGCAAACCCCAAGCACTACCTTGAACCTACAACTAATCACCTATTTATATAACATGGCGACTTCACGAACTCCTCTATATGGAAATAGAAAGACTGGTACGTGTTTAATATGTAGTTGGTAAGTTAACAAACTATTGCATATCTCCAGATGTTCCAGAACCAGCAAAATGTTATATTTGTGATCTCGTCACCGAGAATTTGTGCACAAGAACTAGCGACCAACACGAACACAGAGAATTAAACGCATGCATGCTCTATGAGGTATATGCAAAAGGTTATAACTATTTACAGTATTTATGAAAAGCAACTTTTTAGTTATTTCATCATCAGACAAAATATTACCTCTGTGAAAGGTGCAGAGTGTGGCTCTCCGATATTACGTATTCACTGCAGGTAGTACAGGCTGCAAGAACTTTCTCCGATGGAGATTCCGTGTTGGGCTGCTTTATGTGCGGCGCTGTTGTTAGACTTGCTGTTTTCACGATGAATGTTGGGACAGTCGAGAAGATTGTGTTAGATCGCTTCGTGATGCATTATGGTTCTGTAAGTAAAGCCATTCTCTTAGACATTCATTCGCATGTATACTAACTTTGTAGATCACAAAAAGTATGGCTATGATTTGCACTCCTTGTGCAAGAACTTTTAGGGATCTAGTCAGACTTCATACTATGGCGGAAACTGAGATGGTAAAAACTTTCATATTATGTAGTTGATTTTACTGTGCTATATGTTAATTACCTAATTACATATGGTTAACTTATTTTTTTAAACGATAGAAATATCATTAGCGGTTTAACTGTCACTTTAAAAATGTCTCTTATTTTCAGCGAAGTAAACAAATCCCCGCTGTAGTTCCTTTGTATGTGGATAATTATGAAGATTTGCTGGATTTGGAGATCACTGCCACACCAATGCAAGGCCCAACAACTTCTAGGGCACATATGGAATCTAAACCCTGTCATCACGCAATTCCCCCAAATCCTACAATGGGACAGCATTTCTCCGTACGCGAACATGAAAAAGAGAAGATTTCGTCCCAAACAGGTACTTAGATTAGTATTTTCGTTAGGTATATAGAATTTCATCATTTCTAGGACCAACAGAACCTTCCACTGGAAATGCGGTGGTGACCGCCGAGGAGTCTGAGCCCTACTCTAAAGAAGAGTTAAAAGAGCTAATGGAGCTATTTGGTCTATTAATGGATGACGATGATCCATCCGGTCAACAGTCAACAGAAACTGGTCCTAGTAAGTTGGTAGCAGCCACTTAACCAGGTGTTGGCATGAGCCTAGTAATGTTGAAATACAAATTTTATTTCAAGTATTATACTCCATTATGAATAGGTGCACCTCTAAAAAAGCATTATGCTCCGTAATTGGGCACAAGCCCAGAGCAAGAAAGGAATAATAAATAAATAAATAAATAAACACCTCTTTATAATGCTGTTAATGATTTTTCAGATGATCATGGGTGCATTGCAGAGGCTCAAGACTTGGAGCAATTACTGACTGGAGAGGATGCACATACTGCCTCAGGTGAGTAATAAAAATTTTGTGTTGTTTCAGAAGAGGATGCGGTCCTCTACTGTTTGCATGATTCAATACCAGGGTATTGGTATTTTTTACATAGTCATACAGTGTAGTTTCTCCTAAAACTCGAAATTAATTTTTTGGCGTTTTTTTAGGAACAGGGGAATCGTCTTCAGACGAAAAGGAGGCTCTTACATGTGATGATCCCCCGATTCGTGAATCATAAAAAATTGTTGACCATTTCATAGGTGCCTACTTTTAAGGTAAGTGTAATTTAATTCGGTCAGTTTGAATGATGATTTTAATTTTTTAGAGAAACATGTTTGATCAATACAAGAAACATTAGCACGTCAGAGTTTAAAAGTGAGTTTTGTGTTGTTTATATTAATATATTGTTAACAATTTAATTTTCTATTAAAATGTGACACAACAAACAAAGTAATTCATTTCATTTTTTGTATAAGGAGAAACATCTTTCGTACGGGGTGCTGTAAAGGGGTACCACAAACACGTTTTCTAGAAGTTTTAAATTTCCTTAGGAACTTTTGCGGCGCGTCGCTCATCATCATGGTTGTCATTGGCATTTAATTAGGTTGGTGCACACAAAAATTTATCACTAGAATTGCGCGGTTCATACAACAAAAATAACTCCGATCCTATGAAAATTGCACACAAGTCTCTTGTAGCTAACTTTGAACTGGGCATGCCTTTCGAAATTCCTCATGCAAGTTACATGCAATTGCAATCTTTATTGCTCCATGTGTGCTAGTGCAATATAGCCTATGTAGCTCAGTAGTAGAGCGTTGGGCTACACAGCTGGAGGTTGGGTGTTCGTACCTGGGTTGAGGAAAGAATTTTTCGTATGTGACAAACATGGGAATTTTCTTAGATCAGTTTCGAGCACTCTCGCGCTACTGCGAATTGGGTGTTCCTGCCGTTTTGCTAATTCGTAAAGCGATAGCTGGAATAATATAGAACAACTTAAGACGTTCTGCAGGGGGTGCAGGTCGCTCTGTAATTGGGCTCAAGCCTGTTGAGGGCCCAGAACAAGAGAGGGATAATAAATAAATAAATGTAAAGTGGGCTAAATTGCAGCGTCTAAAACAACCATTAAGTAGATTTCAAAAAAAGGTGGAAACCAGCCTTTATCCACAAATTGACGGTATTGGTCTAGTCTTTTCGTCGTCACGCCATCTACAACTCATATGGCTGTTGATCCTTCAAAATTGGCGGGAAGTTTTCTGAAAACCTCAATTTCATTGCAGATTTCAAGGTATTTAATACATAATAAATGTTCTCTAATTAGGTACATATTTCAGTAATTTCAGTACATAATCGTCGTTTGATTTTGGTAGGTCGCAACGGCTGAACTGATTTCCAAAAAAAGGTGGGAAAAAAGTTAGGTTAGTTAACTCTCGATCGTCTACTCTCACTTATTAAAATCATATCCGAGTCTGGTCCTACTCAGGTTTATATAGCAAACCCCAAGCACTACCTTGAACCTACAACTAATCACCTATTTATATAACATGGCGACTTCACGAACTCCTCTATATGGAAATAGAAAGACTGGTACGTGTTTAATATGTAGTTGGTAAGTTAACAAACTATTGCATATCTCCAGATGTTCCAGAGCCAGCAAAATGTTATATTTGTGATCTTGTCACCGAGAATTTGTGCACAAGAACTAGCGACCAACACGAACACCGACAATTAAACGCATGCATGCTCTATGAGGTACATGAAAAAGGTTACAACTTTTTACGGTATTTATTTAAAGCAACTTTTTAGTTATGCCACCTCCGAAAAAAATATTATCTCTGTGAAAGGTGCAGAGAGTGGCTCTCCGATATTACGTATTCACTGCAGGTAGTACAGGTTGCAAGAACTTTCTCCGATGGCGATTCCGTGTTGGGCTGCTTTATGTGCGGCGCTGTTGTTAGACTTGGTATTTTCACGATGAACGTTAGGGCAGTCGAGAAGATTGTGTTAGATCGCTTCGTTATGCATTACGGTTCAGTAAGTGAAGCCATTCCTTTAGACATTTATTCACATGTATACATTGTAGATCACCAAAAGTATGGCTATGATTTGCAACCCGTGTGCAAGAACTTTTTGGGATCTAGTCAGACTGCATACTATGGCGGGAACTGAGATGGTAAAAACTTTCATATTATGTAGTTTATGTCACTGTGCTGTACGGTAATTACCTAATTCCATATGGTTAACATTTCCCAAATGATAGAAATATCATTAGCAGTCTAACTGTCACTTTACAATGTCTCTAATTTCCAGAAAAGTAAACAAATCACCGCTGCAGTTCCTTTCTATGTGGATAATTATGAAGATCTGCTGGATTTGGAGGTCACTCCTGCACCAATGCAAGACCCAACAACTTCTAGTGCACATATAGAATTTAAACCATGTCACCACGCAATTCCCCCCACTCCTACAACTAGACAGCATTTCTCCATAAAAGAACATAAAGAAGCGAGCATTTCGTCCCGAACAGGTACTTACATTATTATTCCATTACATACAATTTTATCATTTCTAGGAACAACAGAACCTTCTGGTGTGAAGGTGGCAGCCTCTGACGAACCTCACGAGGAAGATGGTGGAAGTATTTACTTTGAAGTATAAAAACTAAACATATTGTTACAGCATCTTTACGACGAGCAAAATCTAATGAAGCAGTGGGGTCCGAGGAGTCTGATGACTGTTTTTCAGTCAGCACGGTAGAGCTATGGCCAAGAGAACCCTCCCCTGATGAAGACTTCACAGACTATCAGCAACCTCAATGTACAGGTACCTACATTGAAGAGTCATCAGCAGAGCTCTCATCTGAGAAGAAGTTGAAAGTAGCTGACAAGCCTGAGCCGTACTGTATATCTGATATACAGTTTCAAAATATAATTGCGCAATTGGAGCGATTAATGGATGAAGATGATTCATCTAATCAACAACCAACAGAAACTGCTACTAGTAAGTTGGTGGAAGCCACTTCAACCAGGTGTTGGCGTGAGCCTCGTAATAAAGTTTATTTCAAGTATTATAATATTAAGTTACTACATTTTGAACATGGTCACATTTGAAAGGCGAGTCGATTATACACTAATTTAAGAACACGAAAAAATGAAAATAGGTTCTTGTATTTAAAATTATTGAATCACCAACAACATTTATTATGTATGCATTTGTGAGAGGTAGACTCGCATTTGGAGCTCTCTTTGTGTCTCTCTGACTCCACTCCTTTGGTTGAAGCTGTCGCGCAAACACCTCTTTATTATTATACCTCATGCTGATAATAATTTTTTAGATGATCATGGGTGTATTGAAGCAGTTGACAACTTGGAGCAATCACTGGCTGGGAAGGATGCACGTACTGCCTCAGGTGAGTGGTGAAAATTTTATGTTGTTTCAGAAGAGGACACAGTCCTCTACTGTTTGCATCATTTGATACCAGGGTATTGGTATTCTTTACATAGGCAACCTGATCATACAATGTAGTTAACCAACAGAATGTTTGTTTTCTCCTAAAACCCGAAATTCATTTTTTGACACCTTTTTTAGAAAAACGAGAATCAATGTCATGCAAAAAGGAGGAGCTTACATGTGATGATCACCAGCTTCATGAATCATAAAAAATTGTTGACCATTTCGTAGGTGCTTGCTTTTAAGGTATGTGTAATTTAATTCTCTCATTTCAAATGATGATTTTAATTTTTTAGAGAAATATGTTGGATCAATACAAGAAAACTAGGCACCGAAAACTGTGAAACTAATGTTTGTGTTGTTTATTAGTATGTACATTGTTAAAAATGTAATTTTGTATTAAAATGTGACACAAAAAAGAAGATAATTTATTTAATATTTCGTTTAAGAAGTAATACCTTTCGTACAGGGTGCTCTAAAATGGTTCTACACCCACATCCTATATCTTTCAGAAATCTGGAAAACACCAATCATAAGGTTGAAGTTTGGGTTATGTTCGCGCTTTTTATTCATAAATTAGTGCATTTTCAAAAGGGGATAGCATAGAAAGAGTATTAAAATTTTCGCTTTATTGAACGCATCCATATTTAAAATTGGAACAAAATCATAGACAGAAATAGGAACGTTGAGTCTGTGCGTTCTGCGAAAGGAAGGCAATTAATGCTACAAAATTTCAAGTAATTACCTCACAAATAAGAAAATTGCTCCTTGATTGCAGACTTAATGTTACCCTTCATCATATTAGCTATCCTCCCTATTATAAAATTGTAAGAAAAAGAAGAAAGGTATAATGCTAGATGAAGGTACAGGAACAAGAATTCGCAAACAATTGTTTTGGCTCAATTGATAGTTATAAGCTTAATAATGCAAAAAGAACTGTAATAGTTACAGCATGGAAAATATGATAAATACGTTATGTGGCAATTTTGTACATAAGCTGATGATAGTACAAAAAAGAGCTATGTCAGATTTTCTAAAAAAGTTTTTCCAAACCCTACCGCAAAATGGACACGCAAAAAAATTCTGATCTCTAGAGGGTTTTGTATCTAAGATGAAAATAACGAACCTATTATTAGTTTTTGCAAAACCATAAAAATGTTAACAACAATGCTTGTCTGGATGTCAAAAGAAGCTTGATGAAATTTAAATTTCGTTGTCGAACCCAAAATTGCAGTTGATTTGGTTCCAATTACTCAAAATCTAAGTACAAATAATAACTTTTTGTTGTTGTGTTAAAAATGTTCCCTACTGTTTAAATAATGTCGATTTCCCGCGTAACCGGAAGTGTCGCAATATTGGAAAAAGTGCGGAAATAACTTTACGGAATTAATTTCAAAATGCACTTTTACATACCAGGTGTAAACCAGCCTTTATCCACAAATTGACGGTATTGGTCGAATGTTTTTGACTTCACGCCATCTACAACTCATATGACGGTTGATGCCTCAAATTTGGCGGGAAATTTGGTGAAAAGTTTACTTTCCTTATAGATTTCAAGGTATTTAATACATAATAAATGATCTCTTATTAGGTATATCTTTCAATAATTTCAGTACATAATAGTCGTTTGATTTTGGTACATATACAAAGGTCGTAACGGCTGAACTTTAATTTCCAAAAAAAGGTGGGAAAAAAGTTAGGTTGGTTAACTCTTATGTGTCCAGTTTGTAAGAATCTGTAATATCTGAGTCTGGTCCTATTTAAGGTTTGTGTAGCAAGGCCTTTCTTGCACCTACAACAAATCACCTATTGATATAACATGGCGACTTCGCGAACTCCTCTTTATGGAGCTGGAAAGTCTGGTATGTGTTTAATATGCAGTTAAAATTAAAAAACTATCGTATATCTCCAGATGTTCCAGAGTTAGCAAAATGTTATGTTTGTGATCTCGTCACCGAGGATTTGTGCGAAAGAAATCGTGACCAACGCGAACACCGAGAATTAATTGCATGCCTGCTCTATGAGGTACATGCAAAAGGTTATAACTTTTTACAGTATTTATGAAAAGCAACTTTTTAGTTACATCAACAAGAGAGGTATTACCTTTGCGAAAGGTGCCGAGTGTGGCTCTGCGACATTACGTATTCACTGCAGATGGTACAGGGTGCAAGAACTTTCTCCGAGGTCGATCCCGCGTGGGGCTGCTTTATGTGCGGCGATGTTGTTAGAATTGGTATTTTCACGATGAATGTTGAGACAGTCGAGAAGATTGTGTTAGATCGCTTCGCCATGCATTATGGTTCTGTAAGTAAAACCATTCTCTTAGACATTTATTCACATGTATACATTGTAGATCACAAAAAGTATGGCTATGATTTGCACTCCTTGTGCACGAACTTTTAGGGATCTAGTCAGACTTCATACTGTAGCGGGAACTGAGATGGTAAAAACTTTCATATTATGCAGTTTATGTTACTGTGCTAGTACATATGGTTAACATATTTTTAAACGATAGAAATATCATTAGCGGTCTAACTGTCACTTTCAAAATGTTTCTCATTTTTAGCGAAGTAAACAAATCCCCGCTGCAGTTCCTTTCTATGTGGATAATTATGAAGATTTGAGGAATTTGGAGGTCACTCCCACCCCATCAACTTCTAGTGCACATATGGAATTTAAACCATGTCACCACACAATTCCCCCAACTCCTACAACGGGACAGCATTTCTCAATATGCGAATATGAAAAAGAGAGCATTTCGGCCCAAACAGGTAGGTAGCTACTTAGATTAGTATTTTCATTAGGTACATAGAATTTCATCTCTTCTAGGACCAACAGAACCTTCTACTGGAAATGCGGTTGTGGCCGCCCAGAAGTCTGAGCCCTACTCTGATGAACAGTTAGAAGAGCTAAAGGCGCAATTTGGTCTATTAATGAATGACGATGATCCATCTGGTCAACAATCAACAAAAACTGGTTCTAGTAAGTTGGTAGCAGTCACTTAACCAGGTGTTGGCACGAGCCTCGTAATGTTGAAATACAAATTTTATTTCAAATACTGCATTATGAATACGTGCTGTACAATTTGCATGATTCGATACCAGGGTAGCAGTCACTTAACATAGCCAACCTGGTCATACAGTGTAGTTAAGCAACATTATAAGAATGTTGGTTTTCTCCTAAAACCCAAAATTCATTTTTTGGCACCTTTTTTAGAAACAGGAGAATCATCTTCAGACCAAAAGGAGGAACTTACATGTGACGATCCCCCGGTTCGTGAATCATAAAAAATTGTTGACCATTTCATAGGTGCCTGCTTTTAAGGTATGTGTAATTTAATTCCGTCAGTTTGAATGATGATTTTAATTTTTTAGAGAAACATGTTGGATCAATACAAGAAACATTAGCACCTCAAAGTTTGAAAGTGAGTTTTGTGTTGTTTATATTAATACATATTGTTAACAATTTAATTTTGTATTAAAATGTAACACAAAAAACAAAGTAATTTATTTCACATGTTTCACATTTCACATGTTCTAGAAGTTTTAAATTTCCTTAGTAACTTTTGGCTGTTCCACTTGAATCACATTAGCCATGAACATTGTTTACATAATTCACTAATCTTGTTCAGTTTTTCATTTTGCTATTTTATAAATCTCTTAAAAAGCCAAAAATGTTGAATTGAATTGAATTGAAAAATTCAATGGGTATCTGAAATTCATGTGGTCCAAAAGCAAATTTAAAAAATGTTCCCTACCATTTAAATGATTCGATTTCCCGCGTAACCGGAAGTGTCGCCATATTGGGAAAAATGCGGAAATGACTTTTTACAGAATTAATTCCACAATGCACTGTCATTTACAATGTGTAAACCAGCCTTTATCCAAAAATTGACGGTATTGGTCGAATGTTTTCGCCTTCACGCCATCTACAAGACAACTCAGGATACATTCGGCATTAATACCGAGTTGTGGAACCGAGTACTACCGATCATGTGACTGGAGCAATAGGAGTATATTCTTATGCCGAACGGGATAATCAGATGCAAAGCAAACATAACTTGTGTTGTGTACATAACCTCCTTGTGAGAAAAAAGTAAAAAATGAACCGGAAAATTGTGAAAATTTCCATTACTTGTGCGGCGAAACCACACAAACTACTTTTGTAAAACTCGCTCATACTTTCGATTTGCAGAAATAAAAAATTACAGTTTAATCAGCTGTTCACACTATCCTCAATGCTCCACCTATAAATCAGGAGTGCCCTGTGTTAGACTACTTCTTAGTTATGAGAAACATAAAAGAACATGCTCCATTTGAATAAAAGAACAAAAAGGAGCATTTGGAGTGCACTAAACTCCCGATTTCAATGCTGAACGTGCTCTCATATGACAGTTGAACCTTCAAATTTGGCGGGAAATTTAAATTTCGTTCCAGTTTTACATGTTCTCTAATCAAGTATGTATTTCATTCATTCCAGTACATAATCGTCGTTTGATTTGGGTCCATATACAAAGGCAGTAACGGCATAACTTTGATTTCCAAAAAAAAAAGGTGGAAAAAAAATTAGGTTGGTTGATTGTCTAAGTTTGCAAGAAACTGTGATTATAAGTATAACCGGGTCTAGTCCTACTCAAGGTTTGTGTGCAAAGCCATAGCTTCCATCAATCACCTATTTATATAACATGACCACTTCACGAACGATAGAAAATCTGGTATGTTTTTAATATGTAGTTAAATGAACAAACTATCGTATATCTTCAGATATTCCACAGTCCGCAAAATGTTATGTTTGCTTTGTGCGAAACAAGCCATCACCAATACAAACACATGCACACATGCAAAAGATTATTACTTTTTAAAGCGTTTATTAAAAAAACTTTTTAGTTATTCCATCACCAAGAGAGGTATTACCTTTGTAAAAGGTGCAAAGTGTGGCTCTCAGATAGTACACATTCTGTTCATGTAGTACAACAGGCTCTCTCTCTTTCTGATGGTGATCCCATGATGAGCTGCTGTATGTACGGCACAGTTAATAAACTTGGTTTTTTCATAATGAATGTTGGGATAGTCGAGAACGTTGTGTCACATCGCTTCGTTATGCATTACGGTTCTGTAAGTAAAGCCACTTTATTAGACATTCATTCACATGGATACATTCTAGTTCACAAAACCTACCCCTATGATTTGGAAGAACTTAGTGCTACTTCATACTACGGCAGCAACTGAAATGGTAAAAATTTCATATTATGAAATGTTAATTACCTAGGTACATATTTTCTAAATGAAAGCATTAGCTGTGTAAGTGGCACTCATGTTCAGCAAATCAAACAAATCTCTGCTGAGGTTCCTTGCTGTCTGGATAATTATGAAGATTCGCTGGTCACTGCCATGCTAGTGCGAGACCCGGCAACTTCTAGTGTATATATGAAATTTAAACCATGGCCTACCGTAATTCCCCCAACTCCTATAGTTGGACAGCATTTTGTAACAAATAGGTACTTACATTCTTATTATAACATTACATACACTTTTATCATTTCTAGGACCTTTCCCTGGTGTGGAGGTGGTAGCCTCCGAGGAGTCACCAAAGAGCTTTACAGATGATAGGGGTACTTACAAGTATAAAAATAAAAAATACAATTTCACAGCATCTTTATGGAAAAATCCTCCTGGGGAGGTCTTCCAAGAAACCTGTAGATGACTGTACAGTTAAGATAGTACAGGTATTTATTTTAAAAGACAAAACTTATATACAACTGTACAGCATTTTTAGGGCCAATAGAACTTTCTCCTTTGGAGGAAGTGATGCCTTTGAAGAGCCTCCCGAGGGATTTATTTATTTTTTGACTTCATCAAGCGAAGTCCAGGAGATTCCATAGGTGCTCCTCTTTAAAATATCTGTAATTTTAACTACCACTTTAAATGACGTTTTTGTTTTGATAAGATACAGACAAAGCTGGCATATACAAATGTTAAACATTTAATTTTGTTACTAGGTACATTGTTTAAGAACTTGATTATAATTGTATTAAAATATGAAACAAAGAACCGAGTAATTTATTTAGTTATTACTTGGGGATTGGTAAAATGTTTTCCGTCATTTAAATTATAAAGTATCCTACTCTCCAGTAATAATCCACTGATGACAAAGGAAGTTACTAGGACTTAACAAGCACGAATCTATTTAAGTGAGACAGCTGTAAAAAATCTTACAGTGCGCTTACATTTCTAAACTATTCAAAAGCTTTCAAATGTTCTATACTATGTCCATAAACTTACCATTGTTTTAGTAGAATGGCTGTAAGTTGATTACAACCTGCATTTGCAATCATACATTTCCTTTTACTGCTGGTGTAGAAAAATGTATACTATCTCCATCAGTTAAATATAGATTTGTATGCAACACTGTACCTTCCCTCAAACACCTCATCAGCCTCAAAAAATTATTCAATTTGATTCGCACATGCACAAATCCTACCTTTAAACACTCGGGTCAAATGACGTACGGAGTTTCAGAAACTTTGTTCCGCCCTTGGTATTGAACAATGGAGGCAACTTAAAAAAAGCTGTAGCTTTCTATATTCTTTCCTTTCCTCCACTCTAAATGAATGGAAATAATATATTTTCGTATCAATTATTTAATAAACAAGCAGAGCAAGGTCACCCTGATCAGTGGCGGATCCTGAGAAACTTTTCTAGGGGGCGGGGGGGAGGTGAATATAAAAAATCTTAGTTGAACATGTACTGACATGATGCATAGAACTGGGGTCAAGTCTTCAATGTCTACATCCGGTAAATGCCGACATGCACAATCCAGTTAATCGTTCTTCAAATGTGCGTAATCACGTCTTTAATCTGCGCGAAGTGAATTCTGCACTTGGAGTAGTGCTCATAAGTAGGAATAGGCGAATTATGGCGCAGAGCATTACATCGTCTAATACTGCCAGGAATCTTATCTTGGTTCTTCCAGTTATTTTGGTGAAATTGTACTTTTCCTTGGAGAATATTTGCAGAAGAGTGTGATCATCAGTACATTGAAATTTCTCTACACGATACCATGACAAATATCGCTTAGTTTATTTGGGAGTACTCTGATTTTCGTCAAGCCCTTTAGAATTGCAGTCAGTGCTTATATAGTAGGATTCTATTGTGTTGAATTCGGAATTCTTTCATCCTCTCAGTTGTCTTCCTATCTATTGGATGAATTTAAACTGTATGAGTATTTTCTAATAAGCAACACTTACTTGGTTTTCCGCTGCAAATCGTGAACCCCGATGAAGTAATCCACACGACACGACACACACAGTGACTGAATAATGAGTACTAGCCTCCGAGTGCAAAGTAATTCTTCATTCATTACTCATGCTATGCTATACGTATGGCGGGGGAATGTCCTCTGTGCACGTGACATTCATCAATAGTTTGGTTTGATAGGCAGAACAAGCTTTTTTGCGTCTGTTGGACCTAAACCTCTGCTGAATCCGCCACTGACCCTGATACCAGAAATGAAAAGATGAGTACCTACCTAAAGAATAGAATGACAAATCACAATAATTTAGAAAGCTACAAGATGCCAAACTCCATCCCAGGTAAACAAAAACACATTTCCGTTCGCAGATTGAAAGCATTTGACATCTGGAGACTTTTGATCCAGACTTAGTTCTTAAAATTCCTCCTGCTACATCTGATAAATTCAGTTTTCTTCTCGTAATTAAGCCATAAACAATCGAACAAGAATTACTGAATTAGTGATTGTATCGATATCAATATGTATTTGTCCACTTATACTGATGTGGTCTGAATTGAGTTTACTTGCGATTATTTCCAATGCTTGAACACAAAAGAAATCTGCAATGTAGTAATTTAATTTTGTAAAAATTACACGAAAGTTTACAAAATCGTATTTATACAAAACAACAAATAATAAACTTAAGATCACAAAATAAAAAAATTTGGTTTTAATTAAACCTTCAGTCTCATTTAAAATCTCTTGTAAAACGGTAACTGTGTACAAGTCTTTTATATTTCACAGTTACAAGGACATCGACTAAAAACTCACAAATACATATAAATGACTCGAGTAAAAATAAATATTCTTTAAATGATATGTATTGTTTGCTTTTTATGTAAATTTAGTTACATACTAAAATAAATAATGAGATCACAATTAAAATAACGACAACGTTAAAATTTAATTCTTGGCTTAATTTCTTGTGCAATTCCCCCCCATGCTAGCTTATACACTCTCGTACGCCATCTAATAGTTGGATTAAAAAGTGCATGGAGAAATAAGTATGGTCCTGAGCATTCGCGAAAAAGCCAACCGACGACAAAATCAAATTTGTTAAATGGTAATGAGCCGTTCTAAAAAAAATATGTTGTGAAACTGATTAGTCGTGTCGCTACATACCTGAACTATGGTTAGGAGTACCCAATCACATATAAACCATATCAAAACATGTACCAGATAGAATGCAAACGAATCCCACTGAAACAGGACACCTACTGCCCATGCAGTAAATCCACCAATCACCATGCATTCAGTCAAAGGTTCAAATATCGTTACTAATGGAATCATCGCAACTCTCAATTTGGCCCATCTATATACAATATACAATGTTAGAATCATTATGGTTAATAATAATCGTCAACTACCTGCATGCAAAAACTACTCGACATAATAAATCGCACTATTTCACTTTTTAAAGGCAGTTATTCGATGACCTTTTTTTGTGCAATTTTTCTTCTTGTTAGTAAACGGCCTAGATTAAGCAGCGACACAAAAAATTATTTATAACTTGCACAAAAAACGGCTAAAAATTTCTTTAATACTGCCCTTAACAGCACTTCCTGACAATGCCTAGTAAATCAGACTCATAATTTACACCCAAGAACTTGTAAAGAAAAATAGAACTCGATCGCCTTTGTTTTTATATACCTAGTTCAATCCAAACAAAGTATTAGATTTTGAATTTCAAGTTTTAAGAGGAGATAAAAGGTCAAACTTTCGCAAGGTATGGGATATAAAAAAACATTTTCATTACTGAGCTAGCCGTGGGTAAATTAATTGTGACATTGGAATTTTTGCATGACCTTATTGTAAGGGTATATACAACAGTAATGTTAGGAGGGAAAGGAAAAGCATATAGTTTTACTAAAGACGTATAGCACGACAATAGCAGGTGCTATGAAGGAAAAGAACCACTTCTGCACATACAGTCAGTCATATACACATTCCTTGAGGACTGTTCCCAAAGATACAGAGATATAGAAATCGTAAGGGTGTAAAGATAAGGTTAGAGGGTAAGAACCTGCTAGCATAACACCACGTCCAAAAATAATGTATGCTAATAACAAAATGGCGCTGGAAAGTGACCCACCGCCCATTAATGTGATGCAATCACACACAGTCTCTCAGTCGACAATACTCTGCTTATTCCTAAAGACCGTTTTCAATTTAGTGGTACACCAATAAAACCAAAATACAGTAACGCACTTCACGAACCTACCCTCATGCACATCCCTTACAAAAATTATCCTGAATTCAGAATTATACAAATAAAATAATAATATTACGCCGCATGATCGCAAATGCCTGTGCAGGGTAAGGAAGTTTGTCCAAAATAAATAAATTACGTGCCTTGTTAAGCGTGACTGAAAACTATGAATATCACAAATCCCAGAATTCTGTATGGCTGGCTGACTACAAATTGTTATCTTCCATCCCTTATCCATAAATGACTTAGCAATAAAGAAATCTTCCGCTAAATAACAGCCAAATGTTTTTAATCCCCCTTCCTCTTCCAATACTGATTTTCTCATGAGCGCTGACATACCAGTATGACAGTTTACTTTAATACAATCCGCAGTTAAATATACTCGAGAATGAGCAGTTCCGAAGTAGATCTACAAAATAAACTTTAAAACTTTCTCTACAGGCAAAAATTCCAACATGCCTTTTCCAAAGCCGCGGCAAAACCGCTTCGATCAGCACTAAATGGCATTTGATGCACCAATGCAATCTTATCCGTCATGTGATTCATCATATCTTGCAATGTATCTTCCTTCACTGAAAGACAGAAAGTTATGGCATTAATTAGGAAGCAACGCAATTAACTTTGGGTACATAAACACCATGCACAATTTCAAATGCCTTAAATAAAATTCAAAAACTTTATAAAGCAAAAACCAACTCAAACATTTCATTTTTATATACGCTGACAGCCCATTGTAGATTTCTTTCATCGGTCATTCTAGATGCTACTTTGCCGACTATGTCATATTTTTTTGATTTGATGGCGACCTCACTTACTGGGCTTATTCGAAAGTTGGAAATAGGAGTGACAAGGAGGGAAGGGGCGTTTAAAACTTTGGGCCAACAGTTTCAAAGTCGTCAGGAGTTTATAAAAAAAGTCTTCTAAAGAATTTCAGGGATTTTAAAGCTTTCAGAGCCTCCATTGTTTTTTTGAGTCACTTAGCGTTGGGCAAAAAAATCGATTAATCGATTATAATCAAACGATAATCGATAATCGGGTTTGATTATTCTATTAAATTAATCAATTATTTGATTAATCGATTATTTGATTAATCGGTTATTTGATTAATCGATTATTAAGTAAATTTTAATTGATTATTATTAGCTGGATCATCAGTTTACGCAAAAAGGAGCACTCACAGCTCACAAGTATTATTTTATTTTATAGCGGATGTTAAAACGTCACTTTAAGCAGCTAAAATGAATTAACATTGTATCATCAAAACTAAAGCACACCTCATCGGAGAGTAAGCTGCCTAATCATTTATTTTTATTTATTTTTATTTTTGACCTTCATTTTCAAATGGGCAGGGTTTCAGCCAAGGCTGTTCTACCAACCAACCCACTATGCATTTGCAAATATCCATGCCCGAACCCGGATTCGAACCAGGGACACTTTGTTGATTATTGATTAATCGATCTGCCTATAGTAATGAACGATTTGATGAAAAGAGTAATGGAATTATTTTTTATTTTTATTATTAAATAATTAACGTATTAATGCATACAAACAGATATTTATCACTCCTTGTATGTGACAATCGACTTTTGATTAAACGATTAGGTGATTAATCAATTATTTGATTAATCGATTATTTGTTTAATCGATTATTTGATTAAACGATTATTTGATTAATCGATTATTTGATTAATCGATTATTCGATTAATCAGTGTAATCGATTATTTTTCATAATCGATTATCGATTATTCAAACCCGTAATCGCCCAGCCCTACTCACTAAGAGCCTTTGAAAATTTTTAAGAGTCTATTATTAATACGCTTTAAGTGTGCTTGCTTAAAGAACCTTTAAGAGAGTTTCCAAGGGTCTCTATGTTATGCGTCTTTAAGGCTCTAAGAGCTCACCTACAGATTTGGATTTTAGGGCCACTTTTATTAACATTTTGTATGTCTAGATCCGGTACTTTTTGAGTTATTGGCATTTTTTTAAAGAAATATTTTTATTTTTTCATTATATTCCAGACCAGAGATCTCGAACGGGAAGTAGGTTGCCCAAAGACCTCCGTAGACAACTAAAAAAACTAAAGGCGAGAGCTCATGATTTTAACTGTATAAAATTAATAATTTCAAATATTAATTATGTTTTCTAATGAAGAAAAGCTTAACATGGTAGGATGTTTCATTTCATCGAACTGAAACCCTTCTGTAATAGCAACTTTCATAATTACGCCCGAAAAAAAAAGCTAAAACAGCATTCAAAGTTGCCGTGGAGAAGTGTCCAAGTTAAATATTACCGCTACGAAAAAATAGTTCGTAAAATCGAAAAATACGATTTTTTCAAAATACTTCAAAAATTCAAAAAAAGTTGTAGGGATTTCAGAACGCTATCTTCTTATACATTACGCAACTTTTCTCTAATTTAACCAAATTTGTATCTCTTACCCTTTCTAAAATGCCCCTAGTGGGCCTCCTTAACTCGTGACATTTTTACAGCATTCAAGAATAATGTACAGTCAGGCACATTAATGGTTGAGTCCTCCTAGTCACGAAGAAAAGTGATTTTCTTATGTTATCAAACATTATGTAATGCAACTTGAATCAGGAAAAGAACCAAGGTCGCGTCTTTATTTATTTATAATAGTATCAAAGATAAGGGTTAAGTGGCAGAGCAGGACTAGTACTCTCCGCCAATATCTGTACTTTGCCCTTTTATATTATGTACCTATACTTCATTTTGTGTTCACACGATTTATTATTAAACTTAAATAAAGGACTCGAATTGTCAACCTTAAAAAGTCGCCATTTTGTTATCACTACACATTCCCCAGGACAAATTGCGGAGTAACAACAGTAGAAAAGGACATACAATGAATTTAAAGCAGATGGTGTAAAGCGTTATAAGATTAAACACGATAATTTGGCAAGGTAATCAAGCCCCACAGTCTCATTGGCTAATCAAATTATTCTAATACTCTCCGAGATTACTATGAACGGTTTCAGTGATTCCCACAAACACTGTTGCTGATGGTGCTACAATGCAAACAAGTGATGAGGATTACTGCACACAATCGCATTAAAAATTTAAATAAGAAAAACAACACAAAATCGCCGATACCTTTATATAAATTCACAAATGGTAGTCGATCAATGGGTTTGCTGAAAATGTGTGATCAATAAGTTAAAAGTGCAATAACAAAAAGAACCAAGTCATTAAAGAAACCTTTGATGTTCAAATATTACCGAAAGCGTACACCTTCGTGACGTAGACAATCAACTGCAGCAGTTGCAACAGTGAATCTGAATTCTTACAGAAAACAATTCTGAAACGTATATCGCTCGGGCCTAAGAAGTGATAAATTAATAATTAAAATTTTGTTTATTACTATTCATTTTCATCACGTTTGGCCCTACACAGTTCCAATGGGCTTCAGTATGTGAATGTCATTTGTTGCGAAAATGAGTGCAACAAACGGATTTTCCGAATTTAAATCTTTCTCTTTTTAGCGTATTTCCACAAAAATAACAAAATGCACTATTCCTCTAAAGATTCAATACACTGATTATGCTGATACCGATCGTGGCAGTCATCAAACAGAAACGTTTTAACAACAATAATGAACATCAAAAGCTTTCCCAGATACATGGCAACCGTAATTAAGGTTATAGGTACTTACTTCTTATACCGCTATCGGATATTAAAATGAAATCGTAAGCGGTAGCTTCGTACGCGTAGTGCATGTTATTAATCTTCGGATTGACACCTACAATGGCAGCACCGATGAACAGTTTTGCATCGACCTTCGGATACTTTTCCATTAAACTTTTTACGAGCATTATAGCAGGATCCGTATCGTCTTCTACGCAGAAGAGCAGTTCGTACTAAGGCGAGAGGATATGAAATGAGGAACTGTGTACGATATGACTTACCTTCGGATAATTCATATTAAAAAACGTTTCTAAATTGGTAAATAAATTTGGATCTACTCCCATAAGCGGTTTCAAAATTGAAACTCCGAAATAACACGTGTCGCTCGGCTGCGATGTAAACTTGCTGTGCAGTCTGTACTTTCTGGAACAATCAAGAAGAAGGTAAAGACAATGGTTACCGCATAAGTGAGGTTAAGTGAAGCTTGAGTTGTTTACAATAGAGGTAAATAAGATAATACCCACCCATAAAAGATAGCGATAAGGTGTACGATCCACAGCGCGCACCAAAACACGAAAAAAAATATCGCAAAACCATATAAGGTGTATATCATTGGCGCCATTCTATTCAAAAAGTACCGAAAAAATCCGCATTCTGTTATTGCTTCCCTTTAGACAGGTAGAAGATTATTTACCGGCAAAAGCATCTTAATATAAACAATGGCTAATTGACTTTATCGGCAACGTACCAACACCTTCGCGGCTCATAGTTTATCAATAATAAGGTACAGAAGCGGAGCAGAGTGCAGTATACAACACAAGCACAACCCTCCCTTCGACGGCGACAAAAATCGGGTGAGACTGAGAAAGAAACGCAAGATACGCGCGCATGCTTCCCTTCCCATATACGCGCACCTACATTGCACAAAATAATGATAGCAATTTGTTAAACATTTATTTATAAAGATGAACGATTTTAATTGAGAATTTTGTTTAGGTATAACCAAATTGCTTCAAATGATCTACTTCATCAGCAACTCAATTATTCCCACGGTCGGCAAACGGAAGGGGGATTTTATCACCGTTAACATCGAAAAAAACCACCCTAATTGCACTAAGTACTCGTTTGAATGTATATGCTGCTATAAATGTAGTTCAATAATTTCCCGAGAATGTTTTCAAAGATTTATTTTTCCATTTACTTTTCAAATATGAATGTGTGAATTACCACATCCGGAAAAGTCTGTGAAATTACGTGCTATAGCAATTAAAAACTTCTCTAAATAATGAAGGATACTTCGACCTTCATTTGAAAGCCCATTATTAATGGTATGTTTGCGACATACTAAAACTGTCCTGACTTGATCAGGGGGTTTGGGTTTACAAACTTTGGGGAGTTCAACTCCCGGAGTTGCGTATATTCACCCCTCTACGTCTACAACGAATGAAACAATTATTTCTGAGGGAATATAACAAAAAATTCGAAAGTGGTACTTGGGAAGTAAGGGGTAGTTTTTTCTCTCTTCGCACTTTTTCTTTCGAAGCGCGCGTTCGGCGGTTCGAATATGCGCTACGCACCGTCCTATTAAATATTAAATTCGCCTATAAAGCAACAAACTAAATACCATTGTTTAAATTCTTTAACAATGCTAATAGTTATAAATTCAATGAATGCTAATACGTATATTAGCAATATTACACGCGTTTTATTTACTCCGAAGCTATTAAATATCATAATTCGTGGTGACTTCGGAAGTTCGGACAGCATGACGTTTTTACAAACAACCCTGAATACACTGCAATTGTCCCATCAACAAGTACCACACTGAGAGAAAGAATTACCACAGATTTAAATATACTATTTAAATCTGTGGAATTACTTGTAAGTACCCGTTTACGGTTACATTTATCCTAAGCACAGAACAGTAATATTCTGTGATCCTAAGGTAACTTCGTATTCTGCCGAACTCACAGGCGATTCTGAGTAATGTTCGTAAGGTAGGTACAAACAATTTGTTAGCGTTATACATCCGAATTATTAATGAAACTAAAACAATTTCTTATAGTGAAGTATCTTTTTTGTATGAAACTCTGCAATAGGTAACAATTAATGCACCTTATTTATGGGCAAACGTTGAAGTTGTAGTTGTAACGCATTTGAGATATAAAGAAATGTTTAGTACCTAAGTGAGAGGTTACTTGTTCTATATATAACTCTACAATGGGTTAATAATAAATATACTTCGATTACAACTAAATGTAGAATTTTTAGTTGTAAGATGTTTGAAGTATTTGGAACTCTTTGATTTCTTGTGTTAAGTGTAACTTATATTTAACACTACAAACATGATCTACATCATATGATATATTAGTCCTTACATAGGTATTACTTATTCATTATGAAATATACTTACTACCGAATGACTTCTTCTCTTACTTCAATTTAAACACAGTTGTTTTTAAAATCAAGAGAACTGTGCTTTCATCTAATGGATATCTTGATTGTTTATTATTCTTTAAATCTCACAGTAAACGTAACATGTACTAATTATTATATATGCATAGATTGGTCAAAAGGATTTGTTGGGTACCGTGTACGGCGATTAAATTATATCCCTTGTAAAATAGGTATCAGTTTATTTTATATCTTAATTACAAAATACAAAACAGAACAATACCTATTCTTATAATACAAAATACCTAACTAGGTATATCCTATATCTATATCATAATAATTTGCCTATCAGCATAACATCCATTGAATCGATTATTATATAGTAGACCATACTATTAAGTAAAAAATATAAAATGTAAGAAATGTCCAGTACTGTAACATCGTATTAAAACGTTTATTGATTTGTTTGATATTATTTGAAAGTAAGTAAGTGTTGCAGAGATCTTATAAACAGTACCTACACCAAGATCTGTGAAAGTAAGTTTCGTTTAGGAGCGTATAAATTATTGCTATGATTTAGGTTTAGATACTTACCCTGAAATACGGGAATATATACGCGTTTAATAGTGTTTCAATTGATAATAAAACACGTCGACCAAGCTGCACAAGTTGTAAAGCACGTATAATGAATTGGAATGGCAAAGGCAAAGTGACAACTATGTCACTATATTTAACAAAACCTAATCTTTCTTACCAGGAATACGTTTGATTTCTGTTCACATTCAGTATACTTGAATAGCACTAACAGATTTTATAATTAATAAACATGCATAATTTGTTTGTACGAAGAAAAACATATTGATCCTTAATATATTAAAATATGGCCTCCAGTAATTTAAATTCACATCTAATTCGTGGTGTATTAGGTGTAAATGTTCCAAGTACCTACAAACAAGAACGCAATGGAATAGCTCCATCAAGACATTACGCCTTGCATTAGCATTGTGAAATATACATTATAAGATTCGAAAGTTCACTACAACCGTTCGTAAGTTAATAGGTAATTAGAATACAGTTGATTGCTGGAATCGCATTATGATTTATTTACCCAGTATATTAAAGATACAGAAAAACATATATAGTTAGCCTTAAGTATATGTTCATCTAATAAGTAAGACGTAGCTAGGTTGTTTTTAAAAAATGGCACCATGTCCTTATGCATATCTTACTATTTATTGGTGCCAAGAAAATGGTTTTACCGTAAGCAGTATTTGAGTCAATCATACAATTTTTTGTCATTGGGTTATTATTATATATATTGTCTTATTACAATTATTCAATTGTTATTATTTAGAGTCAAATGCTACAGGCAAACTTTTTGGGTCGAAATGTTACTATGTTAATAATAAATGCCTTCTTTTCTCTCAGTGCATTGACTAATACCCCCTAGTGAATATGCAAGTACCTAACGGGAAAGTCTTTCAGTGGGGCCACTTCGGATACAATCAACTGTGAAATATGGAAAAATATCAAACTCCTCGTGTGAGATCAAAGAGACTTCAGTGCATTTTTGTTTGGGAAATCAGTACCTATTTTATTAGCCAGTTTTGACTCCACGATCCGTAAGATCGGTAACACTTCTGACGCCGCCAGTCATATAAATGCACCATTTTGGTAGATTTCGCTGAAAACCCTCCACAAAATCGTACTCAATTTTTGGGGACACTTCTCATAGCTCGAGCTTCTATTGGCAACACGAGAACCTCGATTCGAGCTTTAAGAAACTTTAAACCGCGTGACAAAATTCGCAGCGGAAGGTCATTTTTTGGCGCCCGAAGTCGACCACCCCTCGAAGTTTAGTTTACATACCCAGAACGTGACAGGAGGTAAATGCGGTGTTCATAAAGGGTCAGGATGCTCAATCGGCCTGCCTAAGACGTATAGACCCGTCAGCCTCAGCTCCTTCCTGTTAAAGGGGATGGAATGAGTCTTAGACCAATTCCTGAGAAGCGAGTTTCTAACAAAACATCATTACGCCTATCAAAAAGGGAAATCCACAATCACCGCCCCACATAGTTTAACCTGTAGGGGTGGCCGCGTTTGCGGATATAGAGGATGCTTTCGATAACACGTCGCATCGCATGAAACCACCGAAGCGGCCGGAACCAAAGCCCTTACCGCCACAACAATAGGCTGGATAAAGTCCATGTTGAGGAGCAGGAAGATAACGGCAAGGATAGGCTAGGAGTCGGTCACAACCGATGGTCAAAAGGGGGTCAAAGGTTACTATGTGCAAGGGTATGCAGACGATCTGGCTATATAGTAATCTCTGGTAAACACGATACAGTGGTATCTGAGCAATTGCAAAGGAGTCTGAACACCGCACAGAGGTGGTGTATTGAATTACAGCCTAAGCATTAATCCGCTCAAAGCGGTGGTCGTGCTTTTTACCAGAAGGAGGAAACCCAACATAAGGGTACCCACTACGGGGGGCACCACCATCGATCTTAGTAAAGAGGTCCAAATACCTGGGAGAGGTTAACATGGAACCCTATATGGGTAAGGTCGTAAAAAATTTTCCTCGCGCGAGATCGAAGGGACTTCAAGGGCATTTTTGTGTAGCAGATCAGTTGTGGACAGGCAGATGAGAATGCTGAACACACTCCATGCAGATGCGAGTCTGCTGCCCGGCAAAAATGACCTCGGCGGGGACCAGCTGAGATAGGGGAACTAAACCCCGGAATAGTAATTAGCTTCTTCAATCGGCTAAAACTACTCTAACCCTAGGGCAGCACAAAAATCCTTAGGTAGGTGCTTAAAGGTTACACTGCCTTACCCTCACTGCCTCACACATACAATGCAATACCCCTGGACACGCGCGCCTTACAAGAGGTACGTGGTTAATTTCGCCCCTACAAAAAAACGAAATTCCGTCACGCAGAGATTGTCGTGTTTACTTTCCCATGTTCCCACCAGTTTAAAAACAATAAAAAGTATCAATTCCCACAGTTATTGAAGTAGAAAGATCTCGGAGTAAGTAAATTGCTTTCAAATGTTCATAATAAAACTCCAAAAAAATCAAAATGTGTCTTCTTCATGTCACCAAAACTTTATTTCCCATGCAAAATCGAGGAAAAGAAAAAAATATTTGTTTTTGTCCACGATGAGTTCGATTAAACATGCAGCGAATGAATTGGCAATAACATAAAATTATTTGGCAAACATAATAAAATTAAACAATAAAGCTGGCAGCAAAGGAGGCATTTAGAGCATGTTTTTACACATACCACGCATTTTTAAAAAGCAGCACGTCCGTTTTCAAAAACAAATCTAAAAATTAATTGTCCTAGGCTCAGTAGCTTAGAGATTATGAAATTTTAAAACGAAACAGGATTATTTTTAGGTAGAAACACAAAAAAAAACTTTTTTGATAAAGGTACAGCAATTGTGACTTATAAATCAAACGAGGTGGTTTTTTAAATATTTGTTATTTTATTTTCAGAATTTGTTTAGGTAATGCCTCACGATATTCCAGAAATGTACACAGGTTGGTTCAAAAATTCATGTCAAATTTTGAAATTAGTTAACTTTTCATCTTTTCAAAGCTGCAAAATTAATTAATTCAGCCCCTTTTTTCCCTTATACGTTGGTTTCTACACCTCTATCTACAATTCAAGCATGGTCAAAATATTAACAAGCTCACAGAATCCACAATATAGTTGAAAACTCACCTGGGTAAAGTAGATTTTGGAAAGCTTGTTTCATTATGCAGAACTAGAATAGGTGGGTATCTCATATGGCACAACATAATGTAGATCAGATACCCTATGTATGTAGTTGTATTATGCAGGGTCAGACGGGCAGAAATACGCTCTTACTTCACAGGTTGTTCTAAAAAAGTGTTAAACGTGGCCTAGTTAAGTTTTAAGTAACAAAGATTAGATTAATTCCATAGCTATTATGAAGAATGTGAAAAGTTAAATGAGCAACCTTTACGGAATTCCGCTCATCTGAAGGTTTTTGCTTTTTGATGATGATTAAACATCAAATTTAATTATGTTTTGTTTTATGACAGAACAGTATTTTTTCGTGATGGTTCTGTTAATTTATTTATTAACCAGCTAATCATTAATACAATAGCTACCCTTATTTTTCAGTATAGAATCTAATGAGAAAAAAGGGGGGTTATATCATTGAATAAAAAATTTCTTCAATGGTTACATTTAAAAAATAATCGCATTTTTAGAACATCAAAATTATTACTTTCTGAATACTATATATATACATTTTTTGGCCGACATTAGGCTTTATTTAAACAAATACTAAAAATATTGGGTTTAACTTACAAAATGTAATTTTGAAAGAAACTCATAATTCAAAAACCGTTCGATGTAATTCATGGTCTCCTACACCAAACTTTTCCGTAGATTTAAACAGAATGAATAAAAATTCACAGTTAAAATAAGGCCGTGTAAGCCAACTGCCGCGTATAACTGAAACTGAAAAACCTTTGCTAAAAGAATTTTATTGTATAACTTATAAAATCTGTTCGCCTTGTACCATATTATAATCAACTTTGTGGATTATCATTAAACCGTTTATTAATGACAAATTCTATTCGAAGCCCATTAAACAGCTTGCTTCGCAATTTTAATCCATAGCCCCTTAGGCGTAGGAAAAATTAGACTCAAGGTTATAAAATGAAACGCGTTTTAATAAACAAATACAACAATAAAAGGAACAATTCCCTAAAATAAAATAAAACATCATATCCTGACATACTTTCCAACACGCGTGCTGATGGTCCAATATATTCAGTAATAGTTATAAAACAATGTGTACAGAGGGATTCTGAACTTCATTGTACAAAACCAGAAAACCTTTCATTTTAGATATTTGGATCAAAGTACAAATTGCCCCACTTTAGTGTGAACAAAACGGGCTTACGTTAAAAAAATTAAGTTTTCACATTTTTAAAGGTAACACTTCATTGCACGTTCAGTGCACGTTTTTTGACCAAATTTTCAACTCAAAATTCATTGTATGCAACCTAACGTTGGAGTTCCTGTACGACAGATCTACGAAGTTTGGATGGGAATACACGATTGCAGTACAGCAGTAGGTAATGAGTGAATAGAATCGGACCAAAGACAGACCCTTGCGGCACTCCCGCTATAGCTAACTGCTTAGAACTTCCAAATAACCTTTGGAACGACAATTTTGATCTTGTGTATTACAAGAAAGAAGAACTATTATCAAATATTCTACTTAATTCTACGGAATCGGCTATCGAATCGAATAAATAAAATGCTAAACGGAAAATAACAGCAGACCCGAATTAAACTAGACCAATTAAATCAATAGCTCTAAAACTTGACAAGATTACAATACCAAAATAGATGACCCACAGTTTCGCGTGGAAAATAGATACAATGTCGATACAAGAGCTACTTATTTATTCCCTACACCATATCCTTGAAAATTGTTATATAGGTAGTTCATTTCTTTTATTTATTTGTGTTACGGTAAACTTAGACCGGAATTGGTTTCATTTCAAAACGGGCCAATAAACTAACTGATACCTGCTTATTGTACGTAAGTATTAGATTACCTATAGGAAGACTTACCACAATATGATAAAAGTGCCCATAATTACACATTTCACACATTTGCGGTTGAAATCGATAAAAACGCCATTGCACAAATATGTTTTTCTTGTTACATGTTTACACCAAAATGCTTGTTTATGTGACGATTGAAAGCGCGGAAATAAAGCGCACTATCAACCGTTATCATATTTGTGTTTCCTGTCGATTGTCGTTTAACTCAATGCAAACGCCAATCCAAAACAGAGTTAAGCAACGCAGTACCTTGATGAGTCCATCTCCTTAGGTAACCTGGACAACAGACTGATTACCAATCCAATTAGAGCCCTTCTTCTCCGAAGCATTTAGCAATGGAGGTGACCGCCTTATCAAAAGTTACGGAAAACTGCCTCACGAAATTGTTGTAATTAGATCTTGAACAACCGAAAAACATATACTATCGGTTAATTTACTATCACGCCAGTTTTTAGCGCATTTCCACAAAAAAAAATGCGCTATTGTGGCCACTTTGTCCGCCCGTCCGTCCGTCCGCTCGTTTTGCGACGCTACTAGTTCTTTATCTTAAGAGCTATTGTTCTACTTTTTTCGCTATTTGGTTCGTTATGGTGTCGAGTCTTGTTCCAAGGAAGGAATTTTTTCTGTACCGCTTACAAAAAAAGTTATTGTAAAAAAAACAAAAAACCGTTTTTTACATGTTCCATAATTTTACACTTTTGCGGTTTATTAACGATCCTAGAGATCGTTTATAATTTTGCATTGCTATCTGTCGCCTGCCGGTTGGTCTCTCCGTCTGTTCCTTTGTCTGTCTGTCCATCTATCTGTCCGTGTGAACGATAACTTTGTTTANTACATAGGCACTTGGAATAAAGGAAAATCTAGCGCCAGTTTCAAAATTTTATTTTGCGCATGCGCAGTGCCAACTTTTTTATCTATGGAAGCATTTAAGTGAAATTTGATATTTAGGCGCTTGGAACAAAGGGAAATCTAACATTAGTTTCAAAATTTAGGTTTACGCATGCGCAGTTCCAACTTTCTTATTTAGAAAAGTATTGAAATGAAATTCTTCTCATAAACTGAAATTGAAGTAGCACGTCAAAAATGGATTGCCCATGTGCAACGCTATCTTTCATATTTGTGGCCGGATGTTTACGATTTTAACAGAAGTTGCATCTTACAAATGGGATACGAATGCAAGTGGAAATGCGCTTTATGTAAATCGTTTACGATTACTTTTTAACTTGTTTTAGAAGGGGCGGTTTCAAATGGTATACTACGGAAATGCAAAATACAAGTATGTTCAAAGCGAGTTTTTAATATTAAATTTTGAACTTTACCTTGACCTGACATCAATTTCTCTTGGCACTCCATTTTATAAAGGGTTCACATTCCAACCAATATTACTTAGTTATAGGTTTGCGTACGCGGCTGAAGTAAAGATAAGAAAGGGCTTGACGGATTTGGATCAATTTCTTATTTTTGGTGTAAGTGAAATCAGATTGTAAAAATCTCAAACCATAAGTTGATCACCAGAAGAACTGGATTAGGGGAGTGAACTTTGATTATATTGAGCGACTCAGTTAATAAACTACCTACCAAAAAATATAGCAAGGGCTATAGTCTGTAATTGTTTGTTAAAATACAGGGGTTGAGAACCCTTAATATCGTATTAATTTCTACTGCAATTATGGCTAGCTCAAAGACAAATTCCAATTCAACTACTTTGCTGAAAGGTTGGTCGTTTCTTATACTACTTTCTAAAAAGCAAAAATCTGGTGAGTACTTAGTTGATCGACTGCATGCATTAAGTTGAGGCACCCTTGAAACTGGAATAATTATAAATCATTTCGTAATTATGCCATTGTGGCAGTAAAACAAGATAAGTACTATTTGTCGTTATAAACTCCTCCGTATATCGTCCAACCTGGGGGAATGAGCATTGACTTAAACGAGGCTTGAGTTTTGTAATTTGTTGTATACGTTGGTTTAAGCCTTCTAATTGCCAGTGATAAACAGATGACATATTTGTCACTGTTTTACTATTCATACCGATTGCTTGAAGGAGTTATTTCTTTCACCAGGATAAAGACACCACTTCGAGCACCTTCTTACGGTATGCTTTGTAACGTTTTAAACGCAACTTTTCGTTTGTTTTTAAGTGAGTTTCCTGCAGAACAACGACATCCGGTAACTGATCTCTGATTAGTAAATGCAGCTAATTTAAATGATGTTTTAAGCTGTTGCAATGCCATTATATTATATTTGCATAGATAAATGTACGAAATACAGATAATTAAGATAAATACTAAACAAACAACACCGACTGACTTACAGAGATGCAAACAAACGATAACGATACCAAGATGTCATACTCATACTCTTGAGGGAGAACAGATATTAGAGGCGTGAATTATTCTGTCAATTCCTCTGCAACAGGAAGGAGCGTCTGCATTTACAATACGATTATCGAACAACGCCTCCAGCTTCCCAAACCCCAACAGGCTGGAGTGCAGGAATTCCATTATCCATGACAGCATCAAGATCAAGAACCTCTCCTCAAGATCTGCCTGTTATCCATCTAGCGCATTTTGTGAAGGAGCAAATCCGAGATCGAAAATGGTGGTGTGTATCCCGAAAAAAGAACTTTTCAAACATCTTCGGAATGTCATTTACTACTCAAAAAGTTCATGAGAAAACGGCAAAACACATTCATGCACTATCATTTAATATACCTCTAAGTAACGATACATTTATTAATGATAACTTACATATAACACTTATATTATCCCATTCTTAATTTATTGCGCCACTTCAATCAAATTCGGAACCAATTGTAATACTGACGCCTCCAGGTAAAATATGTGTTTGATGATACCACCGATTTGTATCCACAACAACTGCAACAATCTTTGTTAACATTACAAGTGTAAAATACGTTCAGTTAACTTATATCTCCTGGAGAAACGGTTACTTCCATTTCACGACAACGATAAAAGCATTCAGGAGGAGGTGCTAATCTCCATAACTTTTTACCACGTATTTGCGCTTGCCAAGATGGGTACAGCACATTGTCCACCTAAAATTCTATTAAGGCCCAAATCATGGGCAAATGGTTTCACTTACGTGCATATGTGCGCCAAAACCTGGCCCTCCCATAAATATCCAACTTAACGCGATACTTTCAGAGTTGTCTGGAAGAAAGTAAGGGCGATTGTAGTATTCCCGAAGAATATTTCCCGCTTTATCGTTACAGTTACTCCAACCGATATACCATGGTAAAGTTTCCGGTTCTAAGCGAGATCTCTCCACGCTCATGTTTAGTGCTTCCGCAAGGCTTGTGAACTCGGTTTTGTATGGAAAGAACTGGCACTCGGATTGAGTGGAAATGTGCTGATCCACGCTTTGGTATAACTGCTTAAAGAAATTAAAACTGAACGTCTGCATGGCTAACCAATTTTTAGTTCCATCGGTAACAACCACCGGCTTTCCCGTGTTAACGTACAGTTGCTCAAAGTTCTGCTTCGAAATGTTTTCTACTTTAGGTACCTCAAACGTGTTAAGGCATATTCCGCAATTTTCGGGTTCTCGAAATATTTTTGAGGATTCAAAAGGCATTTCAACGAGACACTAAAGAGCAAAATAATGTCATTACTAATATCTTTATGAAATATATACATAACTACCTCCGATGTGCTCGATATTCCGAAGTAGGCCCACCACATACAAGCGACAACAATGACGAAAATAAAGCACTTTACCTTAGTGTTGCCCTTTTTCGGTCCACATAATCTATGCACAACGTCTAATGTAAGTAGTTCGTCACAAGAAATTTTGGAGTTCGTCGTTTTTTGAAGTATACTGTTAAACCGTTTCTCTGCCTTCTGCATTGTGTGGATGAAGACTGATGCGATACTGAGTTTTTCGATCGCCCTTATCGGCTTGGAAAAGAGGCAGGCAGCTGTTCTGTTAGAGTTTATTAGAGTGTAAACTTAATACCAATCTGTTTTCCACCACCTGCGCTTTAATCCATTCTCAAAATGTCGATACTGTTTTACAATCTGGTGGTAATTGGATTAACAGCATTACAAACCAGAGTGGTTGGAAGATTGAATTCTCATTTACCTACTCGTGTGTGGGGGACATGCACATAATGCGATTTGTGGGTGTTGAGATTTATTCTTCAAGTATACATTAAACTTCCTTAGCCCCAACAGAAATTTAAATCGCACCCCAATTTTACACATTCCCTATTAGACGGAATTAAAGATTTTGTTTGCGAATGGAATTTTACGCATACGAAATAAAGGCATTTGCGTAGAGGACTTTTATTGTGAAATAAAATATTTGTCAGGAAATTATGCAGTATTTGTAAAAGGGTAATATCTGCTGCGTGCTTTGATTTTAATTTGTCAAAACGTACAGAAATTTGAAAAGTGTGCAATAATTTAAAAAGCGGTCGTGTAGTAATTTTTATAAGTAATTAATATGTACGGCTCCGTAACTGGACTAGTGGGTCCGGTTGTAAAATTGCTCATTAAGGAGGAAGAGGGACCCATATTTAACTATGAAAACAATGCCCAGGTGTAGGGTGCTAACGACCCATGCACATTTCCAGCTATACAATATTACTTGGAACAATTTCAATGGTGCAACATATATCAAGCATGTACAAAATTGGTTTATAGAGAGGACCAAAAGAACACTTTTTCAAGTACCTAAATCAAGGGTTTAAAATGACTAAAATTTGCATTTCTCTTTTCAATTCTTGTAAGCAACCGCAAGAGGATGAAATTTTTGCATATGTCCTTTTCGATTTTGTGAACAATTTTAAAGTTCACAATAAAAAATTGTACTTCTTTATAAAGGGATACTAAAGAAATATTTAAAACTAGCATTATAACGCTTTCTAGAGTTACGTACTGTAGAGTCCAGAGCTTTAGAGAGCTTTTTAAACTATTTTCCGAGTTCTTTACCTTTCCGGGGCTCGGTGAGACGTATTTAGGGGTGGGATAGAAAAAGCTAGAAATTCTCCTGATTCTCTTGAAGAGCACTTAATAGACAATAAAAACTGCTCGAATATTGTGAAAAATACTTAAGTTCTTCCCAAAAACTTATAAATGCTGCTCAAAGCTGATTAATGCTTTTTCAAAGCATTCTCGCGTCTTTCCAGAGCTATTCAGACCGTTTTCTACGCAGTTTCTCGAAATTTCTAGGTCATTTCCAACAATAGACGCGACTTACGTATAGTTCTGAAAAGGTCATTCGATGGCGTAGTCTTAAATCTCACCAGGTATCACCAGGGGAGTGGGGGATTTAAAAAGTTGCTAAAAAACATCACGTGATTAATGGACGACCTCCATGGACTCATCCACCCCCGCAATAAATTTTTACCTAAATGTGGTACGCTACTGCTGCAAGAAGGGATGTAAAATTTCTCTGGAGTGGAAAATCCGCCGGCAGTTATGCAAAAGTATAGATGGTTCGTGGAAAACCTCCTCCAAATGTATTATTTTATCATTTGAAACTTGTTCGTTCGACCTAGCATCTAACCAACCCTGCAAAATTTTCTACAAAAAAATACCTCAACCTTATTTTTTTTCCAGTAATGAAACCACTCTTTTTTCACAAAGTCTTCCAAAAACCCATCCGAAGTCTTCTCAAAGCTTTCTCATAATTTTTACTAAACCTTACTAACTCATTTTCGTTCTAAAATTTCTTCAAAGCCTCTTTCGCTTCAAATTTTTACGAATCTCTCCTAGAAGCTTCAGGGTATCTCCTCACAGTTGACTCTGCGAAATCGTCCTTAATTCTCTCTGGAATTTAACCAAAATCCCAATCAAATCATTTTTTACTTAACTTTTCCCTTTCTTATCGAACTGAGACCTTTTCTAATTCGTTACCCAAGAACCTCTTCGAAACCTAAAGTACCTAAAATTTCCGAAATCACCTCGAAATTCCCCAATCCTCACGGAATCCACGCAACCTATCATCGCAAATGTCTACAAAATTTCCAATAGGTCTCACATCCCATCAATTCGAAAATAATATAACAGTTGAGTGAAGAAATCCTCCTTCACTCAACGATATAACGCTATGAACCTTGTTCCTTGCGTAATGAGAACACGGGTCATTGGAAATTGAACCCACTATCCTAAAAATAGGTTCGTTAGGCGCCCCCTGAGGGAGCATGGGCCCCGTTTCCACATTTAATGGATAGATGTCGGTAGCTGTTTTTGAACTTTGCTTGAATGATTTCCAAATTTTCATTTATGTGGAAGTATTGAGCCTTTTGAAGATTATATGTTCAGCCTCAGATCAGTCACATCTACACACGTTGGACGGTATCTGACGTCGTTTTTGAAAAATGTATAATTTATTTAAAAGACAATTTGAAAATTACAGTTAAAAAATTAAATTCAAATACACAACTAGCATGGCGCGGTTATCAATGTTATGAGTTATTAGCATCCTGGGAACAGGCACTGTTCGATGTAGATCGGGATCACCGCGCTTATATGATGTAATTGGCGCAGAGAATCTGTTGGTTCTTATTTGATTTTGGGAACTCACTTCAAATTTCCCTTGGATGGTTTCGTTGATAATCCTCACCGAAAAGTACACCATCAACATGGTATGTTGAACATTAACATGCAGTTTAAAAAACTTCTGGTTGCAGTAGATAACTTTGAAAAACTGTTCTTCTGCTTTAGAATAGCAGAGCGACTTCGTGATTTTAATGCCCATTCTTTGCGCTGATATTATCAAGTCGCGTGAGTGACATTTTTGCATGTGACCGATTAGATCCTGTTTCTTTCCATGGAATGTTTCACATAATAGCGAGGACGGACACATGCAGACGTCCTTCGGTTTTAAATTAGGGCACAATTCTTTTATGATTGCCTCCAATGTTAAATTGCGTACCGTCGTAATTTCTTGGTCACAGGTTGGGCATTTCAGAATTGCCGAGGAACAGAAATGGCATACGCTATGCCCTCTGGCACACAGGAATATTTTACCGGCAAATATTTTCCAACAAACGGGACATTTTGCGCTCTTGTACTTCTCCATTAGATCCAAAGTTGCCTGAAAGGCAGCATAAACGCAATTCAAAAAATAAATAATTCTTACCTACTGCAATTTGTTCACGTTAGTATCTGGTCCACACGCGAAAAGCAACAAACATGCACAGATAAAGCTGGCCTTTATTGGCCCATTTGTGAATTATCACTTTTATGCAAGAGACAGTGGCGTCGACTGCATTATTTCACCTGTATCGGTTATATTTGAGTGTCTAGCGGGAATTTTCCCGTCTCTTGCTTGATGTATTTAGTAAAAATATTTAATGTATCCAAACGCGTCACTGACTTCCCTGGCAAATGAACCGTTAAGGTCTACATCGTCCTTTCTTGTCTCCTATTCATGATTTTGACCAGTTGCGCCTTCAACTTCTTTTTAGAATCGAGAAAATACCGACCGACGTCCGAAGGTACAAACATCTTTCAATACCATCATCTCAGAGACTTCGGAATGTAAACGCGTGTACTTGCAGAGCTTAAAATACCTGGGCACAGAGTCCTCATTCTCACTAGGGTCATTATTTTACGGTATTGAAAGAGTGTACTCTACTTTCGTGCTATTCCTGGTTGTGTTGCCATAGACTTACCTAAAGGTTGGGATAATCATTGCGCCGTCCACTCCACTGGGTCGAACTCATGCTCTGGCCTGGCTTCCCACCACAAGCACCGAGCAGTCACTGGATATCCACCTGGTGAAGCTTGCTCGTTCCGTCCCATGCTTGTTGCAAAAACACTATCCATAATCAGCAATTGCCAATTTGTAATTGTAATTGAAGATGCAATAAAAAAAATGGAGCGATGGGCTAAATAGCTGACTAGCTTTGTCAAGTATCTTGGTGAAATTCCAAAAAATGTATTATTGTTGTCACTTTTTCCATCTGTCTGTTTATTGATGATTGAACCAACATCGTATAATTATCCGAACAACCCCTGTAGTGTATTAATAAATTATGACTAGGTTTGCGCAAAGAAAGAACATAACAATAATAATAGCTTTTTTACCTTTTTTTAGATGTTGGCTCTTGTTCACTTTACCCCTTAGAGTATTCATTTAATTCTAAAAGACCGGGCGAAGATGTGGCATTTTCTATCCTTCTGTAAATTCGGAGCTTAGAAAAAGTGCATGTGAAAATTTCTCCGTTTTTCTGCATTTTAGAGGAATTTATTCAAGGCTTTTTAGTTGCGCCGGGAGGGTGAAAATGTATCAGTTTTTCTGTCCTTATCTTTACAAAACAGTGCCATTCCACATCCATATTCTTCACCTCATCAGAGAAGGTGGTAAGTGATAAGTTGTGGGACAGGATTCTTTTGATCCGTTTGAGGAACTTCTAATATAGATCGAAAATATTTTGTCAGGAGTTTCCCCTTTTATAATGGAGTTACTAAGGAGCTTCCGATTTTAAGTAGGATATTTTATGAATCAGTTTGATGCCTTTCAGCAGAATTTTGCTACTGATTTGTAGGGATTTTGGCAATTAGAACACCAACACATAGGATTTTCATGTGAGGGTTTTTACACATCACGCACCTCAATTTCAAAACCTGCGAAGATTCGATACTACCCTCAACAAATTCCCCCAAGGTGATTATGACGATAGAGGTAACGATGCAAATGAAATATTAGTAAACAATCTGTGTATGGTTTTAGTAAGCTTTAACGTATAACCTTTTATACATATATTAGAAATAGCATTACTTATTTAATATAATTGCAGTTAACATAATACAAATGCATCGAAAATATTTGTTAGGTACATTTATAGGGTGATTAGTGATTGATATCGGTTATATGGATGGAATGATGCCTATAGGTATATGCAACTTACATTGAGCAGTTCTTATTACGTAAATCCACATTCGTATAATTACAACCTTACATACATACACTGAGCATTCATAATCCATTTGAAACAAAAACATCTCGTTTAAGTCCACTTAAAATAAAAGTACTTGCATTGTTGGACATTACAATATTGTTCTTGTTAGGAAGAAGTCAAATTGACACAGGATAAACTGCGAACGACTATGGCGCAGGCAGCGTGTTTGATGTTTTTGTTTCTTGCCATGTGTGCCTAAATTACATTACCTTTACCTGCTTTACCATTATTACCAGTAGGTACGGTTCCACAGTTAAACATAATAAAGCGGTAATCTAAGTACTGATGTGCTTAAGCTCTGACTCATAAATTGATATTCAAAGGCTTAAGCAACTAAAGCAAACTACTTTAGGAACAATTCTTATGGTGCCTTCCTAAAAATGAACTGTTCGCACGACTAATAAGTACTAACACCGTTATCTTTAATATCTAGTTTGTTAAATATCTAAAGTTAACAACTACGTTAACTGATTCAGGATCAATAACGTTGGTTACTCCCCAAGCTGATGAAGCGCACTTTTTGTACGTAACTTTTAACAATTTAATAAATCTAATGTTAAACTTAAAGTTTTACTGTGCGATTTTGAATCTAAATAACAAATACCTATAACTACACCTTTTTACAATTTATAAAGCTCATGTGAAGAATTGACGATACCTGTATTGTACATAAATCCGAAAAGGCCTAAAACAAACATTATTTAACATTATTTGTGAGGTGCGTAACAGTTTTTGACAAAGGTAGAACGTTTTGACATGTAACAACGACGCCCTTTACTGGATTAAGGGCGAGCTTTGACTATCGCTGAAATCCAATGTGTAATACATGTCGGTTGTGTCCAATGAGGGAAGATTACGACTGGGAGTCGCAGTAGGAGCTTTGTCTTTTCCGGTGAACCAATCACTAAACATTGAAGTTAACATTAGCAGACAAAAAGGCTTCCAAGGACCTCCAGCTCAAGGTTTATGTTAAAAGTGTTAAAACCAATATTTTTAACGGAGATATAATCGTCTTGGATGATTTTATTTAATACTTATGCCATTGTATACAAGGTGCAATATACGTAGAGGTACACAAAAAGGGTGAATCTTTACAGAAAAGTAAATTCATTCACTGAAAAACATCCAAATTTTTACGACATGGCGTGGTCACGTTCCCTATATTAAGAACATCAACAATCCCCTTAAATTAAATGACAAAAAATCAGGACACGGAAACGTAATATCAGTTTCTTCTTTATAATAGAAGTGACAATTTATAATTTACACATTTCACTCAGCTAAAAAATGGAAAACTGAAATAACTTCTCCTAAGCGAGTCCCTACAACTCCCGGTCAAATTTTATCGACTTTTCGTTATTAAACGATCACATTAGAGACCATTTCTCCCACCAACACGCACAAGTGTGTTACATGTCAACCAAACATGTAAAAACGCCGGGTTTGTCAAAATTTTGCAATATAAACTTCAAATCTGTGCACTATATTAAAATCGACGTTCAACTACGAGATTAAAAGAGTGTACAATTTTGGCGAAGATCTTATCAATAGACATTTTTTTTAGATTCTCGATTTTTTAAAAGAACTTATACAATCTTTTAACTTTGAAAAAAAAAGTGCAAAGGAGGCGAGGGGAAATTAGTAGTTTTTCTACCCTTCTGTAAAACATCTTTATAACACCTGGTGAAAATTTCCGTTTTTCTACCTTTTAGTGGTAGACCATATTGATTACCCGCCTCAGACCCCACCGCTTCACAGTAATCAGTGTAACATTAAAGTGGTTTCTGCCCCCGTATCAAGGCCAGCACTTCTTAGCTGGGTGTCTATAGGAGGCGGTGTCCCTCCGTAGGTAAAGCTTTTTGTTGCAGTTAGTGGTGGACTCTTTCCATGATAGCGTATGCCCTTCCTCTCCTTCAAATAATGTACCGTCCGCATTCATAAATAAGAGATTTGGTGGTTGGAATGAGGTGGTTTTCTCCAAATTAAGGATTTAGAATTGAACTTCATTAGGGTAGCTTAGTATTACGTAATAGGTGGTTGGTTTTGATAGCGGGTACTACAAATTTGTGTTATTTTAAATTGCTTTCGATAGTTTCCCAAATGAATTAAGCGCTTTTTACGTTGTACAACTGAAGGGGTAGTTTTAGACGTCATAGAAATAAGGTATAACGTGTACTTTTATTTGAATTCAATATGAACCATGTCTTTCAAGAAATTTGACCAAAATTTGAGTTTTAAACGGTAAAATAGAAACGTTCTTAAACGACTCGATCTAATCATTTTGTACCTGTTTTATAAAGAATGTCCATCTTAAGTCAATTTCGGGTAGGAATTCGGTTGGAGGTTTTCTAATTTAAGTTTAATATTAAATACAAAAAAACAATGTAAATTACAAATTCTCAATTTGTATATGAAGAAAAAAAGATATTCTGTATTTCCATTTTTCCATTGTTCACTTAAGGGAGTTGTTTAAATTGGCCACCTTCAATGATGATATTCAATGTACCTAAGATTTTTTTAGAGCTGTAGAGGACGGCGGAAATTGACTGATTTATTTAAATTCAAATTCAAAGCAGTCGAAGGAGATTATTTTGAATTTTCAATTTAAGAAAAACAAGTCTACTTTAGCAAATGAATTGGAAGTTGAACTAGCCGTGGATTGCCCGACCATGAGATGCACAACGCCCCTAAATAATTTCAAAAATAAAGTGCACCGAGGGGGCTACATTTCTCAGTTTTTCTATCTCTCTGTAAAATGTATGAAATGCCTCAGCTTTGCAAAAAAGTGTATTGGGCGAAAATTTGTCAATTGTTCAGCGCTTTAAATTTAGAAAAAAGTAACGTAATGTAATTTATTATTGTGCGTAGAGAAAAGGAAAACGGGTAGGTGATATACATACCTATTCGTGGTAGGTGGTTTCGGGCCGCCACCATGGCAGGTTTTGCACCTGAATTGTCTTCCAAACATGAATCGCTTGTAGGTTTTATTCATACGACAGTGGCAGACTGTGACCTAAGTATGAATCATTTTCGGTCAGATACGATGATACCAACACACAAAATCGGAATGGTATCTATAACTAAGTATCTAAAACAACGCAGGGGTTGTTTACGTGCACGCGTCATGCAATTATTTAAAATACATTAGTTCAACAATTTTCAGTAGTTAAGCTTACATTTTTCTATTAGGTTTTAATGTAGTTGCTTTGATGATTACTTACGATAAGGGCGACGATGACAAAAGCACATGCAAGAGTTCCTGCTGCGATGTAAACGTTATGTAGATGATCCATATGAATAGGTATAGGCACTTGTAGATCTGACTCATTACTTTCCTCGATTATGTCAGAGTTTGTTATCGTTTTCACGACGAACTCCTCTGTAAATTTATTGTCTCTATTAGTTTAGTCACATTTCGTTTGCTCCGGGCACATTTAAGATGCTTATCGGAAAGCTGCTCGCGTTAATTAAAGAGCTGTGAAAAACGGGGGTATGTATTTCTAGTGAATTGGGATTCGCAAATATTGCACTTGCGGGTTCACAGGGTAGAGTGACGAAGCTCCCCTCTAAAGACTACAACTTCTCTAATTACTTCTGTAAAAGATTCGAACTAATCAGTTGAAAAATAAGCAACACTTCGGCAAATTTCAAGAGTAACCCTCCTCCAAACACACTAAAGTTGTTGTCGATCTTATATTTAAAATGATTTTCCAGCCTCTATGAAGGTAGAAATTATATTACCTATCTTGGCGCCTAAATCTGTTGTAAGGTTTTCTAGAGAATTAGGGAAAAAGTTGCCAGCTGACCTGATTACTGTAATATTTGCAAACCCAAATCTCAAGTTAACTTTAGCAATATGACATTTGGGGATATGTCCCAAAATCTCACCTTTACAAGTTTTTCCTGTATACCCTGGACGACAAGCGCAATAAAAAGAGTCCATACTACTCCAGCAAGTACCTCCATTTGTACATGGGTTTATACTGCAGGCCTGTAGAGAAAACAAAATGGAAATTTTTACAAAATAGAACAATCCAGAAGATCGAAACCAATCATAGATTCATTCAACAACCAAAATTTTTATTTTGTTTTACAAAAAACGTTCATATTTACTTCAGTTCACTGACCACCCAGTAATTTTACCTTGTCATGAACTTACGGTTAAAAATTGTAATTTTCATAAAATTTAGACCAGAAGTAGTGTTCAATTACATGAAATTGGACATGCACTGAGCCACAATTATGTAACACGTCTCGGAACATCTCCAATTTTTAAAGAACCCAGGCGTCCATGTTGCTTGACCCTGTGCGCATACAGGTATTAAGTAGTAGTAGTAGTATGGCAAGGAAGAGGGGCACGCTTATTCTTCTTTCCTACTGTTCCATCTGATTGTGGATGAAGCTGTGCTCCTCTTTCTTCGACATTTAACGTGGCAGCTTCTTAGTCGAATAGGGGATTAACCTATGTACATTTGGCGGCCAACGCGTTTCCGAATATGACTTGTTATATCCATTTCTATTTGCTAAGAGCGGTTACCCTAATTCAGGACTTATTCAAACCAGTACATTACATATTTCCTGTTCCTTCACCATACTCTCTGCCACGCCGGAAAGTCTTCCTGATGAGCCACCACACAGATAACTATCTAAAAAAATTTTTTTGCCACCGTCACTTTCAATAGCGGCTAGCAAAGACTCATTTACTGTTTTGGACTATACACGATTCTTCTTCTCGCGGGTGTATGGCTTCTACGTAGGAAAAATGGTTGAAAGAGTGCCACAAAATGGTTCTATTGGATCAAGTTTTGTACGGTCAAAATGAGTTATGTTATATATAGATTGATAGAGACATCCTCCCAGGAGATCATAATATATCGTCGACTGTTATAAATATTTCAACTTAAGATTTGGATGTAATGAAACACTCGCACAGGTTAATAGAGCAACACTGCGCCTCTAGTAGAGTAAATCCGAATTAATTGACATGAAACAATAAAATTCTCCTTTCAGATACTTACAGTACGAAAGGGTGTATCACAATCTGAACCAGAATACCCATTTGGACACTCGCATGTGTAGTTGTTGCCCTGGTCAAGACAATATCGATGAGAAGCGCATGGATTGGGCTCACATAAATCAATCTGTAAAGACACAAACACACATTCGATATTCAATACTTATTTAGTATATAATGAATAATTACTATTCTTGACAAAATTTAATTTGGTATAAACACTAGGCAGTGCAAAATCCGTCGAAACTGTTAAGTTCCGGAATAATGTACATACATGGGAGAGGCTGGGATCGGAAATTAGAGAATAAGTTGAGACGCACTTTAATGATAAAAGCTCCAATGAAGCTTGAACTTCCACAAATCTTCATCCTTCCAGGAACCCGTTCGCATACCTAAACTAATATATAAGCTTTTTGCAAATACATGAATCAATCTTGACGAAAACTTTAAAAGAATTATGTAGGGACTGCAAAATAAAAAACATTTTTGTGTCACTCCCATCATGTTGAAAATATACTGTGTATTGAAATGTAAAAACAAACGTAGATTAAAATGTAACGACATTCATTTGTTTACATTTCAATTTGCAGATTTACAGGCCACCGCGGATTCATCTATAAGACCTAGGAACACTAGAAAATGATTATATATTATAACGTAAATTTAATTAGGTTTATTTACAATTAATCAATAATGAATTTATAACAGATTTATCACTTACTCACAAATTTATAACATGTATATTAATAACAAAACGAGCGCGAAATCACTACTCATTAATTTGGCGTCGATGTTGGAACTTCGCCTAAACGCGATTCAATTTGTTTACTTATCAAACGGAAAGTTTCTAGAAAGATCACGGACCTTCTTGAGAATTCCCGAATCGAATTTCTCGGTAAGAACGATTCACATTCGCTTCCATTCCTTATCGCTGGCGACTAATGTCGCCCCGACCTCTGGAATATTCGCTACAATATTAATCAAGTTTGACTTCCTGTTTGACATGCAATAGAAAACCGAAATTATACTTTTCCGAACGTGCTTACATTATTAATATTGTTGTTACCTATATATAAATGCGTTAAATTCATCACTAGAACACGCCCCCTCAATATTAGCACCAAAATAATATTGGCCGCGCTCATTAGCTTCCAACCTCCAAAAAATTCCTTGATGTAAGTAAAATTGCCTTGGGGGGTATACCTCTGGCGCAACGGAACGGGTTTGCACATCGTGGTCTTTGTTTACGTTCCCAATACTTTTAAAATTGATGTAGGTACCTACACATAGCAAACAGTTTTACGTAGGAGATCCATATGGTTGCTTGCATTTTCGCTCGTTTTTAGAAATTTCCTACCAGAAGTATAGGTGGCCTCCTAGTGGAGTTTTAGACAAACTGAAACAGGTTTCTAGGGAACAAACTATACTGCGGAAGAGAATTGTAGAGCAAACATCCTGGGAGAAAATGCAGTGTAGGCTGTAGGATAGTTTTTTTTTGGAGATTGCCAGAAAATTTCGTTTTCGTTACTTTTTGATGATGCAAATATTTGTCCGTGTAGGGACGGGTAGTAGAATAATAAGATTATGACTTCTTTCCCGATTTGTGACAATTTTTAGATGAGTTTTTCCCATAGCTCTGGTACTTCAGTACCAGAGGTCGAGCCTGAAAACTGTGCTCCAGAAACCGTGTTGCGAGAGAGACCGGGGTTTTCGCGACGTTTGTGGTTTTTTTTTTGTTCTGCGAGGAGTAGGCCACGAGAAATGGTGCAGATCCTGGTACCACAGGCGATTAGTGGTAGTGATTAAAAACTTGGGTGGTGCAGGATAGACGATTGCCTTTGGTATGTCTTTATCCGAGTCTCAGGTTACCACTGTAGGTCCATCAGACCTGGGAGGTGGCGCCCTAAGTGCAGGTTTTTGTCGCAGTGTCAGAGGTGGGCTCTTTCCAGGACACCTGTACGCATTCTACTACTACTAATTCAAATTACGTTTTGAGTAATTAAAACACATGGGCGTAGGACCGTTTTTATTGATTGGAACTTTTCCTAAATGAATGATTTAGAATTGAATCCCGTTAAGTGGTTATTTTAAATTTCAAGTCAATAATTATTAAGGTCAATTTCGTGGAATAAACATTCAGGAAGGGTTTGTCGTGATAATAAACTTTTTCGGTATAGCCAGCGTACAGTAGATTTGGTAACTAAAATTTTTGAAAAAATAGAGGGGTACAAGTGGACTTTTCTAGTCCATAAATCAGGATACGTACACCAAAAAGAGATGCAAAAAGTTTGCTTCTTTGTACGTTAGCAGTCTTTAAAACATGCCTACTATTCACAAGTCTGGGAGGGATAGCACATTTTAAGAGCTTAAATCCCTGGAAATATAAATGAATAAACTACCCTAAACGAACTTACCTTAATTTCACACCTCCTCCCAGTGTAGCCTCTCCCGCAAGCGCAGAAGTAACTATTCACACGATCGCTGCATGTTCCACCATTAGCACATGGAGAAGATTCGCATTCGTTATATTGATATTCGCATCGATTACCAGTATACCCTGAAAATAATGGGAGGAGGGTGACATGGCGTACAGCAACAACAACCCTAACCTGGTTTGCAGAAGCACTTGTAACCATCTTCCTGGTCAACGCATATCCCATGTACGCACGGAGACGACTCGCATTCGTTTAGATTGTGTTGGCACAACGGTCCTGAAAATCCATGGGGACATTCGCAGTAAAATTGGGTAATATTTCCGTAACAGGACGCTCCATTTTGACATGGCATCGATATGCATGGATTTGTTTCTTCTTCGCATGTTTTCCCGGTGTACCCTGAAACAAAATAAGTGTGGCGGATCGGCATATAAATTTCGTTGTAAAACATGAAAGATGAAAGACTTTAAGCGAATAGAGAGTTCACGTTAATAAGTACCTATCGATTTTTTAATATCATGTTCTAATATAAATATTGCTACTTCTGCACGCAATAAAGACGCACATACTTGAACGCAAACTTTATTAATACGTATTACTTATGCATGCATCGCACAATTACCTTTAAAAACCCATTATGTCGTTCACGAAACACTAAAAATAAAACAAACGAAACAGTATGTTACCAAGTGATACCTTTCCACTCCAGTTCTCTTTAAAATCACCGAAGAACTCATTTTCGTTACGTAAGAGAAAAAGCTCACCATAAGGACAAAGACATTGGAAAGATGATCCTTCGTGGCCTTGCGAAATATCCACGCATATACCATTGTTCTTACAAGGTGTTGGGTAACAAGCGTCTTGCTCTTCGCAGTGTTGACCAACAAACCCAGAACAGCATTGGCATTCGTACCCTTCCTAACCAAATGAAAAAGTCAACGGCACTATTTCACCGTCAATCAGTTGCTTACCATAGAAGTGTTCGAATAACATATCCCTTTTCGGGAGCAGTCTTCATTTTCACCACAGTTATCGGACTTAACCGTTACCTTAAGACGTACGCATCGATTTCCCCAAAGCTTTGATACCACTGAAAAGTATGAGAAATCGAGTTAGTTTTCGTGCATTTACTTTATTCACGTACATTCCACATTTTCTTAACCGTTCACACTCATGACGAAAACAAGCCGAACGTTTTAAACGAATTGCGTGCCAATTTTCATAGGAGGTTCCAGAAAATACCCAATTAGTAGGCCAACGCAATATGTTAAAAGGGATTCGCGAATAATGAATTAATTCCGTATATAACCTCGGAAATTCCCTCAGCCAAAAATTAACGATTATAAACATATCTAAGCATCTTCAACTCGGATCGAAAACCCCACATAGTAGTCAGGAGGATTTAGGCACAATCGTGCATGCCACTAGGTATACGTAAAGTATACTTCCATCCAAGTGTTTTTCTGCATGAGAGGCGCTTCACCACCAGCATTTCAAAATAGCGAATTGTAATCAACATCGTTCGACATAAATCAAAATTGTTAAACTTGCACGATGTTAAACAAATACACGAGATCTCGCATCTTTATTCATTCCAGTTTATTTAAAAAAAAAAACAGTGTACAACATTGCGTGGAAATTCTAAAATTCAAATTACATTCAAACGTTTCAGAGCCGTAATCAAGGGGTGGCCAGTTCCGGCTGAGCTCCACTCATTACGTTCCCCAGCCCCATCCAAATACTTTTGGAGAAGAACGAACTGAGGTCGTATAACAAATGTATGTAATGAAGAAGCTTGAACTTGAAATCGTTCCTATTTTTTGACGTGTATGAACTTTTTTTGGACTAAATTATGCTCATGGAAGTGTGAAAAACGCGTCAACTTGATCGGTTAGGTAAGCGGGAAACTTTCGCGTAAAATTATCACTGTATTTAGTCGAGGATAAATCAATTAAACGTGGTGGTGTCGTATAGGTTTATGGTTTACTCTTACAGATTGACCTCTTTAGTTAGAATTCGTAATGAACTGCAAAAAACCTTCGTGTAAAGTGTACGATCTTGCCTGGGTGGAAATTTCTCCTTTTACAGATTAATCTACCTTTAATTTAGCCAGAAAACTAGGTAAATAATTACTACCAATGTAACGAATAACTCGAGTTACATGCATTTTTCACCACCTTTGTCAATTTTGAGGAGGGTCCGAATTGCTGTAAAGTACGTACACCCCTTGCTTCCACTGAATTTTTCATAATTGTAGTAGTATGAGGGATTACAAATTAAGGATATTAGCACCTATAGTTTGAGGGATTCAACGCTTGTTTCATGCAATGCAGTTGTTGCTTTGGTATTATTGAGAATACTTTAATCAACGGTTATAGCTAAAACGTGAAAAAACATCTCTAATTCAGTTTTTTTTAAGTTTATCCCCGACACGCGCGAAAGGGCTCGTGTAGCAGATTGAAGTTATCGCTTATACGTGGATATCGGAAGGGAGTTCGGATCTTGTTTATTATTAATTAAACCGCATTTAAATCTTCAATTTATAAACTAAGCGCTTCAGAAAATCCCGTCAAAAACGAATCGATAATATAATAATGTAAGAAGCAGATTTGGCAGATGGGGGTCTTAAGTGGGATACGTCAATACTTAGTGGCAAAAGTTAACGTTTGAAAGACCTAAAAAAAATGTACGGGATCTTACAACTTGTCACTAATCCACAGGTGAAACATTTGTTCGCAGAGAAACTGTGTAGTTAATGGATGTTCTATTTCCACCGTTTTACTGGCAGGGCTGTAAACAACAGCGTGAGAATGTACAATTAAAAATTAAAACCTTTTCTACTTCCTTTACCTTTTAAGACCGAAGCCACGAACTAACAAATCAATGTCTGAAATAGAGTAATATAATATAATATAGAAGACCCATTCATTAAAAGACGAAACAGAAATGAAACTGTCAAAATGCCCGCTAGCATACTTTCCTAATAGTAATTCCAGTAGGTCCTTTCGTGTCATGGCTACATTACAACCCAACAAGTTTAGAAATATCTCTGTACAAATAACCCAAACGAAGCTTGCCTCATTATGCATTTATTGGACACGTATACGAGAATTTCAAAACTGATCCTATCCTGTAATTATCTGTGCTCGGGCGCACCATTAAGCCTACCCAATTTAAGCTTTCATATAATTAGCATTGTATCCCAGAAATTATTACATTTATATTTGAAATAAAGCAAATTTATTTTCGTCAATTAAATCGTTAGATACGTATCAATTAAATACAGTTTTTCAGGCTTTAAATCTTAATAATTTACTCATCGCGTGCGGCAGGTTAATTAACATTAGACGAGCATTATCGTTTCTATACTAACATCTTAAGATAAGTGCGTAAATAAATTTATTATTTTATATTGTGGCGCTTCCTGTAGCCTGTAGGTACATATATGTGTTGTCTTTATTAATCATAATTTTGATCACTGCTGGTACCTTCTTAATACGCTTTATGATTTAAGTAAAACGATAATAAGGAAAACCAGATAGATGTGATTGGAAATTTGTAAAGCTCGAGGGTAACAACTCGTAATATACGTAAACATATAGGTAGCTACGGAAATCTTCCATAAACATACATTAATTAATCACTGAGGTCTGGTAATAAATGAAAACTCATAAAACATTAAAACTGCATTATAGCTAAACATTCTTAATTTTAAATTGTAGTAATATTATCTAGTACTTAGACTATGAATTTCCTTCTTTAAGATCTAGTATGTATAGAAATAGTGCTAATGGCCGTCATTTATTGGAACAGGTAGTATGTGGCCTCACCACAGATGTCAATTTAGCGTCCACACTATTGAATTTTCAAAATATGTTAAATGTAATTGTTTGACTTGGTACATTTTCTTAGTTAACCGTTGTCCAATTAGCGATTAACCATTTCCACATAAAAAGTGCATCACTCAAGCCCATTAATTAATAGCACTGCTTGGTACCCTCAAGTAGCAAATGCAAGGTGATGTACCGCAACCTTAGAGCTTCAAAATGATAACTCAAATAAGAGGAAACTAAATTTTAATTCCTGCAGATAAAAGTAGTGCGTGTTGTCCCTTCGACGAACAATGTAGGTAATTTGAAAACGGGTAGGGGTTGAATTTTTAAGTTCATGTATACATGGTTATTATAGTGTGCCATTTCAGCAAAGGTTTTAATCATTAACAAAAAAAGTCAACGGTTCGCTGCAAAATCAGCACCCCTTACATTGGATAAGTGTTAGCGCGTAGGTACGTTAAATTTGCGGTACCAGTTTTTGAAATAAAACACACAATTGTAATCCTGTGTGCAGGGTACAGGTTTGCGTGGGTGTTAGGAAATAAACCTTGTAACATGTGTTATCAAAAAAATTACCAAAAAGTCTACAATTCAAGAGCGAACAGTCTGTGTGACTTAATTCAGGCCGTCCGGGGGTCGCAGAAGGTGAGTACCCTGCTAAACAATTACAATTGTGCGTTCCGACATTCATTTCTATTCAATTTTATCAGGGCCGTGGCATCCAGTAGGGCAACCGGGCAAGTGCCCTAGGCGCCAAATTTTGCTAGGCGCCAAAAGTCCTAAGATTTTTTAAAATAAAAATTATACAAAAGTATTTTACAAAGTTTTTATTTTGCAAGTTTAAGTGCACTTGAGTCAGGATTGATCGTAAATAAGTAATATAATAATTGTAAAATAAGTATAGTGAATTTGCTAAAGTTAAAGCTAGAAAAATTAATTTTAAATAAATATTTAGTCAAACATTTTTTTAAATAAAAAGTATGCAAAATCTGTATTTATATATTTAAGAAGTGCAGTATTATTTATAATAAAAAATATGCAAAGACCACATTATTATTATTATATTATTATTATTATTAAAAAAGGCGCTTTGGACAAACTTTGCACTAGGCGCAATTTTACCTTGCCACGCTCCTGAATTTTATAATTCTGTACGCCATGTACTAACAAGAAGTGCTCTGAAGAGTGAATGTTCGTTAAAAAATGACGTAATTTGACAACGGCTAGGACTTAAACTTTATATTTATTTCTATAGTGAACGCTTTAAACATCAAAGAAAAAAATTCTTGGCAGAACAGCTTCCTAGCTCAAACCAAAATCGCGCTTTTGAAAGAAAAGGGAAAAAACGTTTTCCACGTAAGTTTATTATTTCCAATGTGGAATAAAAATATTCAATAAAAAGTATATGTTTCTATTCGATTCGTTTATGCAGGTACGGTTAAACCCCAATAAGTCATCATCCTCTGAGACTTTTCTTTTCTAGAGAAAAATGCTTGTTTCAAAAGTATCGTAGATAACCCGCGTTATTTCTTATCGTTCTGTAACGAAATATTTTCTTATACTCGGACAAAAACGAAATTTACCCTTTATTAAATTAATAATTGTATATTTTTGTATGATACTTTCTCTCGTAAATACCTCAGGCCGGGCCCCACGCGTTTTTTTACGTTTGTTTGTGTTTATAACTAATAATTAATTTATTGTCTACAGCCAAGCAACGTTGCTTCCGGTTAATAGTGGCATTTGAATGGGAAACCACTCGAAAACTTCGCTCGTTAATAAAAAAATGTCAGTTAGTACAGTTGTATGACGTCACGGCGCTAAAAACTCATATATTAAAAACAGTTTTTAACAGTTTTACATCCTTTATGCCTAACAACCGTTTTGCCTACACAAAATATGTTAGTTTTTTAACTTTGACATTTTCTCTCAGTTTTGCTGTAATAAAATCTGGCACAATTCTTATAGGTTGTACACAAAAAATAAGATCTTTCAAAGAACTTAATACAAATTTGAGGTTGCTAAGAAAAAGTTTGATGCCGTTGTGGTACTCAAAAATGTTTTTTCAAAAATTCGACCCTTTATTTTTCATTTCCGTGTACATTTCCAAAGCAAATGCTTACCAGAGTTCCCATTATTCAGGCTTTGGCGAGGCGGACAGAAGCGCCAATTTTAGTGCTTGCTTACACGTAACTTTTGCCTTGAGCCGGCCCTGTGTCCACTTGTATGTCTGTCGTTATACGTAATGGTTCTTCGACTTTTTCTGAACAATTCTGTACTTGTTAGAAGGGAGTCATTAAATTACATGACTCGAAATTATCGTCTCTCAATTTTCGTGTCGGTACTGTTCTGCAATCGTAATCGATACTTATATGGCACAGGTTAGACAAGTTTTCTCATCCGTAGATCTTTTACTTTTGAAACCCTAAAGCATGTCATTATCGTAGACGGTAAAGCACTACTTGTACAGGTAATTAAACCATAATGCGCAGTCCAATTGCATTTCTTTACAATCGAATCTGGAAGTCATTACATTAAGCAATACAAATTACATCCGCACAATTCTATCCGGACGATTCACAGATGTGTAATAACTTCTGCACAAAAACGAATTGCAAAGGTAGTCAATGCACGGTATGCACATTTAATGCTTGCAGATAAACGCGTAATTAGTCTAGTCTTTGATTTCTAAAGCAAACAAACAAGCTACGACTTATTAAAATCTGCATATTCTTTAAATTCATTTTCATGTAAAGTGTACTTGTAAAATAAAAAGATTCTGTATTTGCAGGGAATCCGGAAATTACAATCTTCTGGAAACGCTTCCGTGGAAATATATAAAATGGTTTTATCTCGTTTATTAAAACAATTGAAAAATTATAAAAAAATTGGTTCATTCAAATTTTAGCTTGCAGATTAATTGGTACCGAGATACGATTTTTAAAGTCCCGCACCATTCCCCTTAAAAGTGAACTAGTTTACATTTAAATTAAAGCAAAGAATAATAATTGATTAAAGGCTAATTTATACCTCAAATTAGTAGGGGTTTCTATTTCACTATATCAACGAGGTATCAGAAATTCGATACATACTACATCAAAGAGTCGCGTAATATCTTGAATTGTAAAAACTCATGAGTGACGTTTCCTTGGGGCTATAAGGTGAACACTGTAGCAAAGAATACTTAATAATTGACTGTAGTCGAATCTCAGATCAAGTCATTGAGGCAGCCCTCCAAACGAAAAATACGAAACCCAAGCTTTATCTTAGCATAGTCTTTTTCCATTTCATAAATTACAATTTCTCCTAAGAAAACTCTCTTACATAACGATCCATTTATGGTGAGTACAATAATTTGTATGGGATTTCAAATACTTTTGCTTCCTTGTTTGTTATTGTTCGCAAGGTCCACAAGCCACCCAGTAAATACACATAAAAATTAAAAGTATAGCTTCTCCCCGTTTCAAAAATTATTGTGTGGCGCAGTGGCGTGGAAGCGCGACTGCGATGCTAAGAGTCCTTGGTTCGAACCGTGCATGTAAATGTAAGGGTTGTTCTACCAACCTTGGCTCAAACCCCATCCACTTAAGAATATTATTAGATATTATGTACACACGTGGAGAAATTTTGTCATTTTTGTCAATCTGTCTTCGTCTAAGATTTCATTTATTTTCTTTTCATGTAGTCTCGTACAACTCAAGTTATTGAAATAGTATACCTTTTTTAGTTTATGTTATTTTCAATCACTATTTTGTAATTGTAAATTGTAATTCTGCTGGTTGGGAAAAACAGCTTACAGCTGGTCTCCGCCAGGATAATAAAGTATTATTATGGTCGGTGTTTCTTGTGAGAACTCAGGTCTAGCCTGGTTAACTAATCGCACGGATTAAAATCAAGTAACGATCAGTGTCTGTGTCTGTGTCTGGTGAAGTTATGTAGGGTCCTAAAAAAAAAAAAAAAAAAAAAAAAAAAAAAAAAAAAAAATCACACATGGGCACAGTAAGCCAACGCTATCAGGAAAGAGGAAAACAAAACAAAACAAAAATCATTATAATAATTCCTGTAATTATTATTATTATTATTATTATTATTAAAGTCCAAAAATAAATAAGTAAATATGTATATTTTTTTATCAAAACTCACTTTTACCTAAGGATTCGTCTATATTGTGAGGCCTACCTGTGCGACTACTTGAAGTTACGCAAGATATTGGGAAAGCTTTCTTCTCAAATCAAAAAATAGGCTCATAAGGAAACTCAATTCTTTAATATAAGTGCATTTCACAAATCTGAACTGAGCTTAACCCATGGATGTTGCTGATAGAAAATTTAATAGAAAGTTTGAATAGTTTCGATGTTTTTCTTTGTAAGCGAAAACAAAAAGTGGAAAGATTTTGAAAAAACCATTTCTAAGTAGGTACGTAATATTATTCTCTTTAATTTCTATCTTTGAATGCTGTATTTTAGAATCAAAGATTTCAATGCCGGTTTTTACCTTTAGCATCAATAATTTTGGTGATATTAACAATAATGGCGTATTATGGTCATTTGGTCTCTTTTTTAGACCTACATAATAAAATAACATACTTAATTCCTCTATCTTTAGTGGAATATTTACCGGATTCATTAAGGGATCATATAGTGAAGAAAAGCCAATTGCCAATTGTCAATTAAGTTTGAAAATTGTAGAAACTCTGCCGAAATTAAAAATTATGTGTTTTAAACTTGTAACCAGTTTGAAAATACATAGCGATAAATAATTTTTTTAAATTATTAGTCGAATAATCCAACATGTATCATCAGAAAAATTTGCTAACTTTGCAGACCTCATCAGTAAAGCTCATCGAAGTTTACAAACATTAATACGAAAATAATGAATACATTAATTTCTTCGGAGGTTGATTTGCAAAGTAAATAAAAAATAGGAACTTCAATCGAATGTCATCAAACCGGTATTGATCGCGCCAGACGAAAAGTTTTGATTGAAGCGCGGGCGGATAATCCGTAAGTGATGGAAAATAAATCGGACAATCCTACTTGAATAAAGTCTCCATAATGCTTCAACATTATGAGCAAGAACATAAAATATAATATATTATATAAAAATAACTCTTACCAATGAGTAGATTAGTACCCTCCGTCAAATCCTTGTCGTAAAGAGTAACAACTTTACGATTTTCGATTTTTAAGGGTGTTATATCAAGAAGGATCCCTTCGGTAACGTCGCAATGGTCATGACCAGCACGTGTCACTTGATACACAGCTGTCGTAGGTTCGTGCATTATTCTGAAACAGTTTGGCTTGTACTAATTTAAAATTAAAACGCAGTAGGTAACTACTTTAGAACAAAAGAAGCGATTTGAATTTCCAAAATTGCTCATTTTGTCTGAATAGGCTTAATTAATAATTACAAGAGCAGGGAAGAGGGTTGATTCTATAGCCACCCCACTAGCAACGCATTACAAATATAATGACATACTGAATAGAGACGCTTATACAATATTCCAAAACCTTCAAATTGTATTAGATATTGAGTTAATATAATTCGCTCATAGCTGACATGAATCTAAATGCAAAACTTCGGCGCGTCGCAATATGGACATTGGAGTTAATTCAAGATCAGCAAACACATTATGAAATCTCCGGGGTGGCATTATGCTCAAACTTAAATTTTACGATACACCAAAATTTACGTGATCAGATACGAATAAAGTTTGTAGCAACTAATACTATCAGATTGGAGAGGGTGCCTCCATCCTTATGTTAGGTGAGGGTTATTTTATAATGCGTCAAAATTAAGTATTACAGTATAAAAGCAGGGAGGAAACACAGAGTTCACATCGATTAGATCTTTTAGTTCGCCGAAACTTTCGAGCTAAAATCGTCGAGAGGAACTGAACCGTTTTAAGGGAAGACCTACAAAAATGCTATTCGCATGCCATACGCATTTTGCGAAAACTGAAAACCCACGTAGAAAAAGGCGGACTTTTAGAGTAAGCCATATTTCTTTGGCCTAGCGTTGAACTTATTAAATAACTGCAGGGGGAAAACGTCCGTACGCACACATATATATTCTTTACGGTAGAAATTAAAGTCAATTTAAATGTTTTCGCATAAATTGGGTAAACATAAGCGTGTAGAATTTTTCTAATCCAGAGCTGTGGAATACGCATCTCATCCGAAATGTTTCTGTCGGAATGAAAACAACATTTTCAGCATCTGCCACTTAGAATAATTCCTTGTCGACATCTTGTTACGAATATAGAAAACGCGAAGGAAGTGTGCAGAGCTTAGACGGGGCGCGTTCAGGACATTCTTATACGGAAAATAAGAAATTATTAAAATCTATGTTTTAGCAACAACTGAACTAAACCCGAGTAATCAAAAAACAAATGTGACGCGCAGTTTTGTTAGGAATTTTATTGAAACTTCAACAACGTAATGAAAAAGGGAGAAACCGAGACGAACTTCAAAATGAAACAATACGTTGCATTGAAGTACTTGGGGTGAAAAACGGGACATAGTAATAAATATCAATGGCGATGAATTGAAACGTGCCCTCCGAGCTGCACAAGTTAATACCGTAGCAAATATTCCCGTAGGTATAGAGGATGGTTTTCTTCTCAATCACGATAATATCTCAATTTGCGCATTTTCTTCTAAGTAAAAATTGCCACAATTCTATGCGGGTGTGTCTTTTGGGCCATTTTTTGTAGTCGACTAAACATTTTGTTCAAATTCGTTATATTACTCTGAGATTCAAGACATCGTCTCGTCAATTTTGTGCTTAGGAATGTGGAATTTTTCACTTTCAATTTTCATGGTGAATTGTGCTAATTTGTGCTCCGATTCCCGTTTTGTGCCACAATACTAAAGAATGGTGTTGTGTTTATAGCTTGCGGTTCATGCTAGAAGGTCTGATTGCCGCGTCTAATTTGACTTAAGAAGTAATTGTGGTCATTTCAATTGAAACATACAGGATGTGACGTATACCAATGCAAAACAAATAATTCACTTCCATTTCAATCAGGTCTGTACCTAAAATGAACTAGTAGGGGTGGCACGTATTTTTCTAGACGGGACTTGTATAAAATTTGTATAAAAAGATTAATCTACAAATAATGTTTAATTGTTCTGTTTTATTTTTGTACCTACCCAAATACTTTTGAAGATGTTTGCTCATTGCTTCACGAATACATAGCACAAAATTGTTTGTGTACAAAATCTATTCTCAACAAAAATAAAACCGATCGGTGTGTACGGCAGTGTAGGTAGACATTTGCTTCACAGAATTGCTGCTCTTTCTGTATGAGGGCACAAAGTATTGACGCTTCACCAATAAATGGCACAAAATTAGCACAAAATTGTTTGTTACAAAACTTTAAAAACTTTACTAGACCATGCCCATTTTCTTTTTAAATGGTTGAATCAATTTTTATCCAACTACAATAATATTTGGTGATGCCACCCTTACATATTTATAATGTTAAGGATGTTAGCGTGACAAGGCCTTACCTTTCAATGACACGAGCCCCAGCCTCGGTATAATTAGTGGAATCATCTTGGGTCAGCACTGAATCGTCAATTCTCACCAGAAGCACGTCGCCGCTTTGAATTTCTATAGCGCCTTCCCAACTAAGGGCATCCGTAGTGCAATTGGTACCTGATATGTTCGCCTGTTTTTTCCCGTCTTCTCTTTCAATACATTCCAAAGGAGTCTGAAAGCAAAAATATACGTTTGTTATTTCGTTGAATCAACATTTGTTTGTCAGAATACGAGAGTACTGTGTAGTGACCTCTCGGCGGAAAAATAGTAGAGGCAGCAAATGGTAAATCTACAAAGTTTCTAGCCGATCAGGAATTAATCGACTTCTGTAGAAAACTGGGTTGATATAAGGGCGAGTATTTTAATAAATCTTTAAAACTTTCCCTAAAAATTGTATACAATGCAATTGAGGAATTATTATGCCTGATCTCATCCAAAAATTCGAATTCGAACATTTTGTCAAACGTTTATTTGCCAGGTTGCAGTTGGGAAAGAATATCGCCATTTGTTTTCAAAAGTCTTTTCAAATAATGTCACAAAAAAGAAATTAGCGCAAGTATTCGGAATCCCTAAAATACGCAGCTTTGCCTCCATTTAACCGATTTCATATCTTAAGATTCTCGAGATTCTAATGACCCCCCTGAATTTTATGGTTTAGGTCATTACATACAGGGTGACAATTTGAAAACTTACCACCCCCCATATCTTAGTAAATAAACGAGATATTTAAAAAAATCAAAATCCGTTTTGGTAATTCGGAGGGGGAATCACAATGACATAGTTGGCGACGCACCCCCCCACACCCCCTGCACCCTAGCCACCCCAACTTTTAAATCTTAAATAGTGACTCCCCATGTGTGATACGTCGTTGGAAAGCTCTGAAAAAATGCTTTCCAACCATACCAAATAGCATTACATTTAGGTTAGTAATTATCGTGCAACTCAAAAAATAAACATGGAAAATCGTATTTAACTTGAACTTCCAAAGCCGACTCGACAGCAACTCATTTTTGATCGCCAGTTATAATCTATTCTCAAATTCTTGTCGAACCAACGACGTATCACACATGGGGAGTCACTATTTAAGATTTAAAAGTTGGGGCGGCTGGGGCGCAGGGGGTTGGAGGGGGTGCGTCGCCAACTATGTCATTGTGATTCCCCCTCTGAATTACCGAAACGGATTTTGATTTTTTTAAATATCTCGTTTATTTACTAAGATATGGGGGGTGGTAAGTTTTCAAATTGTCACCCTGTATAATATGCATAACCACGCATTTAAGAGATACCAACATCATATGCCACCTGAAATGCCTCAAATATAATTAGATCCTTGTATTTTTCGAATGGGAAGTATTCTGAACCTCAAGCAGTTTCAAAATGGTGAATCCAACATTTTTCCACAAATCTTACGCTCCAATTTAAAAGGTGCGTAAATTTGGTGTTCAAATCTATAGTAATTTTGGCCTTTTGAAGTCATTTTTAGTGACGAACAATGCTCGGGGATGACAGTTTCATTAGATTCAATCATGGAAAAAAGCTAAAAAATAAGAAAGAATATGAATCAGGGAAATAAAAACAGAGAAGGACCTTTGGTAAATGATAAACAGAGGAAGCTAGAAAAACATTTCGTGGGAGAGAAATCCAAATAGAGGACTGGAAGGTACTACAAATGGGTACTAGGATTCCTACCTACTATAACCCCATAATTTTACATTAGTGTAAGTAATAAACTTATATGGCGAAAATCGTGTTGCAATTTTAGAAATGTATGTATTTTCCACAGATTCAGCGCGGCGTCCGCCATCTTTGATTTGATACACAAAGACTGCAAATGCGGTATTCTTTGCGGGTAATTAATAGTTCTATGATTTTCTCCTAAGAATGCGCCTTTGAGATTTCCTGTCTATACAACGTATTTCCAGCTCATACAACACTATTACTCCAATCTCCTTATATGTATCATACGTAAAGGGGATTTTAGTACAAAAAATAATACAACAAACACTGTTAAAATCTCTCCCTAGTTTCAAAGTAAAACGATATTTCGCGTTCATCTAAGTAATTCTCCAGACGCAGAAAAAATATACGGGCCAAACTTGCAAGATACTTTCCGTATAACTTCTGCGTAAGGTAATAACGTTAAATATAATAAACAGAGCTGGAAATAGACAATAGAGTAATCAGCAATAACAATAAAATAAAGTACCTTGACTGGGGTATATATTCGGATTGGCGATTAACATGAAATTTACATACAAATAAGAAATTGAACGAACGCTATTCTAGATTATCGCAGTTATATACGTTCGTAGAAGGAACTTTCATTCCAAAATTGATAGTTACCCCTTTTTGCATAGGCCCTTGCCAATTAAACTCTTTTCCACGACTTAAAATTGATTTTTGCCGTAAAAAACGGCGAGCAAAAGTTACGATGCCTCTTAACGACTCTTTAGGGGAATATCGACATCCGGAGCATGCAAAGTTACGCTTGGAAATTTGCACCTGTTAATCCCTTTACAAGCTTAAACCCACATTTGTGAAGGGAGATTTTCTACCTATAATCCATCTTTGAAACGAAACGAATAGAGTTCTTCCTTTGCGTATTGGTTTTTTGGTCTTTTTCTAATTTTATCAGTTTCTCCAGAGGGGGATTTACTAAACCAAGACGGATATACCAATACTTCTTTGAGCACCAAACAAAGCACTCTAAAAAGACGGATTTCAAATGGAACTCGTAAAAACGCGGTTACTTCAACACATACCGAAAATTACTGCTTTTAATTATACCACGCATTTTTATATGACAAATTTAATTCAGCAGAATGATCATTATCGAACAGCGCGTGTCGCAGAAATGTAAATAAGCGCTTTAGGCATTTAAAGCGTGCGACTTGTTTTGTGAAATTGAATGAAGTTTTTCACGCCAAGTGCGATGCTGTCCGATCGAAAATAATTATATTTACAATACTTAATAGTTTCACGTCATTCACATTGACGTAATTTTTTAGATTGCGATTGATCCGCATTTCCAAAAGAAGATCAAATGGAATTCCGCGTTTTCAAATGAAGCTTCGAATGGTGACAAAGAGCATCCGCGGGGTTGGTTAGAGATTATGTAATCTATTACAGAAACAAAAATTGTCGGTAACCCCCGCAAATGGTATTTGTTGTACATGTGAGAGAATTTTTTAAAAATATTTTTTATATTTCATTTGGAGACAGGATGAAATTTTATTTTTAGAAGGCAATTGGTGGATCTCTTGTAGATCATTTTAGCATAATCCATCAAAAAAATCAAAATCACTAACGAAATTATTTGATGTGCCATAAAAATGATAACCCCCGCTGTATCCCTTAATTGTGAGGGCTGAATTTTTGTGGTACCTCACTTTTTTTGTTGAATGGTATGTGAGTTATGTTTTGTATTTTGTATAAGAACCATAAAAACGGAAACATGTAATGTACCTTTACTTACCACAAGACTATACCTTCCATAAATATTACGCTATTTTTCGTAGGGGAAGGTGCAGGTAACACTTTCTTCTAATGTAGGAAAAACTCCCAAACCGACAGGTAAGGTTAAGTTACGAAAAGAATATTTTTATAGAAGGTGGGTAAAACCAAAAGTCACGCCACAGTTGTTTTTATTTAAAGTGATTTAACTTTTCAACTGGTAAGTAAAGATAACGAGGTTACGCCGACGCAGACCTCACCTGTTATCGCTTTACGCCGTGCATTAGTTGTCCAGAATTTAAACTGTGCGGTGTAAGTGGTGCCGTTCCAATGGTAAATGGACTGAATGATCTTGAAGGGACTCATCTGATAGGGCAAAGGGTGAGTTTTTATGTTAGTTTAATTAGGGTGCATGTGAATCCACTAATCCCTAAAAATCAGATCTGCAACCCAAATTATGATATCTGCCAAAATGATTACGTGCCTGATTTAAGTAGATTTGGTTTTTGAATGTACGTTTTAGGTCTTTAATGCTACTGTGGTGAAATAAAAACCGAAAAAGAGTGATTATTAATTGTATGATTAAACTAAATGTATTGTTATTCTAAACAATCTTTCCAACACGTGTCAATTAGATACGAGTATAAGGCGTTAATCATCAACAGATGTGCCGTTGAAGTATTCTAAATCATATTTTTCCTACTAAATTAAAATCAATTTGGTTTGTTTGAGTACATATTTTTGAATCTTGAGTTCCTCATTTTTTACATGATGCCTTCCAAAGGATTACCAGAACAGTGACGAAAAATGAGACTACTTTTGGCAATTAACGAAAAGTCTAATTAGAGTTCCTATTTTTTTAAATCGCCAAAGACCAAAAAAAGGTCGTTAATAATCGGATAGAATTAAAATCCTATCTGCTGTCATACATACATTGCAATTCGATACTTTCTTTCATTATCAAAAGCCGTGCAACATGTGTAGTTACGTTACAGATAATGACATTAGTCATCAAGAAATGCATCTTTAAAAATGAAGATATTTTTGCTTTCCGACAAAGGAAAGTATTGTAATTTTCGATATGCCAATTTTGCGTTTTCTGAAAATGTTGAAATTTTGGTTTTACAACGCAAACGTCCTATTAGTACGGTGCAATTAGTCGAAAAAACGGCCAAACCTTAACATCTAAAGTAAAAGTTTCCATCGAAATCCAAATTGTTCTATACAGTCCACATGTTGTTTAGTAAAAAGGTACACCATTTTAAGCGTCGGGTTTGGATGGGAGGGGGGAGGAAAGAATGGTAAATTACTAGTTTTGGTCAGTTTTTCTTAAATATTTAGAAAACTATGGGGGTTAGCGCGAGAAAAAAAATCATCTACATTAAATTTCGCCCAAAAATGGTCTTGTGTATAATTTTGCTAAAGTGAACGATTCCAGGGTTACGGAGGATGTAAAAGTAGACATTTTTCGTATTTTTTCGATTTTCTGAAAAAATTAAATTATGTTTGGAGTCACTAACACCACGGAAGATCTGGATTGTTTTCATTACCAGTTTAATTGTTAGTTGTTAGCTATTTCAAAGCATCGTATAATACATTCACTTAGGGAATGCAATACCGGGATCGCGGGATCCCAAAATACCGGGATCCCGCAGCAATTTTGCGGGATTAATCCCGCACATAAATGGAGCGGGATCCCGCGGGATTTGCGGGACTGAGGAATTTGACGACTCTGTTTACTTTGTTAATGAGACGCATTACGGAGAGGTTTTTTTTAAAATAATTGTTAAACTTGTTTCGTTAAAAATGTACTATGATTTTTGAGGCACTTTAGAAGTTCACCTTTTTGTGCTTTACAGGTGAGGTTTTTTTGAGTTTTAAGATAGGCCGAAGGTACTTTTTTGTTAAATATTGTAATAATTAGCGATTTATTTTAATACAGAAGTTAACCGCACAGAATTGCTTATTTACCAATTTATTTAAAGTTTTGCGAGATCCCGCAAACACCGGAATCCCGCGGGATTAACATCTAACAATCCCGCAAATACCGGAATTGAGATTTTGCTGCGGGATTGCATTCCCTACTAGAAACCAATTTCGAAAGAAAATTCAAAGGGCTGTAACTTTTGAACTAGTAGCCCAATCTTGGAACTGTTTGAAATTATGGATTCTACAGGCCACATTCTATAAGAAAAATTTTTTTCCGGTCGATCTGAGACAATTTTTTTTTCGGGGCTCAAAAAAAGGCAGTGTATAACCTTCCTTTTTTACCAAAAATCGACTGCACCAAAATTTCTCGGGAAAACACTTTTTCTTATTAATTTTGGTGCGTAGAATCCAAAACAATTCGTACTTTTTCGATCAGACTTCTCAATCAAAAGTTATAGACTAGAAAAGAAACCAATTTCGAAAAAAAATTCAAAGGGCTGTAACTTTTGAACTAGTAGCCCAATCTTGGAACTGTTTGAAATTATGGATTCTACAGGCCACATTCTATAAGAAAATTTTTTTTCGGGTCGATCTGAGACAATTTTTTTTCGGGGCTCAAAAAAAGGCAGTGTATAACCTTCCCTTTTTACCAAAAATCGACTGCACCAAAATTTCTCGGGAAAACACTTTTTCTTATTAATTTTGGTGCGTAGAATCCAAAACAATTCGTACTTTTTCCATCAGACTTCTCAATAAAAAGTTATAGACTAGAAACTAGGGAATGCAATACCGGGATTGCGGGATCCCGCAGCATTGTTGCGATATCAATCCCGCACATAAATGGAGCGGGATCCCGCGGGATTTGCGGGACTGAGGAATTTGTCGACCAAGGGAACGACTCTGTTTACTTTGTTAATGAAACTGATAACGGCGAATTATTTTTTAAATAATTGTTAAACTTTTTTCGTTATAAATGTACTATGATTTTTGAGGCACTTTGAAGACTTTTTGTGCTTTACAGGTAACGTTTTTTTGAGTTCTAAGTTAGGCCGAAGGTATTTTTTTGTTAAATATTGTGATAATTAGCGATTTATTTTAATACAGAAGTTAACCGCACAGAATTGCTTATTTGCCAATTTATTTAAAGTTTTGATCTCGCAAAAACCGGGATCCCGCGGGATTAACATCTACCAATCCCACAAATACCGGGATTGAAATTATGCTGCGGGATTGCATTCCCTATATGCACTGTTCAAGTTGGCTATACTTCTCCCCACTTCACTAGAGAGAGATGATTGGCGAACACTCGAGACCAATTACAACAGTACATCCTGCAGCCGCCCCGGGAATTCCTTTCCCTCATAGTGGAATTGAGAAGGTGGTAAGGTTGTCGTTCCTTGACACAAACATACCATCGTCCACTAAAGCGCAATTTGTAAAAAATTAGTTTCCTTAGTGATAATGATATATTTTTTCCAAGAAAATCTAAAAAAGAAAACTAAAAATTTCTACTGTTTCACCCTCCGTAACTCTGGAATCGTTCACTTTGGCAGCATTATACACAAGACCACTTTTTTTCGCAATTTACTGTAGATTATTTTTGTATACCACACTATTCGCACCAAACCTCATAGTTTTCTAAATATTTAAGAAAAACTGATAAAAACTACTAATTTTCCAACTTTCCTCCCCCCTTCCGCCCTAACCCGACACTTAAAATAGTGTAACTTTTTTACCAAACAATATCAGAGAAACTTCTACTTTGGATGTTGAGGTTTGTTGTGCAATCATGAAGGTCAAAGCTGTTAGGTCATACCAAGTAACATGTAATTGTTTTGCAAAAAAGACGGCTAATGTGGAAATGCGCAATTTAGCTCATTTTTCAACAAAGTTGGGCGCGCTATTGCAACCACTTTCTCTGTCCGTCCGTCCGAAGCCTACTCCTACAGTGTGCACTATACTTACTTCGTTATTAACGATTAATGTGCGCATTCGCAGGCTACGCAATATCAGCTTTCTTATTTACAATATATTTGGTTGAAATTTTAACCACAGATACTTGTAGTAAAGGCAAACATATCGCATATAGTAAAAATGCAACTTTCTTATTTATGGAGATATTCCTTTGAAATTTTAACCAAAGATGCCTTTACTAAAAGCAAACGTATCGCTTTTGTAAACATCAAATTAATGTGTGGATGCGTAGAGTATGTGCAATATCAACTGTGTTATTTATCGAGATATCTTTTTGAAATTTTAATCACAGATGCTTCTCTCATATTGTAAACATGAAATGCCAACTTCCTTATTTGTGAAGATATTTCTTTGAAATTTTAACCATACATGCTTTTACTAAAGAAAAACATACTGACATTTGTGAATTTGGAGCAGTTCATTTGATGACTCAATTGCATGGGTACCTAAATTATCATTACTCCATACCTACACCGTTTGGTACAGATACAATTATCCTACACTGGTGTTGGATGTGACCGTAACTATTATGGTCATCACAATGTGAATTGAGTGGAAGATAAACTGCTCCAATAATAATACCATCATTCTCAAGATTTGAGGATAACTGTTCTATTTCATTAAATTTTAATTCCCTAGATGTCCACTTAAAGACTTTTAAAGGAGACTCGTTGAGATTATTGATGACACTCCGATTTTAAAGTCTGTTAAAGCCTCGCAAATATTCTAAACATTTAAAAGAGCTAAATGGAACTAGTAAAATACTTACCAATGAAGGTAACAAAAGTTCGTGAGTCTCATTTCCCTTCCAAACGCGAGAATCTCTTGGTATAAGTGGCAAATCGCACGAAAGTGAACGTACTTTTTCTTCCAGGTGTATCTTGTGAGATGTATGTGGATTCTGTTTGTTCTCTGCAGTCGCGTTTACATTACTTGTTATAGTATCACTTACAGAGAGCTCGGTTGTAATTTGTTGCGTTGTGGAAATGAAAATTTCTCCGAGAGTAGTTTCGGAAGTAAGTACCGAGCTTTCTGTAGTATTTGAAGAGACAACGTTAGCGATTATAGAGGTGGGAGTTGAAATTACGAGCCCTTTCAGGGTAATTATTTCTAATAAAATAAACGAAAAAGTGAAAGAATTATGTTTCATTGTATATCAATTAACCGTAATGTTTAACGCGCCTGCTATAATTCCCGTTCTTTGGCCTGAAAGGAAAAGAAACACATATTACAATAGAGCACAGTAAAATCTGGCGGCACAAATTCGAAAGAATTATTTATTCCGTCAAGATTTCATCAGAAAATGATCTTTAGTGCTCATCGTTTTTTACCGCAAATAGCTCGTTAAGGAAATGATATTTATGGGGTTGCAAAGGAACGTCGGCGTTTTCCTTTCAACTTTTTGTGTTATACTTCCAAATATATAATCCCGCAATTCATTTTTCGTTTAAGAAAACGATCCATATATTTTCGAAAGGTCATATCGTAATTTTGGCGTTATTTGACCGAGTCGTGCTCACACGCAAGGTTTACCGCATACGCATAAATACTCATAATGGTATAGATATTGTACATGACAGAAAAACATGCTTTATTCCCAAAATGTTTAGCGTTCCGCCTCTCAAACCACCGATTGAGTAATTATACCATATAATGTTATCAGACACCCCCTTTATTCGTATCATTGATGTAAAATATTTGGCGAATCCAACTTTCGCGCCCTCATGGATCATATAATAACGTTGTTCCTCACCTCGAAAAGAAACCATTAAAAGGGCTTCTATCCTTAGGCGTATCTTGTTTGACGAATACATATACATATTTGTTCATATTTTATAAAACACGTTTTAACTGTGAATAGAAAGCAATATTTCATTCTATGGGGAAGCGATGCAATTCGAAGACACATTCAACATTTTTTAATCTTGTGGTAAAAAGGTCCGTGAAGTAACCATTCAACAAAATACCAAAAGTGTAATATGATTCGAAAAAATTGAGAAATTCTTCGGTATCATTGTAAATTGATAAATTGTTATTAATATGTAAATTTTTTACAGTAGTATCATTGAATAAGAATTCAATGGTAGTATGCACTGTTCCAGTTTGGAAAGAAATTCCTCAACAAAGAATAACGTATTCCATACCTTAGTTAGCATTAATCAGTGTAAGATATTATAGAAACGCTTAAAATAATTATTTGAAAAGAATTTACATCTCTGTTAATAAACCAGTCATACAGTGCACATAATTCTTGAAGCCATTCTACACATATTGGTCGCATACAAAATTGAAATTGTATCCCGCTCGATGGCTAATCGAAGAGTCCCGTTTACGAGTAATTTTTCCGGCCTTCGTTCGGATTACGATGGATGTATAGACTCAAAAAAGGACTTCGTTTAGTAGCTTTATTTTCCACTGAGGAAGGCATCCGAAACATTTGGATACCGAATAAAAGAGCTACTGAAAGAATTTCTTTTTTGGGCTTATACACCCTACCAACATTCATCTTAATCCTGTTTAGTTTTTCTTTCCCTGACGCACCCCTACTTGCTTTCCTAATTCTATCGCGCCCCAAAACGGCGCTTTTTTAATGAAATCGGCCATCTATAATCATTATAGGTCAGTTGATTCGTTCAAATTCATGAATTACTTAAGCGCGAGGGTCATAAATCAAACTCTCGTGATCGTTGAATTTTGCAATTCTGCGTTTCACAAGGACTCTCTGACAGAGCAGTTTTGGTCACGTAAACCTTATTAAGATACCCTTATCTACTCTTTAACAGGTGACGGTGCATAGAGAAACCAAAAAAATAAAAATCACCAACTGGATTTACGAATGTAGGGCCTTTTAAAAACGTAGAATTTTTTGAAACTGACCTCTCAATTTGAGCACCCATAAAATTTAATACATACCTAAATCTACGCAGCCCTAACAAAAATTTTAAAAAGATTCAACCCCATAAAATGCTCTCGTTACACCTATTCCACTCGCGTGTCGGCCGAAATGATAAGATCCCTTGAAATGATGGGAAAACTACAGCCAAATTATATGTTATAATTTCAATTAGCAACCCTTTTTTCCTAACGTTACGTATTCTAAAAAACTATTTTTTTACAACGGACAATCAAGGTACGTTTTCTCCAAATCCGGTTCGAAGGATCAAAAAAGGGAAATCAGATTAACTAAACGAAGAGTATACACGTCGACCAAAACCTACCTTGGTGAATCTAAAAAGTTGTGTACTAAATAAATTCGAGGTGCCGTTTTGCCTAAATGTTTGTATCAATTTTGCTTTGGTATGATTATGATGTCCACTTTACGATCCGTTTTGATCAAGATATATTACGACATCCACGTTTTATTTACTATAAGCGAGATATATGATATGCGAATTTAAATATTTTGGCAGACAATTACTAACAGTTTGAATTTGATATACGGTGGCGTTTCCTCAATTCGTCATCGCGTGATTTCAATTATGCCTCACGCAATGATCATATCCAGTGAACAGGGATGCGCAAAACATCACGAATAAAAACCCGAACTTCGGGCAACCTTTCTAAAATTATCCCCAAATCTCATTTAAACTTTTCTATATTCAGTAAACTGAATTGAAAATGTCTCCTAAGTTATGTACTAGAGAAGAAATGAGAAATGAAATTAAATTACTATTTGAAACACAAGGAACATATTCAGAACAACATAAATTTAAAATATATCTTACGCCTGTCATTTGTAAACGTCTAAATGAGGACAAGAAGTAATAACGTTTACTCCCGAAATTCAACGGAAGCTCTAAAGGAATTTACAGTTCTTGTCCCAAAAACTACAACTTTGATCTTTTAAAAAGCAAGTCAGAGCCAGCTCACCTCCCTCTTTCTTAACATAGGCTGACGAAATTTCCCTAGAGGTAAGTTAAAATATTCATAAAATCGCAATCGGTTGTAAAATAGAACCCTTTCCTTACCAGAGAATTTGGTTAATTGTGTATTTCGCAACGGTTTGCAGAATTTGAATAGGCGAAGATATATAGACAGTTACACACAAAAGTTCAGAAACAAATAAATTGTGGTAGCGGTGATATAAATTAAAGTCGGTCTTTGTAGGCTTATGACAAAACACCGGCGCGCCTACTCCCGCACACAATTGAGCAAAAAAATGTAATCTAGGTAAATATGCTGCGAGCCGTACTTTGTAACAAAAGCGAAAATTCTGATACGTCTACCAGACTACGTTCCTCGAGGCTTTTATACTTGCGCCCTTTTAATCCATTTCCTTTAATAATTAATTAATAAGCGCGACCTCAAATTTATACAAAATGAAAAGACAGTTTATTTAACAAAAAAAGTACACAAAGTGCCATATTTGACAAAGTACTTATACAAATAGGAAACTAAGTTGAAACGTTTGTTACCCGCAACTTACTTCACTTGCTTGTATTATACATTGTCATGTTATTAATTTCGTAATTTCCGTTAGTTGCTGTTTCCGAATGTAAGTTTTTTTTAATTGAAAATAACAAAACGTTTCTGGGCGGTGCTCGCTAGTCTTCCATGACCCCCTGAAAAATAAATAACATAATCAACATATTTAACCGGGTGTAGCAAGTAAGCTGAAACGATCTGTTAGGCAAATATCGTTGACTGAACATAGCGCGCATCAGCCACCCTTCGAATACTAAGGGACAACGCCGCATGTAGTAAAGAGTGAATGAATTCACCTTACCTATCCATCACTTTACAAACCACACGATAGAACCACCAATACTAAACTGAAACAATTTCTGGTCCACCTTGCCTTGAGTGGCACGTGTCAGGAAACCTATTGGGAGTACCCATCGTGTACCGAAGGATTTTCTCTCACAGCATATCCTTATTTTCAACTTGCATATAACACCACAATTCTTGATTCAACTGGATTTTCACCATTTTCAATTCTTAAAAAAATGGAGGAGAATGGTCCTAGAGTCCTCGAATTTTTGGCAATAGATAGCGCGATACATATCAAAACTAAAGGAAACACCATAAAGTAGGATTGACAAGGGAGAATTTGACAAAAGAATAGCTTGTTTTAGTATAAATTTAACTTGTATATAAGTTTGTTGTGTCTTTTCAAGCACTTATTACCATTTTCTTCTTATCATAACAGACTCGTCATTTTAATGCACGATGGCTATCACAACTAAAGGGGATGCCATAAAGCAAAAAAGAATTGGGCTTCTTTCGGGGATGGTAACAAAGGATGTCTTGTTTTAGTATAATTGTAGCGTGTATTTAACTTTTTTTGTGTCCTATTTTCATGCAACAACCACAATTTTCCTCTTATCATTACAGATTCGGAATTTTAATGCACGATGGATACCAAAACTAGCGGGGGTGCCATAAAGAAGGATCAGCAAGAAAGAATTTCGGGAATGGTAAAAAAGATAACTTGTTTTGGTATACTTTTAAGATGTATTTGACTTTTTGTGTCTTTTTCATACAAAATAATTGCAATGTTCTTCTTATTATTACAGTTGCGACATTTTAATGCACGATGGATATCAACACTGAAGGGGTGCCATAAAGAAGAATCGGCAAGAAAGAACTAAACTTGTTTCGGGGATCGTAAAAGGAATAGCTTATTTTAGTGCAATTTTAATTTGTGTATTTAACTATTTTGCGTGTTTTTCATACAATAATCAATCGACATTTTTTTCTTATTTCATATTCGAGATTTTACGTTAGATGTCACGCTAAAAATGCCCTAAAGAAGAATCGGCAAGAAAGAATTGGACCTCTTTAGGGGATGTAAAAAAGAATGGCTTGTTTTAGTACAATTTTAATTTGTATTTAACTTTTTTTTGTCTCTTTTCATGAAATAATCTCAACTTTCCTCTTATCCTATCTTGTTCTAATATAATTTTTAACTTTTATTTAACTATTTTATGCCTTTTTCGTGCAATATTCAGAATTTTCCTCTTATCTTTACAGATTCAACACTTTAATGCACGATAGACATGAAAACTGAAGGGGATGCCATAAAGAAGAATCGGCAAGAAAGAACTAAACTTGTTTCGGGGATCGTAAAAAGAATAGCTTATTTTAGTGCAATTTTAATTTGTGTATTTAACTATTTTGCGTGTTTTTCATACAATAATCGAAATTTTTTTCTTATTTCAGATACGAGATTTTATTGCACTTTAGATGTCATGCTAAAAATGTCC